CACACACACACACTTACACACACGTGCTCGCTTATGAGGTGCCTGTCCGTCCTTCCGGCTGCCTACCCGTTCATTTGGCATGTTCGTGCCGTAAGTCGTCGTCGTTCTACTTGCACTTTGTCAATTCGCAAATCTTTTCGTACGCCATTCTTTTTAGCGAATTTAGCCGCTATGTCTCTTCATCATCAAAGGAAACGCACATATACACTCGGGCCAAGTTTGGAGAACTAAACTGGAACAAAATGTTGAGACAGGCAGGGAAATCGCTGAAACAAGTCTTGAAACCTTGAGGCATCCTCGGTGGCGGTGGTAGCGGTCTCCCTCTCTCTCTCATCACAATTGTGCAAGTTAACTTTGATGAATTCAATTATTTGAGCACAACAACATCCTGTCCCCCTCCCCATCGCTATGTGCATACAACTTTTGCCAAAATACTAGAGCTCTACCTACAATCAATAATGCAAACGTATTTCATATCATTTATTATTTAAACATAGCTGTGAGTTATTTTTAAATGGTAGTATTTTCATTAATATTTAGCTGGGCCATTTGATGGCATTAAGGATTTATGTATGATGATGGTATAAAGGATTTTTGTATGTATTAAGGATTTATGTTTTATTATTGGTAGGTTTTCAAATGGGAATATGCCATTTATTTTCGTTTAAATCATGGAATTCGGTATATTATTTGTATATAGTTTTGAAAACTTAAATAATATGATGAGAACACTTTACGTAGTTGGAAAAAGTATGCCTTGATTTATAGCAAGTACCAAGAATCTCCTTAATTTGTACTTGACTTTATTATTAATATATCCCAGGCTTACCTTATTTTCCTTTTTAAGTTTACCATAATTAAGAGCTGCTATTATTTTGCCCTTGGCTGTATGTATCCCTCAGCACGTGTTTGTCTTCGCCCTCGTTCAATGAGTTTGTCCCCAACGTCGTCGTCGTCGTCGTGCTTAGAAGGAATTGAAATTCCCCCATGTCCTCACGTCGCAAATCCTGCTCCTGGTCCTACTTCCTTCTCCTCCTCCAGTTTCTTCCTCCTCTCCAACTCCTGCTCCTGCTCCTGCTTCTGCTGCCTGTCGTCTCAATCTGTAAAGTGGATTTATTTCGTTGAAATCGAAAGTTGATTTCTCCCATATCCACATGGCCTCTACTGTGTATGTCATTGTGTCACGACCCCGCTGTACTGTACGGAACTGAACCCTTTTGTGCATTATCCGCAAAACATTAAAGGATTTATCAATTTACGCAATGGAAGTTGAGCAAAAGTCAAACAGGTTATTCTTACAGATTTGTGCCTTATTATATAGTTTGGGCGGTTGATTGATTAAATTGTTTCCCCGGCTTTTGTGTGCGGCCAAGTCCCTGGAGGTATTACAGCAACTTTTGGAGTTAAGTAATAAGTTTGATCTTTGATTGAATTTAGCCGAGAGCCGAGAGCCATATCGGGAATTGGTAAGACCTCATAGAACTTAACTGGGCTTTGAGGCGGTAAGCCGCGATAACTTAATTTAATGCTAAAAAGATTTGCAGTTTTGATTTTGGGTTGATTATGATTTCAAAAGAGTTTCTAAAGACGATAGGGTTTTAGGAATATGAGAACATGAGAACAAGAGATAGATTAACTTTTATAGGAAATAAAAATCGGAAACCTTAAGTTTAAACTGAGAATTGCAGCAAAATCTATTCCTGATATTTTATTGTCACTTAAAGAAATAAATTAATCAAATTTCCCTCGATTTTCTTGACCATTCAAACCATTTTGCTTACCAACTTTGAGCCAAAGTAATCCCAACAGCTCCATTTCCTAAGCCAGAACCGTCAAATGAATGGTCATAAACAATCGTAAACGAAAAGTGCAAATGCAAATTGCTTTTTGTGGTTTGAAACAACAACGAGACCTAGAGGAAGAACAGTCCGCAGAAAGCCACAGTAAAACTAGGGGGCTGAATTATGACAATGGCTGGCACTGTACTTATGAGAATGCTCTGAGGTCAACAAATTATGCTTTATTAACGACATGCATCGTAAAAATCGTAAATGGAAATTCCAACTTGGTTTACGATTATCCTCGCATCAATATACATATTATATATATTATATGCCATGAAAGAGATTCCAAGCAGCTTTGGTTGGAAAAGAAAGGAAGGAAAAAATGCCGGAATACTGTTTCAAATTGGTCGCAAACAATCGCAAACAGTTAAAACCAAAAATTGCAAAAAATACAGAAAACAAAATAAAAAGAAAAAAAAAATTGGGTAGCCTGAAATGCAATTAAACGATTTCATGCATATATGTAAATGCATTGCATAATGCTCAATTGCCGGAATCCGCGGAGCCATGAGAAATGAAATTACAAAATGTAACCATCAGCAGCAACACTGCCAATTGCAATAACAATGAAAACACATCGATTCGATCGGGCCCATAACAACAACTATTAAATTAATGCTGAAAACTGAAATCAATTTATTTGTAGAAAATCATGACGCATGAGGGAACAAGGGAGTTCGAAAAAAGGACAAGAGCCTGACGCGGCCACACATTATTTAATGAATAAATCAGACCGCCGGGAGCTGTGTCGAGCAAATAACCACGACAAATAACCAAAATCACACAAAATTCAATTGCAGCTGAAAAATAACACACACACAAAAACCTCACATGCCTTTTATCGTCATTCTTCAATTCGTTTTCATATTAATTCTAAAATACAAGTGTTCTTTTCGAATGGCATTTTAATGGGACTATGACTTTGAAAGATACAAAGGTAAACCTTTAATATAATTAATTTTATCATTAGTATTTTCATTTTTGACTTAAAAACTAACCTAAAATAATACCAAAAATGATAATAAACAAATTAAATTAAATAAACAAAACCAAGATTGGACCATCTTCTGTCAGAAGTGATAGAGTCCTGAATGTAATATTATAGATTTATCTATACTGTTTCTATATAATATAGATATCTTACGTTGAGATATACATACAAGTGAAAAATCTATATACTTTTTAATATATAATATTATACTTTCCCTTCCAAAATACACCCATAATCAAATGCTCGCCTTGACTTGGCAAAACAAAAACGTTCTTAACAACTTTAACTATTATTTATTTATTTTGCCACCATGCACGCAATCAAATTTCACTAATTTACAAGCATATTTCAATATATATATATTTTTTTTTTTTGTTTTTTTAATGGCAAATCAGTGTGTGGTGTCCTGGGTACTGGCATGCCAACGAGTCCCGGGAGCTTTCTAGTTGGCCAATTAAATTCAAATACATAATTGATAAGCGGCTAATTTAACGGCTCGACGCACAGAGCAACAATAATAGCGGCAACAACAACTAAACGGAGTAATGACAGGAATAACAATATGCACGAAGGCTCGAATTAATGACAAGTAACAGGATAACGATTTCAGCACGAACTCAAACAGAAGGACGAACACGAATTGGAGTCTCAAGTCGCATTCGTAGGACAGCGTCGTCAGTTTAGTTTATTTGATTTGTATTTTGTTGACAGGGACGTAAGGACAGTGTGTATGTCCTGGACCCTAAAATGTAAATATATTCAATACCGATGCATGCCACCACTTTGTTTGGCAAAAAGTTGCAGTTTCCGGTCCGAAATCAGCTTGTGTGTGTGCGGCTATATAAATAAGTTAGATGGTTTTGCCAAATTTATTTGATTACGCAATTTATAATTGGAGCTTATCCTTTTTGGAGGGGGAGGAGGATAGGATCACGTGCCATTGGGACCAGACTTCCATGTCACACAAATTCGGCATTTGATTTGTGTTTGCCATGCGTAATTGCGCACCGGAAGTGCAGGATGGCCATTAATGATGCTCCACCATGCATTTTGATACGCTTTCAGTTGTTTCTAGTTGTAGTTTATGAAGGAATTAAATCACCACTGGCGACATCTGTCTGACAATCAAGGAAAATGGGAAAACTTTTGGTGGAAAACTTGAAATAACCATAAAAGCGTGCCTTTGAATGAAGGGAAAGCTCATTTATTTCCCTGTTAGCTTTATTCTTTGAAGCTTTTTCTAAGCTAAGCTTTGTGGTAGCTTACAGACTCCCACTCCTTTGATGTCCTTGCTGACATCCGGCTTTGTCATTGAGAAATTTCCGCCCCAGTACGCATGCACTGAAACACTATGAACAGGTTTTTGGATGAGCTTTCAGCGTAACATGCGGTCAGATGTCAGATGTTTACCTTTGTAAGGAGAAACGTAAGAGAGAGAGAAAGATAGAGAGAGAGAGAGAGAGAGAGAGGGATAAAGAGAAGAGAATGTGTTAAAACATTAGGGTTGGTTTTAGAATTTAATGCGATTTTTAAGCAAATTGATTTAGATTCCAAAAATAAATTAGATATTAAATAAACGGACAAAGATTACAGAGTTAAATTGTATAAATAAGTATAAAAAGTAAAGACTTAAATATAGTACTGTCAAGTATTAATAATAATAATAATTTTATTATATAGTATAGATAAGAATTCAAGAACTTTATAAATATGTCACAAAAGAAACATTTGTATATATGTGTATTAATATATTTTTGATCAGCTTTACCAGAAGATTTTTTAGCCAACTGTCGGAAAGAAACAATAGATCACAGAGACTTTAAGAGCTTGTATATAACAATTTCTATAATTTCTAATACTTGAATACAAGTGTTAGTTGAACATTTTCAACTTCTTAATTGAAATAGAAATATAAAATTCCAACTCATTACAAAACTGCAAGTGATATTCCAAATTCCCCTAGCCTAGGACCTTTCCCCTCTCGAGGTCTCCAAAAGATGGCCAAAAGCTCATATCGCTCGTACACCCCCTCTTACCACCCGCTACCCCACGAATCAAAATCGATGGTAGAACCGTTTCGCTCTCGTTTCTTTGGGACTTCTGGCCAGTCTCCCGATTGGCCGAAGCTTTTTCCTCGCTGCTCCTTGAGCGTGTGGGCCAAAACGCGAATGAACATCGACCGTGGAAGTTGACTGCTGAAGTACAAAGCGCTAGGCTGAAGGTGAATGGGCAATGAAAAATTCTACAACTGCATAGAGAGTGTGAAAATCCATGGAAAATCTTTGAAAAAAAGCACAAAGAATTAAAGAAATATTAATAATTAATTGGTTAAATGATGGAAAATGCAGTGACAGTGTTTTGCTATTTGTTATATAAATGAAAACGCCATCGAAAGCACCGAAAAGTGTTGTGCGCGTGTGTATGTGTGCGTGCTAGCCTATGTGTGTGTGTGTGTGTCTATGTTTCTGTGTGTGTGTGTAGCACGCGCTTACAAAAAAGGAGAACATTTTTTGTGTATCAGAATTTTGTGGTGAAAAAAATGGCAGCAATGCAAAGAAAATTTGTAATTGTAAATTCCCAAGTGCAAGACGAATAATGATAATAATTAAAAAACGAAGAGAGCAAAAAATGGGCTATCATATGAAAGTGAAAACGCATGTGAGCCACTTGCAGGGATATTGATTTTTCCACATGATTTCTGTGCTCGCGTCTAGCCAAGCAAAAAACCAAGAGTAATTCCTATACAAGTGTGATATTTGTGCTAAAAAAACGGCTTGATAATATTTAAAATAAAACTAATAAACAAATTAAAGTCATTAAAATAAAAGGGGTTTCCTCAAACCAACTTCAAGTGTCTGAGTGCGAGAGAAAGAGAAAAAGCTCAAAAGGAGGCTAAAAGGACAAGAAGAAAGAAAAAACCCCGAACAAGAAATGGCCCTAAGAAAATCTCTATCCTGAATTTGCTTTCTTTGAGGGAAAAAGCGAATTTGCCAGCCCCCGCCTCTCTCTCTCTTCGCCCACACACAGGGACACACAGACACACATACGCACACTCGCACACACCCGCACACATAACCTTTTGAGCAAGGAGACACACACAAATTCGCTCTATCAATATTTACGCATACCATTGTATTTTGATATTACGTATACGCTCCGTTTCTCTCTCCCGCTCTCTCTCTCACACTCACCGTATTTCTCTCTGTGTCTCTCTCTCGTTCCCTCTCTTCGTTCGCGTCTCTCCCAACATTTTGTGGAAAATATTTAAATAAACTACATCAAATAAATCAATTAATATCCGAAAAGTATACGAAATTCATGTGAGACTAGCAGGCAGCGGCCTCACTAGTGCCACAGGCAAAAAAAAAAAAACAAAAAATAAGAAAGGAGTACAGCAGCAGGAGGAGGAGCACACCGCACCCACACACACAACGCCAGGACCCGCATCATCATCCTTCCTGCCAGGCTGCCGCCGCGACAACACCACCACCACCCGCCCCCAGCTCTGCTTAGCTGGAGTCTCGCTTCGTTAAACGCTGCTCAAAACCCATCATCTAACTAATAAAGCGGGCGATAAACAAGCACATTAAATACCGAAGGGAAGTGGAAGACCGAACTATAACGGCGAGTCCGATTGGAAATATTGGCAAAATTGTCTGATTAGGAGGTGAGTTTATTGGTTTGTTACAAAAATGTAGCATACTTATTGGGGCTTTATATAGAAAGAAGGAAGATGCATTATTAAGTAGGAATATAAGAGTTAACTATAGTTTTATCATGAAAAATGAATAATTTTTGAGTATCCTGGATTAATTGTAAGGTATATACTACAGTTATACCTAAATATTACCTTTATTTACACATCTATTCTTTAGTTATATGTTCAGTATTCATTTTAGAAATAAAATCTCAAGCAAATGCTTCGGAAAGGAATTTATTTTACTTTTGTTACTTATACTATAAGTATAAGAAAGTATTCAAAATCAAAGATTTAGCCACCAATAAATTCCCTATTAAACATTGTGTTACAATGTATTACCAATTTAAACCATCTCTATCCTAGAAACTTGTTTCCATGGTTAGCTCTCTTCTAAAAGGTCAAGACATATTTTATGTTAATTAAGTTTATTAGCCGCCAGACTGCCAAAATCCGGCCCTTAGCCACATATATCACTTATTCATTGGGCGGCCTCTTATCTTAGCCTAATAAGAGCTAAACTTGATTAAGTCTCTCTCTCTTTTTTGGTAATTAGCTGGAGACGGCCAGAGATTGTGATGGAAGTCCTGCGGCCGGCTATTAAGGGCATTGCAATAAAAATCCAGCTGAGAAGCCAGCAGAGAAACCGCACATAATTGCCAATAATCAAGTTGGCCCCCACGCGCACACACAGACCCTTTGACCCTTTCCGCCCCTAAAGGATATTTTTGGTAACAGGAGGGGTAAACGTAGGGCTTTATGAAATTTAAACATATCAATGGAAACCACTGGTTTTTGATTTTCAAAATAACACACACTTTGTGCGACTACAACGGACATTTTGTTCAATGAAAGCGAAAGAGCATAATGATGTGGAAAATTGGTTTTTCTCCTCGGGCATTCTTATTCAGTCCTGAGGCCTCAAGTCCTTGTTCGCCGTCGTCTAGCTGGGTTTTTCTTCATTTTCCTTTTTCCCTTGCCATTTTTCCGAGTTTTTATTTTGTTGCCTTCTCTGGGTTATGTGCGCAGTAAGGCAAGAGAGATGGAGAGAGAAAAGCGAGTGTAGATTTTCCACTCTCTCTCTCTCTCTTTGGATTTTCCACTCTCTCTCTCTCTGAGTCGCCAAAAAGTTTAACCGCTTGCTGCTCGGGAAACGGAACGGCAAGGATTCGGAGTTTGGGGTTCCCCCTTGCGATTTTCGATTCGGCCGCATTACGTGCGTGGGTTTCACAGATGTTGCCATAGATTCGAAACGAATCCTTTTTGCCTTTCCTAGTTTTTCCTCTATTTTTTTTGCAGACCAGCAGGTACCGTTGTTTTTGTTTTGTTTATCCAAAGCGGTAATGGATAATGGCTGGCTGTCTATCCACTCTTATTTAGCATTAATTTGGTCTGACAGCTTGATTGTCAGCCGGGTTTGTTGGTGTCCCCTCTTACTGAATTTTTGATGAATCGAAATTATCTTATCATTTCGGCAAATTTTACCCCTAATCTACGGCCAATTGTTGATTTTTTCCCCTCTGTCACACAGTGTGTCACTGCAATGCACCACAACGCCCACCGCTCACTATCAGATTTCTGATTTCTGCACCACAAATCCCCACCCACAATCGTCAGTCTATTTATAGAGACTCAGACAAAGGTCATAGCATTGGAATTATTATTAGGAAAATGGTTTGAAAATGAACATTGAATAATTGAGTAGGGTACAGGACATGAGAGCTGATTTTCAGGTATTTGCTACCCTAATTAAGGTTTAAATTCAATAAGACTGTGGTAATTGCATTGTTAATTTTTCATGACCTAATGGCTATTAAGGAAGGGCTGGGGAATAATGTACTTAAAGTAATGTATATTGAATTTTAAAGAATTTGTTCATGAACTTTGTTATTTGTGGGGTTTTATAAAGCTAAAGTATTTATTAAATTAATTCTAAAATTCACTTTATGATAAGAATTATCACTTTAATATATACCTTACATTTTAGAGCATATATAATAAATGAAAATAAAAATATATTCAAGTTTTCCTCCAAACAAATATTATATTTTAAAAGTTCCCCAACAATAAACCCACAGAGTGTTTTGTTATCACTTTAATTTTAAATAGAATTATCTCCGGCCACTTTTGATCTCCAATCTTCCACTCACTCTCCACTCAATTTCAAATTATATTACCAACTGTAATGCCCTTAATAACATACATTCCGCTTTGTACTTATTACACTTCTGACATTTACTGAAAATGTTTTCCCATCAATTGGGCCCTCAACAATGAACTCACTGACCATTTGAGCTTTTTTACTGGCCCTCAAAACGTGAGTACTTGCAAAAAAAAATACAAACAAATGTGTGGCTGGCAAAGCCAGCTGTTGAGGCCATAAAGGGAAAATTCGCCTTTCGTTAGAAAACTGCGTCGTAGTTTGTTACATCGCTGCTACAAATTTTTTCGGGCCCAGACAAGTGGGCACCACAAAAATCACCCATCCGCCCGGTTGACCCGTTGAGGAAAAGAGTACCACGAAAATTGGCAGAATGACAAAATTGTTTTGCCAACGCGGCGACATACAATATTTTTTTGTGTGACCTTCTTTTCCCTGTGGCTTTTCCTGGTTGCACATCTTGTTCTTATTAACCTGCAGGAATTTGTTTTTTGTTTTGTTTTTGTTTTGTTGCCCCAATGGCAGGCCATAATTCAGAGGAGGATTTTCTGCTGCATTAATAAAATATGGCAAGCAAAGTGCTTTGCCTTTGGCTTTACCTTGGGTTCAAGTGTCCTGGCCTCTTCCTGTTCGTGATTGCCATTTTCCGGGAAAAAAGGTGTTTCTGATTGTTGCGTGTACATTTATTATTGATGAGTTTCCCTTCTGGGTCCGGAAAGTAGCGCTAAGTGTTTGTCCGTTTTGTTGTATTCTTCGTTTTTTTCTTTGCTTCTGTCAGTGAGCTGCAACTCAATTTATCTGGCGATATCCTTAGCCCCGGAAGGACTCGTGGCACTTTCTAGTTTCCCATTTTTTATTGCTTCTTCTCGCATTTTCCTCTTTCTTTCCATGAAGTCATTTCCAGGCAGCCTCTCCATAGCAAAATGTGTCCTAGATGCATTTAAATTTATTGATTTGTTGGCTATATATTTTACCGCAGGCAAAGGCTTAAAGGCGTGGTCGGGGAACACTTCTGCCACTTATCACGAAATTCAATTTATTTGATTTTTAGAGATTTGATTTTTAGAGAGCTTAAATATAAATAAATATAAAATTAAGGCAAGGGGTAATTATTTAAGCTTTTATTGTGTTTATTCAAGTTAAAGCCCATTTCATGTTAGCTTAAATTTGGTACAACATTATTATTAAGTATATTGAAACATATTCAACTGCTTACCATAATATTATAAGCCCCCTTAAGTAAAATAAGCCCCCCTTAAAAAAAATTTAGAACACCACAAAATTCTTTAAATAAAATCCAAACCGATTTTTTTGACTACACAAAAACTCCCCAAAACTCCAAATAACTTCAAGAATTTCGTGGCCCTTAAGGCTGGGTCACACGTCTGCGTGATAATTCCTTAAATTAAATAAAAAATTTACTTTCGCCTCGAGGTTAAACGACCCTTACAACATAATTTCGCATACTTTCCATGCAAATTGTGTATTTTTGGACCAGCACGCAAAAAAGGGAAGTCCTTGTTAGACAAACACAGAGTTTGCATTTAAATTTTCTACGCGCCTCGAACCCACAACATTTGAATTTTAAGCATATTTATGGAACCGAATAAACAAAGCAGCTGCCTGCAGGCTTTTCATTTAAGCGGCTCTAAGAGTTTCCCCTCCCCTCCCCCCCCCACAAGTTTCCCTTTGCAGTGGATGTGAGTGTGTGTGCCAGGGTATAGATGTCCTTTGACGTCATTTGCCAAGTAAACACAGCGGCAATTTGAAGTCACTTTAGCCTTATATTGAGCTCCTACACCAAGTTCTCTGGTTTTTTTGTTGTAGTTTTTTTAGCCAAGCTTGTTGCTGCCTCTTTACGGGTTTTCCTTTTATTTTCCTCGCTTTCCCTGGGCGGTTGAGTGGTTGGGCGGGCATTATAATTTATCTTTGGCTGTGGAAGCTTTATGAAAAGCGCGACCGGCTTAATGGAATTCCGCAAACAAGAGGTGAAAATGCGAGATGTAAAAGCGAACTTAGTTAAGTATTTGAGAGGGATAATCGGCTTATTTAAAGTAGAATTTCCTGATGGTAATATTAATTAGCTAAAAAGGGTGAGGATTATATGGAAACTAAGTTCTTTGTGTTGCGTTTTGCAAAAGGGAATAGTTGTAGTTTAATAATAATAACAAATATAGAGAGATAATGAATATTTGATGCCTATCTTTACACTTAAAATATAGTTAATGTTGAAAACTTTTAGTAAATAAGGTAGGATTTTACTACAAATTATAAAATTTACTTGTGAAGTAATTATGTTTGGGATATGCTTCTTTAGGAGAACCAAATCCTTTGTTTTATAGTTTAGGTTTTCATAAATAATTTGTATTCTTAAATAATAAATAAAAAATCTCATATATATTATTATAAATAATAAAACTCTTAGAAATACTTAGTAATATCTATTTATAGACCTCAGACTATAACTGATCCTAAATTCTGCCATAAAATTAAACCAATAAACTGCTCTTTTGACTTGATAAATTTATAAAGAACATTTTCAGAAGCAAAAACATTTTAATTCTTTTATTTATCATATATTAAGGACCCCAAAAATATCCAGAAAAATTCCATTAGCTGACACATGTCATTCAACTTTTGTTGGGTCAACAAAATTACATTTTTCCAGCGGAGATCAGGGACTCTTAAAGTCCCTAGCTGCGACAGCTTATTGCCAATCAAGGAGATATGAATATACTTATATAGAGCAGGGAAAGCCCCTAAATCCCGGGAGACCGTCTCCGCGACAATGGCGGTTCAGGGTCACTAGATGTCAGACAACAAAACATAATGCAGGATCTGAGCGGACCCAACTCAAGCAGATGATTCCCCTCGTCCATAATTAATGCGGCTCAAATTGTTAAAGCAAATGAAATGCCGCTCAGCATAGAGGGGGGAAATATGGAAAACAGAAAAATAAAGAAGAAAACTCTAAAGCGAGCTGGAGGCAGTGTTAATATTAATGAATTCAATTAAAGAAGAAAGAGAGAACAAAATGAGAAGAAACAGGACAAAGTCGAGTCGGGGGATCCCTGCCATTCAAAGCCTTCTGTGTGGGTGCCATTGTGGATACGCCATACTGTTCCATATTACATATATATATATATATATATATATATATCTGGTGGGTGAGAGTGCGTGCCCTTGGCTGGCTAAGGATAAGCACTTTTACTTGCTGCGTACTCACACTCACTCACACACACATTTATAAGCATTTCCTCCCGTTTTAGTTGGCGCCGTCAGCGCATTTCTAGTGTTTCAAGGATGCGAATGTAGGAAAAGTTGCTAACGACTTTTGTGGAATTTCTTTGTGGCGACTCTGTTGTTTTTTTCCACTATTTTTAAAACGCCAACAGCCTGGAAATTAACCGCACATCGTGAAAATGTTTTCTCAAGTTGAATAAAAAATATATATGGGGAACATTTAACTAAAGTGGAACGATAGCATTTTATTTACTAAAGGACCTTGAGTTTGTTACATTTTTATTGTGGATAAGTCTTTTATTTATTGAAATTGATTAGCATTAGGTAAATATATAAATATTTTCAAATACAAACTCTTAACGCTTGTTGGATGATTAGGATTTATAATTACAACATTAAATATTTTACTATCTTTACAATTTAATTATTATAATATTCACAACTTCTATAATTTTTTAGAAACAAAACACAAACAAAATGCCGCCAAATGCGAAATCGGAAGCGGACGCCAAACCGGAAGCGGAACCAGCGCCAGCGTCCGCATCAGAGCCGGCAGCTGGACTGGAATCCGTGGACCAGAAGCTGGAAGCAGAAACACATCATTCCAAGTTCCGTGAGGTGGACAGGCAGGAACAGCTGGAGCAGGCCGAAAAGGCGGCGGAAGCGGCCAGTCAAAGAATCGCACAGGTGGAATCAACAACAAGGAGTTCAACCACAGAGGCTCAGGGTAAATAATTCATTAAAAATAGATATTAACTAATAAAATTAATGAATTCAGAAATTAAATAAACTTCAGGAAGCCCAAATCTATATATATGCTTAAAGATATTTATGGATATTTTTCTATGACAATTATATATATAAATCCAAGTTTTAAAAACTCATAACTAAGCCAAAAATGCATTAATTTTGATTCGGAAAGCGTTCCTATGCTAGTTTTTGTTAGTTTAATAAATCTGCATACTCAATTAAAAATTTTAATCAATTCAATTTTTTGTCAATTTTTTAAATTTTAACAATGTAAATTTTTGTGTGAAAAAATATCGAAAAAAATTTGAAAATTTATTTTCCCACCGGAGATGACTAGATCGACTTGGCTGTTGATGCTGATCAAGAATATATATGATTTATGGGGTCGGAAATGACTCCTTCACAACCTAACAAGCTTCTAATCAAAACTATAACACCCTAAAAGGATATAAAAATAAAATATAATAAAACTTCTAAAACGTAACATTTTCATTATATTTTTATAATACATATAAATTATATTTATTTTTTCCTTTTCAGAATCCACAACCACCTCATTGCCGGTGATCAAAAAGATCGAGCATGCCGGCGAAGTTGTCACTGAGGCAATTGCCGAACGCACCGGCCTGCCCACATGGGGCGTGGTGGCCATCATTATCCTCGTGTTCCTCGTCGTCTTTGGTATCATCTTCTTCTGTGTCCGGAGATTTCTGAAGAAGCGAAGAACCAAAGATGGTAAGGGTAAGAAGGGTGTCGACATGAAGTCGGTACAATTGTTGGGATCGGCGTACAAGGAGAAAGTAAGTGTCTGACGCGCCATCAAATCTTAGTAGTTATTGGGTTCTGGTATGTCATAGGTTCAGCCTGATATGGAGGAACTCACCGAGAATGCCGAGGAGGGTGACGAGGAGGATAAGCAGAGCGAACAGAAGCTGGGTCGCCTCAACTTCAAGGTGGGTTCTCCCTTTCTCCAGTCCCTTTCCCCCGGGGTCTCTCTTAGCAAACCCCTCCGTAATCCCCGAAATACGATACTAACCAAATAGTTAAACGTGTGCACAGTTGGGAAAACACTTACCACACACAACAGCGGACAATAAATACTCAACATTTGCCAAAATGAGTCTTGTAACTTCCTCTTCAAGGTTTTCAATCACACTGAAACAACAAAAATTACATTAAAACTCGAAATTTTCAGTTTCCACTTTGTAACATTTGGCACTCAAGAAGTTTGTTTACGAAAGTTCTTAATTGTAGCTATATAAAAGTTAAGTTAAGGAAAGAATTAGAATTTTAAATACTTTCAAAAGTATATTAGTTAATAAAGTTGTAGTTGTAGTTAATTTATAGTAGTTTTCAATACCAATTTGGTTGCCCTTAAATTACAATTCAGTTCACCGGAAGTTAAATTAGAACAAGTTCAAGTTAGAGCTAACTTTTAGTAGTTAGATTTTGATACACTTGGTAAAATTTAACTCATTTGTTTACCATATCTCAACACGTTTTTCTTAAGAATTAAATGTTTCTTTATAATTGTTCTGTTAATCAGAAATTATGTTTACAGAAAGTTGGATAACTAGAATTTGGTAAACTTAAATCTTTAAAACTTTGTATTCTACAACTTGTTGAGTGCCTTAAATGTTATTTCTCTCAATTTTCCCCCAGTGCGAAACAGACTCAAATCAGACCTAGCCACCACATTAATAATGAAATATATGACAAATATAAACAATTGACTAACATATATTTTTTCGATCTGTCTCCTCTTTGGTTTCAAAACCGAAATCCCCCTGCTGGTGCCGCCTTTTGAATCTCTCTCTTTTTAGCTGGAATACGATTTCAATTCAAACAGTTTGGCCGTGACAGTGATTCAGGCTGAGGAGCTGCCCGCTCTGGATATGGGTGGAACATCGGATCCTTATGTCAAGGTTTACTTGCTGCCTGATAAAAAGAAGAAGTTCGAGACCAAAGTGCACCGCAAGACCCTGAGTCCAGTCTTCAACGAAACGTTCACCTTTAAGGTATATTTTGTTATATGTAATTTTAGTTAGATATTTTTAATGATATATTTTGGAATCACAGAGTTTACCCTATGCCGATGCCATGAACAAGACGCTTGTGTTTGCCATCTTTGACTTTGATCGCTTCTCGAAGCACGACCAGATTGGCGAGGTGAAGGTGCCGCTGTGCACCATTGACCTTGCGCAGACGATCGAGGAGTGGCGTGACCTTGTCAGCGTTGAAGGGGAGGGCGGACAGGTATGTGAAGCTGGGCCGGGTTTTCCACAGTTTTTGGGGGGTGATCACAACTATATATCCGTAACTCTCTCTCTGTCTATGTATACCACTCTGTGTGTGCCTCTAAGTGTGTTTTATTATTTACATTATAATTATTATTCTATAAATCCAACTCAAGAAAAATCCATTGAGATTTATTTATCTCTCTATATACATATATATATTTCTCTCTTTTGTAAGCCATATGATTTATTGCGTTCGTTTGTACTCTGAGTTTTTGAGCCAAAAAACTAAGCCAACACTGAAATCGTGTGACATTTGTTGACTTCTGTGACCTCTCTCTCCTCTCTCTCTCGATTGTGTTTTGTGTGTATTTTGCATTCGAACCTAAGTCACGACCAAATTTTATATAAATATAAATATAAATATGAGAATACAACAGAAAGCAATCAGAAGCATTTGTGACACCCACTTGATATATTTGTTTTTAAGTCAACGATCCCCTTAGACCCCCAAACAAAATCCACCCCCTCTCTATAAGTACATTTTTTGGGTGGGGCGGTGAAATAAACAAAAACAATTACAATGAAAACAGAAAAACTTTACTTAAAAAAATAAGAGAAAACAGAAACAATATCAACAATGAAAACTTCGCGGTACAGACAAGCAAAAGTTTTTCGAATCTCTTGTGAAAACTTTTACACACCCAGTTCAAAATGCAAATATAAATAAATAACAGAAATTATCTTACCATTTAAATAATCAATACTCAAAACAACCGAAAACCAACAGCAAAACAAATGGGGGGAAAATCAAATGTTGGGAAAGCGCCTTACCTTGATTTTCCCCTCCACTCTCTATCTCTCTCTCTCTATCTTTGTTAATATCTCTCCGACAGTTTTATGATTTTCCTTGTACCTTTTTCAAACCGAAAACACAACCAATACAACTAATACAACTACAAAAAAATAAAACTCTAAATTTCTCTTTCTCCAATTCCCCCTCAAAAAAAACAAATTGATTTCGAAACATATAAAAACTCTTGTTTTACTTGAACTTTTGTAGAAGGTAAATACAAAAACATCATTTAAAATTACGTAATAAAAAACAAAAAAAAAAAGAGAACTCTAACACCTTTGCATACACAATTTGAGTTTATGATTTTCCCTCTATATAACATGCTCTGTCTCTGTGAACTGTCGCTCTTGTACACAAAAACTAAATAATAATAATAAAAAACTGTTTATAATGCATCGAAACACACTTGACTGATTGGCTTAACTAACCTACCTTCAAAACTTTCTATATTTTCCCATCAATAATCAATCAATTTTGTTCATGAGCGATTGTTCTCTGATTTTTTCTCTGTCTCTAACTCTCTCTATCTCTCTCTATATATATATATAACATATATGCATAAATATATACCCCGATATATTGTTATGTCTGCATTCTTTCTCGCATCATTAATATTGTAGTTGAATTTTTGTATTAATATTAACGATTTCATGTCCTGTTTTGCAAAAGAAAACGCATTTTATGACAAATGTTTTCACATTTCCATATGCAAATGATCACACTGCAATATTAATTTGTTGAGAAAACGTGTGGCATATAAACAAAGCCCCAAAAAGAAAATCAATCAGCATGGTTGAGTGCTTTTCCACCATTTTCTTCTCTAGCCTTTTCCTACAATTTTCCCCAAAAAATAATTGCCTGTTTTCAGGCCATTTTCCTTAAGCATTCGTTGACCATGCTGATGCAATTATTTTAGTTGCTGAATTAAATCCTGTCCCCACTCTTAAACAAATTATAACAACATGACAACTCTAATAACACAATTTTTCTTTGCACTTTGATTGGAACAATTAAACATCGAAAATACTTAAAAAAAAACCAAAAACTTTTGCATAACTTTCTTAAAGTAGTAATCAACTTTTGCACCCCGAGTTATTTGCATAAAGTCTATCAAACTTTTACCCAAACACAACACACTCTCTCTATCTCTTTTCCTCTGTAAAACCCCCCACCCCCCTACACACATACAGACACACTAAAAACGCACAAAAAACAAAAACATTCTTTGAAATATAACAAATAACAAATTATCTAACTAACTAAATTAAAATGTTGTAAAATATTTGCATTAATTAAAATGAATTGGTCGAAAATGATGAAAGGAATGCTCTGAAAAAGATTCAACACAGATACACACAAAAACACACACAAACACACACAATGCACAAAGGACATTTACAAATACAAATAAATACAATCTAAAAAGCACAAACACACACACACAATCACACAAGGACACAATTTCAGAAATGGAAAAAGCTTTAAGTTTTCGCCTGTGAATGCCGGACATGAAAATGAAATGGAAATGTCTAATTAAATATTTTTCGGCAAACCGAAAGTTTATACAATTGCAGGATAAAAAAGAGTATATAAACAATATATTTAATTTCAGTATTATCTTAAAATATGTTGTGACATTTTTAATGGATTTTGAAATATATAAATATAAATTTGATTGTTGCTATAATATAAGAGTTAGGCTTTGATAAAGTATAGATCAGGTTTTCTATATAAATAACAGAGTTGAATACTTTAATACCATTTTTAAAGTTTGTTTTTTATAGTTTTTATAAAAAAAAGGTGCCTTAAAATATTGTATGAAATATTATAAATGGAGTTTCCAATATACAAAAACATAGCATACTTTTTGGAACCATCGTAAAGAGATTTAAAATATATAAATATGTCTTACTATAAACAACTAAAAACCATACTTTCTGATTTATAAAACAAATAAAGTCCCGCAACTGTTTAAATATTTTCAAAATACAATTTCCATGCATTTTGAAAGCAAAGAAAATTAGCTTCAGTGCCAAAATAAAAAATCCAAATACTGTAACCTTTCCTTATATGAACTTTCAACTTACTTAACAGTTAGTTTAGAAACACTGCAAAATATACCTTTTCAACCAATTTTTTACTCTACTGCATGTATTTCCTTTTGCTTACGACTTTATACTAATATATAAAACCACACTAAGTATTAGTAACTAACACCAGAACACGCACACACACATCACACGCACATCGAACACGGACATACGACCATTAATTGGTTACAAAACTATACCAACAAAAAAGAAACATTTTTCAAAAACAAAATTTTAATAACTATTATTACTTATCAAAATTCTACTGGAAATGGAATTCAAAAGTTTTTAATACGCTCTTAATTTTTCTCTTTAATTATTTTTGAACGTATCGCTAAAAAACCAAACCAAAAAAAATAAAAAAAAAACCAAATCCAAAATCTGTAAAACACAAAAATTCGAAAACTCGAAATTTTCAAACTGTACTCGAAATTTTTGACTCATGCCATGGAAAAATCTCGAATCCGAAATGTGAATCATGCGATAAACATGTAAGTATAAAATCGAAGCCGAAGAGAAGATTCATAATTATCGTTATTTGCTTTTGTTGTTGTCGTCATAAATGTGTTCCCAGTTCTGTTTGTTGTGTTTGAGTTACAATTCTGTTCGACCAGCAAAATATGTAAAAATGTATTCAAATCAAGAGCCAAGACATTGGACAAATCTAGAATGAAATCAAACTGAAAATGATGATGAAAATAAAAAGATGATAATGAAAATAAATATGAAAACGCTTCTTTTTAAGTCGTACGTTTTTGTGTTTAGCTCTCTGTCGCTGTCTCGCCCGATATGTGTGTACTGTAATTACGTTTTCATTTGCATAACCTAATTGTGTACTGTAATGTGTAAGCAGAGCTTCGATGACAGTCAAATACAAAAAACAAATGCTCAATAATCCTGTTTTTTTTTCAATATTTTTATTAAACATTTTCTTACATTTCATTTCCGTTTCCGTTAACGTTAAACGTTTCTGTTTCCGTTTCCGTTACCGTTTCCTTTTCCGTTTCGATTGTTATTTGAAACATTTTAGTTACCATGAGACATTCACCAAACATTTAACAAAGAATATTTTGAAAGGCCCAGAAACGCAAAATCAAAACGATAAGAAAAAAAACCTGAACATGAATCGAGTTCAATGAATTAAAATATTAAAAAAAAAACTAAGAAAAACCTATAAAGTTGCGGTAAGTGACTCCGATATAAGACTCTATAAATTCTCTATAACGCTCGCTCGCTCTCTGTCTGTCTCGCTCGCTCGCTCTCTGTCTCTGTCTTGAAACTTTTTTAATCAATCCAAAATAACACACAACCACATTTTCTATAGCTAACAAATTATAGTTCAAACAATACGATTTTTAATTGCCCGGGTTTGTTTGACCCTTGGAGAAGTGCTCGAGGAATTGGCATCGAATTGGTTTGTGTTATAAATAATAATAATTTACAAATTTAAAAGAAAAACGAAAAACTGCAAGCGGTTCGAACCAGCCTAGGGTTGCTATATACTTATATTAATTAATAGAAATACTGATAACTTAGATAGTATTTTCATTTGTAAAATATATACTTACGATCTTTAATAACCTTTCATGTACATAAGAAATCAATATCTCTCTATCTATTTTTTCTCTGTATAAGTAACATTTTATTCATTTTGATATCTATCGTACCTTTCGAATACGGGTCCAAAATAGAATTCCAAAATTTAGTCTCTTTACTGTACATAAAAATCGGTTCAACTCTGCTTGACTTCAACTTCTTAACTCTCTGTCTCTGCCTTCTCCTAATCTCATATCAATATAGTTTCTAAGAACAATTTTGAAAAAAACCAAAAATATTTTTGCATTTTGTGCAGTCGGTTTTGAGCTGGGTGTTATTTAAAAAAAATATAAAAATCGAAAACAAGACAAACGGAATACTAAACAAATGAATCAAATATAACTCCAAAGTGAATCTGTAAGTGGTATGGTTTTCAAGTAATAAAATAAAAGTAATAAATGAAAAGGAAAAACACAAGTCCCCTTTATACAAAGAAATACACTTAAACAATATCAACGAGTTTAATTTCTGTTCAATACTTTGCCTTAGTTTCTTCAATTTTCTTTTTGGATATACTCTTCTCTCAGATATACATATATTTAGGTATATTTATATATATAAATATTTACACTTAACAAAATCGAAGCTCTAAGACGTGCAGTAAATGTTTTTAATGTAATTTTTTGTGGCGTTTTCGTTTTGTCAATATAAGAAAATGAACTAAAGTTGATGTAACCATTACTTACTATAATACTGTACTGTTTACCCCCAAACCCAAGAACCCCTAAAACCCTGAACTTGTAACAAGTGTACTTAATTTTTTAATTTCCCATTTGTGTGAGCCGTCTTGACGTTAAACTTAGATCTTAAATTATTATATTTACTGGTTATGGAGGAAATATATAACTTGAGTAGCTTAACTGTGTGTGATTGAAAAGATAAAATCTAAGAAAAATGTGATCCTAATTAACATTTGAAAACATAAGAGTTAGTAGTAGTTACTTCTATTATCTAGGCGTCTGTTCAATTTAACCAGTTAAAGGTTTAAAGTTTCAACTTTTCGAAACCTCTAAACTTATCTCTATCGTTCTATCTATCTATCGTTCAGAACTCTTCTTTATTTGTCTGATAAATTTAACCAGAGGCTTTTTTGTTTTCACTTTTAAGAAGTCTCTTACTGAGAGAGATTTTTCTTCAAAATCTTATCATAAAAGGTACCTAAACTATTTAACTGTCAGTTAAATTTAATAATAGGCTACCTTTTTAGGGTTATTACTAAATTCCTCATTTAAATCATGAGGTGATCTTTATAATAATTTAAAAACCAGTGTTTAAAAAGTTCAAATCTTATTAAATATATACTCTCCCTTGCACTGTGGCGTAGTGCTGACCCCCATTGATCTAGAAACTATATAATTATTATCCCAAATATATATATATATATTTAAATGGATATGTATGTAAATGTATCAATAGACTCTGTGTGACATGTTGTTTGATGCAAGTCTGAAACATTTTGAATAATTTGTACTAACCCAAACGTAAACTCTTTTCCGGAAACAGGAAAAGCTGGGAGATATCTGCTTCTCGCTGCGATATGTGCCGACTGCCGGAAAACTAACCGTTGTCATCCTGGAGGCCAAGAACCTGAAGAAGATGGACGTGGGCGGATTGTCTGGTAATGTGGCGTTATACCAAGGCGCTGGCAGGATTAATCGGGGCATTGATTTAGGCCTCCTTTGGTCCTGTCGGCGTTTTTATTGCTTTCTATGTGTGTAAATTAGCTAAGTGTGTGAAGTATATTGTTCGTTTTATTTTACTTTTTATGCCATTGTTTTGTTTTTTTCTCTCTTATTTCTATAACAACTTATTGAGGCCGAGCAAACGCCAAGGCAACGTTTGCTACGAACAAATATAGAGGATAAAGAGCAAAGAAATGCAACTTTTATTCCAATTACTATTTTGTCAACTACTTTTCAACTATCAATTAGCGCCAAACTTATCAACTTGCATATCTTACCGTATTTAACCTAAATCGCGTACGCTACAATTTCCAATTAATTCATTTACTCTCTAATCAAATCAGAAATCAAATCAAATCAATGGATATATTTATTGTCCGGCAACGTTTCCATCCCGAAATATTCGCACAGTTTTTTTTTAAATATATATATATTTAATGTATGCCTGGCCAAGCCAAATAGAGAAAAAACCAAATTGAACGCCAAGCTCGTCCAAGCTAATCGACTGACCGAATTCTCGCTTGCTTTAGCTTCACTTTTGCATGTAATCTGTACAATTTATTTATTAACTTTAAACACTCGACATCATTTCGGGCCACTCGCAGGACACTAGTCCCGAGTTGGGATCCCAAAAACGAAAAGAAGTTACAAAACGTTGCCGCTGAATATATCCAAAAAAAAACCAAACCCAATTTAAAGTTCTTCTAGGCTTTTACAAACAACAGAACATTTTCCAGTATGTTTTTTAATGCTCTGAAAATATTCGGATTGAAACTTTCCAAGTGACTACAGATAATATGTTATTTATCTATGTACATTTTAATTTAACACAATTTGTGTGCGTATATGCCTTGAGTTTATAAAAGTTGCTGTGTTCCAAAACGTATCTCTGTATCCGGTAATCGATTTTAACTTGCAATAATTTCATTTTTTGTTAAAGATATCAAGCCAAAGCAAAGTGCAAAAAGGTTTTGGAAATCTCCAGTAGTTATTTGAGCAAATCCCATCTAAATATCTAGAGATTTCTGTACCCCAATATTATAATATTAATCAAGGATATTAGATTATACTTTAATCCTTTGGCCTGCTTTCTTTATACTACTATATCGTTGCGTATTTTCAGTTGATTTTGGGTTTGCCAATTAAAAATTAATCTATTTTTACAAATACAATAATCAATGTTTTTTGGTGTCAATTAATTATTATATATGTGTAACGCCAAAACAAGAAACAAAAAAAATAATAAGATGTGTTCATCAGATTGTTGGTAAAATTTTACTTTGTTATAAAAACGAAAAATGTTTTCTTTTTTTCTTTCTTTCAATTCTTTCCTATATTATAGATCCATATGTGAAAATTGCAATCATGCAAAATGGCAAACGTTTGAAAAAGAAGAAGACAAGTATCAAAAAATGCACCCTCAACCCTTACTATAATGAGTCGTTCTCATTTGAAGTACCATTTGAACAAATACAAGTATGCGAGAATGTATTATACTATCCTATAAAAAACCACAACTACTACTACTACTACTACTACTCTACTACTACTTACTACCTCTACAAACTAACCTACTACTTACTACCTACTGTTACTACTGTTACTGTCCTCTTCTGAACTATCTACCAAACTACAAACTAAAACCGAGTTTTGAGTAACCTCCAACCTCCCCTCTCTTAACACACACTAGCCTACTTACGTGCAATCGTTGTTGTTAATTATACTACATATATACCGTATATATATATATCCATATATTGAATACTTGTATTCCAAAACCAAGAGACAACAACACCCAACTCTGAACCAAAACAACCAAAAAAAACAACTCTTAGAGACCAAATCTTCGTAATACCCATAAAGATATATCTTAAACTTCCCCCCTCCTCAAAAACAACTAACTTAATCAATCTTTGTGTTCTATAAGATTTAAAAACAAACAAAAAAACCCAAAAACGTATTCAATGTTTAATGTTGTAATTTACAAGTTTTAATCAAAATTTTGTACCAGCTTTTTATTTTGAATAATCCCTTATTTACTACTGTAAATACTCAAAAACAAAAAAGCAAGTTAAAGCCCCGAAAATATTAGCAAATGTTCTCGATTTGAATAATTATAATTTCAATGCTTTTAATTGTGTGTAGTCTTTGAGAAATTAATTAATTATTGAACCTGATTTTGAGCTTCAGTTCGATGTGTGCTTAGCCCAGCTGATTTGGTTTATGTTTAAGTTCAATTAATTTGACAAGTTCGATGTGTAAGCTCAAAGGCAAAAAAGAGGAGAGCAATGAACAGCAGGCATGCCTAGTGGCTTAGGAAAAATCAGCAAAAAAATCAGCTCAATTAAGCATTTTAGATGCGAAACACACACAGCATCCTAGATGCATTTGAATGGAGAGCAAGCCAGTAGTGTGCCGCTTCGCTCGCAATCGAGCAAAAAAACAGCATCAAAAATGAAAGCAGGGATGCCCAGTTCGAAGATCCTTTGGGATTTCTTACGACACAACACAAACACAACACATGAGACACGACTTGTTTCTTTTCAAATTATTATTTCTTGAACTATTCGTGGGCATCCCTGCAGCAAAGCACGAGCCTTACACACACAATTTGTAGCCCACACACACTCTCCAGAGGGAAGTACAGTGAATACTACCAAATATATATATATATATACAAGAAATTCGAATACCAATTTAAACTACTCTTTCCATAATACAAACTATCGCAAACTCTTTATAACAACGGCGTCAATAATGCACCACGCAACCACCAAATCGCAGTGGGTACATTATTTTGACACTGTCTTCTGATTTGAATATCGAATACCAAATCGCACCACAACAGCTACAGTACAAAATACAGTAATACACAGTATAAATATATACCCCACCACAGAGAAGTATAGCGTATCACCATGAATATACCGAATTCATCAATACCAATTCCAAACATAATTCCAAAACAATCTGGAACATTATGGGAGAACTCTGTTACGGTTACGTTACGTGTGCTAGTACCCCCTGTCTCTAAACAATATATAACATGAATACAACATTTATAAGTAGGACCCGTCCATGCCATGACCAATTAACAATGAACGACAAATGGGATTGAATATTATACATTTTCGTTTACACGTATTTAATGAACATTTTTCTTTTTGGCCACAGCTTAAGTGAACTGCTATCGAATATCAAGAAAAGTAATTTGTTCATTAGTCCCCGAGGTTAAAAGAAAACAACAGACGATATATATACATAAATATTTATATATATATCTCAACCGAACCATATTCATTTGCTTCTCACCTTGCGCTACTCGAAAGCTTTTAGGAATTTCTTTCGTTTATTTTTCAACATTTATCATTTTAAGCTACTCATAATCTAGCTTTAGACATTTGCATGTTCTGCTTGTTTACTCACAACCAAAAAAAAAACAAAAAAAGGTAAAAACCCAAAAAAAAAAGAATATATACAAGTAAAATACTCCACAGCAAGCATAACCCTTTTTGAAGGAGCTTTTTGTAATGCTTGAGAACGCCTTTAGATGTTTACCCCAAAAAAATAAAAACCTATAAACTATAAACCCCAAGAGCTTGTGCTAAAACCCAGTGCCAGCCTGTGGAAAATTTCCAGCCAACGATCTTAACGATTGAACCGGAAGTAGCTTGCACTAAAATTCTTGAATATACAGCACTCAAAAGCCCTTATATATAAAGAAAAAAATACCTCCACGTAGAGACTGATACCTCTGTCTATAGCCTGCTTCCAAAATAAAAAATCAGCATTCGTAGTGCCTGTTAGCCAAAACAACAGCTCCCACTTCTATCCCCGAAAAATGAAAAACAACTCAAAACCCAAAAACAGAACACGTATATCGAAATACCGAAAAGTTCTTCTACTCAAAAGCGCAGTTCCCCCCTCCCCTTCAACCAAATAAAAAATAAATCAAATTATTTAAACAAAAAGAAGAAAAAAAACCGATAATACTCCTAGATCCTAGAATATCCCATACTAATGCCGGTACTCTGCCTTGAACACCTCTTTTCCCTCCAACTAAAAAAACGCTCGCGAGCAGAAAATCTGTCTTGTTGTGACCGTCGTGGATTATGATCGTATTGGAACCTCCGAACCCATCGGTCGCTGCATACTTGGCTGCATGGGAACCGGCACCGAGCTGCGTCACTGGTCCGATATGCTGGCCTCGCCACGTAGGCCCATAGCCCAGTGGCATACCCTCAAGGATCCGGAGGAGACCGACGAGATCTTGAAGAACATGAAGTAAGGCGCTACCATGGATAACAAAAAGCAGGTGAGAACTACATTTTAAACTAGGTTATATTGAAGGATATATGGTAGAGAGAATAATACCACATATGTTAAAAGGCATTTGAATTACCTTATGATAACCCCTTGATGAGAGGGTAATAATAGTTTTTCGGTGAAAGAGTGATTTCCGACCCCATAAATGATCAGCTTGATCAGCATAAAAAGCTGAGTCGATCTAGCAAATTTCTGGCTTAAAATTTGTTTTTCGAAATTTTGTCCATTTTTGTTTTGTCAAAAAAAGATAAGATTAAAATTGTAAAAATTGTCAAAATTAAAAATTTTTTCAAATTTTAAACTGAGTATGCAGGATTAATATTTAAATAAAAACTAGCATAGGACAGCTTTCGGAATTAAAATTAACGCCTTTTTGGCTAAGTTATGCGTTTTATAAAACATTGATTTGTCAATATTTTTATATAAAAATATAGATAATTATCGGCTCAAAGAATGGTATTATAGTTTCAGTCAGAAGCTAAAAACTAAGTGAAGGAGTCATTTCCGACCCCATAAATCATATATATTCTTAATCAGCATCAGCAGGCGAATCTTTTTAGGCATGTAGGGAAGAAAATAAATTTTTGCCAATTTTTTCCTAATTTTATCATCGTTAAACTTCCAAAAATTAAATTTAAAAATTTTAATTTTTTTTTAAATTTTAAATTGAGTATGTAGATTTATTAACCTAATAAAAACTATCATAGGAAAAGTTTCCAAATTGAAATTAATGCTTTTTTGGTTTAGTTATGAAATATATTCAACGCATTAGAGGATGTCACATATTTATTACGTATACGCAATGTGGCGCAAGAAGGAAATGAAAAATGTAATTAAAAATCTATATTTTTTGTTTGGCCAAGTCCTTTCTCAAGAGTTTAAATACCGATTTAATATAATGAGCGATTATTTCAAGACTTCTTGAGGGCATAAGATGCTTATATAGTCTGTGATTACCAGAAAAAGTTTATCAAAAACTCGAGATCTAGATCAATCGTCTGACTTAGCTATACCATTTTTTCTGACCTCTTCAGGGTACCAGTTTTATTTTGTATGCTTATTAATGAAATTACTTTAAAAAATTTTAGACTTACAGCACATCTATCAAACGTATAAAAAAGTAACCAAAGAAAAACTTAAGCGAACCGTCAAAAACAAAAAACAACATTGAAATCGATGCATCATCAACGTCAGCTACAACTGATCCTCCTCACCCGGAACGACAGCAACAATCAGCGAAATATCGTAGTTAAAGCAAATTGTTCATCTATGCAGTTATCTCAACATAAACACAGACAGACAGACAGACACACAAATCAAAGCCGATTAAGTAATACCTTAGGTGTCTAAGTTATATATCTCATTGGTTGAACAACAAATCGAAATGGAAACTACATATAATGATCACCCACGAAGGACAGGAATCTGAAAATAATTCGAATGATTTTCCCTATATAATCTCACACATGAAATCATTTTAAAATCTATGAAAATCGTTGTTGTCATTGATTGATTCAGAATTTCCAAGCTAAATGAAAATTACGAGTATGTTAAATTATTACTGAAAAACTCTATATATACTCAATGTATGAAACAAAAGAAAACTATTTAAACGAGGGAGAGTGTATGATTTTTAAACGTGTTAAGTTTATTTCAGTTTTTAAAATTAGTCCAATAATGAGAAGAATCTTTCCGGTTTTCGAATTTGTTTTTCAACTGTTGAAGGATTACTAGTGGATAATATTACTGACTAATGGATATATAAAAGAGCAAAGAACGTAAAGGGCAACTTAAACTGTTATGTAAATTATTTATTATGTTTAAAATTATTGAGAGCATTACGTACTTAACTGTGTAAGTAAAAATCTATGTGTGTGTTTAAATGAAATGAACATGGCCGACGACATATTCACGGGAGGAAATGGAACCGAATCGTAAAATATATATATACATATATAGATATATATATATATATTATGTATAACCCTTGCATAGACTAATGTTATGTATACACAGAGCTGAGTTTTGATGACCTAACAAAATCAGTCGTATAAGTAGAAAACCTAAAACCAAATAAAAACCGAAACCCAAAAGCAAATAATGAAAGTTAAACTTTGAAGCGTGATTTCAACGGAATATATCATCAGTTTAAACTTTACAAAAAGAAAAGATATCGAACATTTTGCACTATGAATCAGATTGGAATTATTAACTTTAGTTTAATATAGTTTACAATTTAGGGAAAATAGAGCTCTGGTTAGTTTCATTATCGTTTTCTTTGTCACAAAATTATAAACAATTATTTGGAAGTTATATCTCTATATTTAGTTAAACTCAAGTATTAAGGTTTCTCCAACTACTTATCCAACGAATTATATTTTTCTCCTTTTCAACTTAAACACATTCTTTGATTTTGAGATCATATTAGGACCTAATGAAAATATACATACTAACTAAATGATTATGGCAAATGTTAAAACAGAAAAAGAAATATTAAGAACAATAATAGTTATTACTATTTATATTATATTCAAGTATATGACATCTAAACAATATACATTTATATATACTTAACAAATTTGTGCTCCTGCTGCACAAGCCTACTAAGAAATTGGGATTTTTAATATGGAAAGAAAAGCGGCGGCGATAACAACAAAAACTTCTACCTACCTAAAAAAAAAGGAAAATCAAGAAAAACAACAAATTAGCTAATTAAGCTAAATAAACAAACAACTCTCCCGAGAGCATTCCAAATAAAACGTCGCGACATTGCGGAGGGATTATTATGAGCCATGATTTTCTGATTTTTTCCATATTGAAAGTAAATGAAATTCAACTAATACATTAGATGTTTTTTGTCCTGTAAATGGTATATTATAATGATAATGATAATGAGTAGTTAGGGATCTGTGTATCCCCTGTACACACACTTACACAGTTGTAGTTATGTTCACCGACGCAAGAGAAAAGATAATGATGCATGAGAAAAAAGAAAACCACACACAAAGAATGCAAAAAACTTACAAAACGTGAAAAAAATACCAAAAAATATTTATGTAATATAATTCATCTAAATTTAACAAAATCGATGTGACGTAAGCCCGATGGATGGAGACCGGAACAAAGAAAAAAAAACCAAGCTATACAACTTATTACGAGTATTGTTCAATAACAAAATAAAGTACTTTGCTTTTCCAAATATTAACTGTAAATTATCTCAAACCCAAAAACAGCAACAAAACCAAATAAATATAATAATGACACAAGCGTACACGATATGTATTAAACAAAATGGTAAATTACAACAAACAAAAATCGAAACCTATCCACAACAACAGCAACAAAAGAGACAAGATGCCGACGAAGACAACAAACTATATATACTTGCATATTAAACAAATTATATGAAATTATATAAAATGATGTTGATTATTGATTTAAATTAAAAACTGAGAAAGTGAATAAAACAAATTATATATACACCTATATATATATATAAATATTAAACAAAACAAAAGCAAAACTTTCATTTGTGTTTTCCTTCAGTTGGTACATTCATATATATATATATATTCATTTACACAGCGTTACTACACTGAGCAAAAAGCCTAAAGATAACCAGATAAAACCTTGTGCGACTGTGTAAGTGTTAGCCCCACAAAATCGACATGTACATACACAAGCACAACCACATACACACACCACACCTACACCCGACACACACACACACTGAGACACCCACGAACTGACCAAAAAAAAAACCAAAAGAAAAGAAAATAAAAGCAAATCGAAAACATGAATGTATTATAAATTATACATGTTAGTTAATACAATATCTCTGTATATTTAACAATTTCCGTTTTATTAATATTATTTGATAACGTTCTCAAAGCAAGCAGAATGCAGCGCATAGCCCATCACGAAAGCACAAATCAATACGTAGAAAGCGGATAATAGTAGGAGATCGGAAGGTAAATAAATAAATAAGTAACTAAAATAGGAAAAACAGAAACAAAAACCCAGATAATGTAGCAGTCCATGTACTTTTATTTGCTAGATATGTACGTATGTAATTTATATTCGATAAATCAGGCATTATGCATTTAGCAATCCACCAGACAAGAGCATAAAGAGCATAAAGAAAAACCAAACAGTTATCGAACAAGATCAAAAAAAGATCAGAATCAATCTTCCTATCATTCACCATTGAGCGGGGGTGCGCATGCGCATCACCCAAAGCTTGGCCATCCCTGTCTTAGAGTTACACACGAGCACACATAGAGGGCGCACCTGAGGGAACGGGCGATTGAGTAGCAAGTAATGAACAATGAGTAACGTAACGACAAATACAATATAGAGATATGCGTTATAGGTAAATACAAACCCAAGATATAGGACAATGTTTGATGTTGATATGAGTTAATCTGGCCACCTAGCGTGCGCATTATATGCATAGATATGAGCATACATACATACATATGACAGACGATAGACCTCCCCGCAGTGGCGATATCCTTTTACATATATATCCAGCGATCAAGGGGGGGAGGGCGCAGCAAACATTATACATAACCATCGACAGCACCGCATAGTATGAACAGAACATACGGTATATAAGTATTAACATAATCAAGCGATATACATACTTACACACGGGGATAAGGTCCACGTACTTTTCCATCCTTCGGTTCAGATTCAGATTCAGATCCAGACTCTATATACCTAGAAATACACACAAAGACACACTCATCCAGCACTTACACTCGCGGATATCATTTGATGACTCTTTCCGGAGTTTTGTTGTTTACGATAAACTGTTTATAGCTGTTTTTGAATTTTAAATCAATTATATTTACTATATGGCAAACAAAGAATAAACAACACTAAAAGCCAAGAAACCAAAGCAAGTGAAACCATATATAATAGTAATATATGTTTTAAATGCTATTACCAAAACGAATCTTAAATTGAGGCTTCGCGGGCAAAAAGTTTGCTGGCGAATGAATATTATTGAATAAACTGCATATATATATACATACTATAATGCAACTGTATTGCAAGACAAGCATAATATTTTATTTCCAAGGCAAAAAGAATTTAACACACAGCCACACTCCCACACACACAGACACACACACACTGCAAACTCTGACACCTGTGCGGTTCGGCGGTAAGTGCAGGTGACCCCTGCGCCCCAAAGATGCTGCTGCAACCGCATCGAAAACAATAATTAAAAACTACATATATACCTACAAAACATCTCCACAGCCTAGTAACAATGTAAAACACAAGCGATGTGAAACGACACAGAGAATATACACAGATACACAAGAACTAAACATATGTGAAATGAAACGAGGAATGTTTATAAACAATAAACAAATGTTTGAAAACTATTATCAATGACTTTCTCTCAATAATGGCTGATAAGAAATATTTTAGTTATTTATTAATTATTATTGCGGAGCTGAGAAATGCCTCAGAGAGAGAAAGGAGAGATTAAATATTTAATGATATAACATTATTATATTATATATGTATTCTTGATCTGTATGAACATAGGAGTCGATAGAGGATAAAAACGTTTAACATACTTAAAATTTCAAAGCAAACAATTCTTTAATTTATTTTATATTTTTTTAACAAACATTAAGACATCAAACATAATTATTTTCTTATTTATATTTCTTTAATGGTATATTTTATATTAATTTAACGCAAAGGCTTAAGACAAGGCTACAAGTAGTAAATAGGTGCTATTCCCTTGGGCACGACTGTTTACAAGCAATGATGCTATTCAATCTCATTCTTAAATACTTTAAGCTAAGCCTTATCTATAAAGTACACTTTTGAATAAAGTCGCATTAGTATGGCAGCTGCAACCAAGGGCAGCGGATGTTTATCGAAAAAGATTTAAAACATTACAAACCGATTATTAGTGCTTGATCAAACGCCATTAAAAGAGCGGTAAAATTTGATCGAGTTATCGATAGCTCAGATTATATTTACTTTTATAGCTTCGTAGATTTCAGCAGGATTTCAGGTAAGGAAGCTTTTAGGTGCCAGAATACAGTGTAATTAATTAAATTTAAACGAAGCAGGCGAGGGGTAAGTAGTTCGTGGCTAGAACTTCGTTTCCTAATCATTGTCAAAAGCTTGTGCACTAAACACGCAGCCAGAAACCCCAGAGAAATGAGTCAGGATCAGCTCAAAGTCGAAGATGTGTCCACCGTCCGCATCCTAATGTTGGGCGATAAAGGTAAGCAGTGATCCTCCTATACCGTTCCATATCTTTAATTAACAATTTCACTTCCCCTTTGCCAGGAGTGGGCAAGACGAGCGTGACCAATTTGATGGCCAGTACCCCTGATACGCCCACGTTCGCATCCAGATCCGTGGGCCAGCGCTATTGGAACATCCAGGTGCGGCTGCACGAGTATCCCAACAGCGTGGACATGCCGCCCACACCCACATGGACATCGCCCTCCTCGTCGGATCGGTCGGATAAGTACTCGTTTCCCCGGAACACACCGGCCCGATCCGAGATCCTGTATTTCGTAGAATTCATTGATATGAACAGCCATTGTCGCATGGAGCGCGAGCAGCGTAAGCATATGTTCAAGAATATCGATGGCATTGTCCTCGTGTACAATCTGCAGAATCTGCGCTCGCAGGATAACCTGCACGACTGGCTCTACGAGCCGCTGCGTGAGATCTGCAAGCATCGCCACGGGCGTCCACGTTCGATCCTAAGGAGCCAGCATGTCCCCATTCTGGTGGTGGGCACCCGGCTGGACATGTTGAATCGCCGCCCATTGCGTCGTTCGGTCATTGCCCACCAGCTAAACGCAGAGGAGATCCTACTGAACAGTCAAGATCCCGAGGCCTTCGCGGACAAGAGCCGCAATCAGGGCAAGCTGTCCGGCTTCCTTAATCGCGTTGTCGAGTTCAAGGAGCGTTATCCACTCTCGCGCTCTCGTGATTTCTGAATCGAATTACAATATGTATATATTTTTGAATTTGTTATTGTTGATATTCAATAATATTTATTGAGGAAACAAAAAAAAATAGTATAGAGAAGATTTAAGACCTAGATATATATTTTTCCGAGGCTCTTGTTACAAACGAGAGTCGTTCTTTTCAATGAACCAAAGAGAATTGAGTGCTTTAGTTAATATCGGTTTCAAAACCAAAGATTATCCCTGGACAATGCACACCATGCGTTTTTTCAATAAATATTAATTAAATAACAACCAAATGTTTTTGTTTTAAGAGGTTCTCCTAGAAGTAAATTTATCTAGAAGTTCTCTGGGCCTTCAAAAGATTACAAAAATTTAATGACTGTTTTGTTTTTTATATTTATTTAGATAAATCTTTTAAGAGTTCATTGTGTCCCCAAGATCGGATCTCCAGGCGATAAGCTGCCAGAGGATCTTAGCCAGGCGGCCACTTCATCTGGCGACCGCCGAGGAAGTGCAAATGCAAGTGGTAAACAGACTGAGCGCCGTGTTTGCCATTGTTGATTACCACACGGTAGCCCTCCTCGAGGCCCAAGTCCTTGGCTACCTTACGACCAACCAGCATGAGATGTCCCAAGATGTCGGCATCGGAGTCCTCGGCCAGCGAGAGTTGGGCAATCGGTTTCCGTGGGATCACCAGAAAGTGGGTTGGTGCCTGCGGAGCCACATCATGGAAGGCCACACACTGTTGGGGAGTATAAAGATAATGTAATTTATTGGCTGTCTAAGGGTCGATTAGACTTTGCCCACCTTATCATCTTCGTGGATAAACTTGCATGGAATCTCCTTGCGCAAAATCTTGCCGAAGATTGTATCCTCACTGGCGGCTGCCGACTGGGCTTTTTCCACTTCGCTCGCCATTCTAGCACCACAAGTTGCAATGGAGCGCGAACTGTCCAGAAGATAGATTATATATTATATGTTTAATCGATGCAATTTAGTTAACAAAGTAAAAAATAGCGTGCTCACCTGAAAACACGAACAAAATTACGGCCGGCTGACAAGAGCATTGAAAGGTACTAAAAATAACCTGACAAAACGCTCTAGGGTGTTATGTTGCTGACAAAAGCGTCAGTATTTTATTTAAATTTTGTTTTTTTTAGTATTTTTTACATTTTCTACTTTGCATCAAAGCTAATTTAAAAACCAAAAATTAAATAGCTGTTAAGCTTCTTAAGAAACAAGGATTTGATAACTCATATAATACATATTATATACTTTCAAGAATTTCAGTTTACATTTGTAACAATTGCAAATTTGTCAAGTGCTTCCTTAACTACTTTAAATTGCGTACTACTTTATACATAAAACCATCTTAAACAAAATATTGCGGCTTGCGCATGGTAATCCCGTGATCGGCCAGGGCCGGCACCAGATCCTCCATGGCCAGCGTGTATTTGCGGTCCTTGGGGTTCTTCTTGTCCTTGCTGGAACTGTGGCCACTGGAATGCTGGATGTTCGTGGTGCGAGTCTTGCAGTGCTGCAGTGCATCGTTGGCAATGTCCGAGATAAACTTCTGGGCGGACACGGAGATCAGGCGCACAATTTGGGGGTCCACCGTGGAGAAGCCAGCCTGCAGAACAAAAACAAGAAATAGTATATCTTTGTTATTAACATGGTAGTGAATACCTTCTTTAAAGTGTGCGTAGTCAGGGCATCCGGAATTGTGGGCGTGTAGTCCTCTAGCTGACGCAGTAGCTCATCCATATCTGCATCTTCAGCGGTGGCAGGCACAACCTCCACATCCAAATCTTCTTCATCGGTCTCCATGTCGGATTGCACTTGTGCTCCCATCTCCTCGTCCTCGGTGTCGGTGGCCGAAGCTAGTGACTCCGCGGGCGTTAAGCTGATGTCCTCTCCATCGGAAGCCATTATTTCTTAATAACTTTTTATTTAGTTGCAATATTTATATAAATCTTGTGTTCGTTTTGTTTTTGTGATGGGTGTTTATGTTTGTATACAATGCTTTATCAATCGAATATTCATATTCGATTCCTTACGAGTATTACATTTTTTTGTCGATTGATTTCGAATATTCGATATTTTGCTGGAATTGTTATTTGTGCACAGAATTCCGTTTTTCCAATTTCTACGATGGTGGGCTCAAACTTTGGCATTATTTACCACAACTCAAGCGGTGGCGGCGGCGGCACCAGCGGCACCGTTGGCGGTTCATCTGGTAACCATGCACAGCCGTCGGGCATGGCGGCCGGAGCTCCAGGAGATCGGGAGCGCTTAGCGCCGGCCTCTCATCTCAGCGATTTTATGTCGCAGCTGGAGGAATATTCACCCCTGATTCCGGATGCGGTGACATCGCACTATCTAAACATGGGAGGATTCCACTCGGACGACAAACGCATTGTCCGCTTGATCAGTATCGCGGCTCAGAAGTACTTGTCCGACGTCATTGACGACGCATTGCAGCACTCGAAGGCACGTACCCATATGCAGACCAGCAATACACCAGGCGGATCGAAGGCCAAGGATCGCAAGTTCACTTTGACTATGGAGGATCTTCAGCCGGCCTTGGCCGACTATGGCATCAATGTCAGGAAGATGGACTATAGCCAGTAGTTAAACTAATTTAACGCTTTAGTTTTAGTATATTTCCTGCATTCGCTTCGAAATAAATAATTGTCATTTCTGTGTCCATCTCAGACCATGTTTAATCCCAAACTAAATACAATTTATTAATATATATTTAAACAACTATTATATAGTCTTTAATATGATGTGACGGATCGTAAACTACCTTGATTTTTAAACTCATAGAAGTCGGAAAATAATTGAGGCTTCTTCTCGATTGGGATCAGTACATAAATATTTTTAATAAACGTGTCATTTACGAACAGTCTTAAAGTTCATATTTGAAAGCATTTACATATCAATCATATACAAGGTAATGTCTTTTTTGTTTTATCATTAAATAATGTTATCGGAGTGCTATAACCTAAGGTAAAAACTAAGCGCTTTATTACTGGCATGTTATGAACTTTTTGAAGCTGCGAGACGTTCCACCAGCCACTCGGAATGCCAGGATGCCAGTGAAGATGGTGATGGCGTAATTAATGAGAAGAGTAGTAGTATAAAGCTCGCTGGCATTAAGCAGTGTTATGAGGGAGACGAACAGGTGGCTGCCCACCACATAGCCCACATGTAGGTAGTTGTTTGTGTCGAAGGCGTTGAAGAAGATCACGCTCCAGAAGGTGTGCAGCAGAATGATGGACAGAGCCTGGGCAGCCGAGGTGACAAAGAACAGCTCCGTGCCACCCTCGAGGCCCATGGTGCCGGGACCACTCTGAAAAAGAAAGAAATCCTTCAGTAAATGGAAAGTACTTGCCATGCCATAACTTACCATATCAGCTAGCACATTGACCAGTGCAAACATCCCCGATATGATCCCGAATCCCAGACCGGAAACATAAGCCAGGATGTGCTTGTTGTCCGTCACTCTCGTGTCCTCGGCCACCGCATGTAGTCCCTGCTCCGTGCTCCGCAGTATCCTGTAGATGATGTACCGGAAGCACTCCTGGAACAGCACCGAAAAGACAACGCCGAAGGCCAGGACATCCCGCAGCGGTATCATGGCGAACCACAAGAGCGACGACAGCAATAGTGAGAGCAGCCAAAAGAAGGCCGCCGCTATGAGAATGATGATTCGCACCGGGTCATTCGCGATGGTGAACACGAAAAGGGCAAATGGAGGCCCGAATGCGATAAATGTACAGCCAAAAAACTCGGGCAACGTCATCTTGTTTACTTTAAATTCCTTGAGACGAGACAAGTTTTCTTTTGTTTTTTATGGGTGTTTTGGTTTTGTGTGGGAAGAGATGCAAAGAGGTCGATACATTCGATTCCAAAAATACTATAACGATAACTTTCAGTATGGAAAACGATAATTTTGGTTCAAGTCTTTGCTTCTAGCCCAATGTTGTCATACCCTACAATAAACAGTATTTCCGTTATGCCAACTCTTTGAATGAGTATATGCAATGTTGTATATATTTTATGATATAGTCCGTTTAAATTAAAAAAGAAATCGAATAGCATACAAGATTATGCTTAAAATTAATAAATGAACCATGAGAAGTTGCATGTTTCATGTCGAAGAATATGTAAAAACGCTTGTGGTTGTTCCTCCCCCGCATAGGGTATTCGTGCGTCGACTATGTGCGTTTCACCCGCGCCAAGACAAAGGCCTACCGTCCCACTTTCTGCGCCTCGGCACTTACAATATTTTTGTTTGGGGTCGGGATTAGTCACTGTGGAATTGACTCAACTCGCCCGCACCAACTATGAAAACCGCATAATCCGCAATTAACCAGAAACGAACTGCAAGTGCACAGCTGCGGATAGAACGCAGCAGCATCCAGTGAAAATAACAAAACACAAAGAGTATCCATTCCCCATTGGGCGAGTGAGTAGAGTGAACTTCCAATTTGACTGCATTTGCTAATTTGCCGTATGCCAGTGCACGCTGTGATGGCCAAGCGCCTGCTGCCCCACCAACCGTCGTTCGAGGGGGATGCCCCCGGCCCAGATGAACTGGACAGTCCAGCCATTGAGGCGGCGGCCCTCGACATTCCACCGCCGGAGGCTGATAAGGCGCTGCAAAAAGGTGTGTACACTTTCAGTGCCCAAAGGGGAGCACAGTGAAGCTTGAACAAGAGGGAAAGATACGAATATCTTGAAGATAATTAAAAGATTAAAATGGACATAATACAAGTGCCTTATTTTCTTTAAACCTTGCCACTTTTTAATAAAAAATTATTAATTTATACCCAATAGTTAAATTTCAAAGAAAAAATGGCCATAAATTTATAAATTTATGTGTCTAAGCAAAAAAGTTATATACTTTACGTGGTCTCTGAGCCATAAAACACTTATTTTGTACAAAAACCTCAAATTTTTCAGACTTTTACTAATATGTTATTATTTTTAGGAGTCTGGGAGCGACCCTCAAGCTCTGAAACCTTCAAACCCCTCACCGATGGCAGCACCGTCCTCCGCTTCGATATTCTGCTGGCTCACATCATGCCTCCCGATGGCGAGGATGTCAAGATCAAGCGTTTTGTGGTGTATGAGCTGACTGTGAGCCAGGATGGTGCCACTGCGGATACTCAGCCGGCAAAGATCGAGCGTCGGTACACGGACTTTCGGGAGCTTTATATGGGTCTGAAGCGTCAATATCCCGCGGAGCTGGCCAACAAGTATTTCCCAGCCAAGGTACTGATGGGGAACTTTAAGTCGGAGCTCATTGGCGAACGCAGTGCCGCCTTCGAGGCCTTTCTCACCTATGTGGCCAGTCAGACGAAGCTCCGGGATTCGGAGGAGTTCCTACGTTTCCTGCAGCACGATGAGCTGTCCAGGGCATGCCAGTTCCTGGACGAGCGACGCAATGAGAATGCCATACCAATTCTGGAGAATTGCTTTCGATTGCTAAACAAGATCTATATGAATCGTTCGCGACCGGTACTTTTGATACTCTGCCGACTGGTGGCAGCCTGCACTTCATCTCCGGTGCCCCATCATGCTGCCGAGAGATGGGCTCTAGTGGCACTAAGTCGCTTCGAGACTCTGTGCGATATTGATCTGCTGCCGCTCTATATTCCTCTGCTTCATACCTGCGCACATCTATGGTGAGTTTGAATATTAATACTTGAAATTTCTTAATTTAATAACCACATTTTATTGCAGGTGGCAGCGTGGCCAGGACCAAAAGCCCATCACCGATCGGCTGACTGATATGTCCAAGCAGGGCATTAACATTGCAAACACGGAGAGTCTTATGCAGGCTATTCACAAGATCGATCCAAGGACCGAAACCATTTAAATGGGAATCTCCACCAGAAAATATTAACCATTAGTTTATCTTTTTGTTTCTGTAGTTTGTAGCCGCTAAGCGTAAAGTGCAATTATAGAACATGTGCAATTAATATTAAGGGTAACAGGAATATTTAACCACATATATGTTATCCAAAGTAGTTCATTTTTGTTTACTAGCACCCAAAATATTTATAAAATTCAGAAAGGAATAAAAAAACAGTTCCAAAAATTAAAAGAAACACAGCCAAAACATATATCAGCTTTGTAGCAAAAACGAAACAAAGATATTTATACTCAATATTTCAAAATTCCGACTGTGATGTACAAATTACCAATAGAAAATAGTAGTGATTATTGTTTGCAATTAAATGTGTAGTCCCTGATAATTGTCATTTTAAACTCACTTACAAAATTGGTTTGTTTTCCATATTTAATAATCAGAGCTAGTAAATAATAATTGACCGTTTTATATTTGTAAAGCAATAGCTTAGTTAATGTCTTTTGATGTTCAGTATTCCTATAATTTCCTATTTCCGAAAAAAACAAACTACTTTGGTAACTTAAAGGTTTATCTTCACATGTTTGGTTTACAATACGTATTGTTTTTTGGTATTATATATTATTCATTTGATTAGTACCCAGAGGGGAGTTGTGGCAAAAATATAGCCCCCCTAGAAATTGAATCACAAATGTATTACCACAAAATATCATGACGCACTGTCTGAATATATACAAGAACACAATTCCATATCAGCCTGAAAAAACAACTCCCCCTGTTATTTATTATTACAGCCAAATGCCTTGTGATTGTTTCTCTCAATGAATAAATATTATACTCAACATGTTTTTGCAGAATATACACACAGATCCTTTATATGTGTCCAGTTTTTTAATCATTAAACGCTTAAAGGTAAGGTATTTTTTATTTGTATTAGTTTGTGTTTGTTTATGAGTCATTTGGGGGGAGCGTTGAACTTTAAGTCTAGGAGTGCGCTATTTAATCGTAAAACTAATGCTAGGGCTAGAGGGTTGTGAGGATCTCTTAACCGCACTCATTATTATACAATATGATATTTAAAAACTTTTGACGTCACACACACAATCGATTCAACTAGATTATTAATAGAGTGCGATTTCAACAAATTGTTTTGCGCCATTGCAGTTTTTTTTTCTTTCATACATTCCATTCAAATGTACAGAATTAACCAAAAATCCAGGTCAAACTTCCAATTTCCTGGAAGCTTCTCAGCGGAAGAGTCTCGTAAAGGTTTTTAAGGCTTGCGAAATGGCTTTCGTGGTGTCCGCACTGGAATATAGAAATTAATAAAAAACTAAGTTATAACAGTTTAAATTATTTACAAGATAATGCTCACCTTAGAACCGTTCTGCTAAAATCATCTAGCTGCTGTTGCGTTGCGGTCACATAACCACCGCTGTTTTTCTTGGGCAGCGCCTCCAGCGCCTGAACCAAGAACGGCTGCATCCGATCGTTGCCTACGACCTGTTTCAGTTCGTTGAGCACCTCGCCCACATCAGCCAACATGTAGGAGTGCAGCTGAAAGACTGAAGCCTGGATCAGGTTCATAACCAGTGCTCCGCCATGCTGGCAGGCCAGTTCAACGACCAGGGGACGGCACTCAGCATTCCGACTGTGACTATTGGGCCTGCCCCAAACCAGAAGATTTACAAAGAATTTCATCACCGACGAGTTCGCCTCGCGATGGTCCAGGGAGCAGGCTATGAGGGCGCACTGAAAGATCGGTGTGATCAAACTGCTCTGGAGCAGCTGCAGGGGACAGCAGTCCAGATATCGTGAGGCAAGCCGAAAGAAATCGTCGACGGTATCGGGATTATTTCTCAGTCCGTTCTCCATTTGCAGGAGGCCAAATGTGGGTTCGATGAAGGCTTGCAACATCTCTAGCAGGCCGCCGATGCACTCGCTCGACTTGGCGAACTCATCTACCAGTATGGAGCCGACGTAGAGGAAACAGCTGTGGTGCTGCACGGCATATAGTATCACCATTTGCTTAATCAGCGGCTCCACCAGCATTACTGCCTGCTTTCTCACCATCCGGATGCCATACCGAATAAGTCGGCAGGTCCGCTCCATGATGCGCAGGTCCGTCTGGTACTTGTCCATTACACGCGATATCAGTTGCCAAGCATCGTTCAATATGGCCACGGTGGGATGCTCTACGGTATCCGGAACATCGGGATTCGTGTGCCGTATTATAGCACAGGCTCTGTCTATCCAGTAAACGGGATCGCTGCGTTCTCCCCTCTGTACGCTGGTCGGACTGGTCGACTCCACCAGTTGGGCCAGCGGTTGCAGCTGAAAGCCAACAATTTCCCTTAGCGCCGGCTGGAGTTGCTCCCTTGGCAATCGGGTAAGTATAAGGGATATGCCCTTCAGTAGTCCAATGGCCACGTCGTTATTAATCTGAAAGCTATCCAAGCTGCGGGCAATTTCCACGAGGCCACTGATGTGGCACACCATCTTCTGGCGGCAGGCGGTGCAAATAGAAGTCAAAGCCATGGCCGCAGCTGGTGCTAAGCCATTCTTTTGCTGGAGAGCATACAGCAGGAAGTTGAGTACCGCTTGCAGGGATTCCGCATGATTCTCGATCCAGTCGCAGAGCTCACCGATCAGTAAGATGGCCGTATATCGAACTGCTATATGGGTTTGCTCGGACATGTTAAGAATGGCCTCCACCACCTTGGGTATCACCTCGTTCTCATCTCTGTAAGAAAAATTAAGGTCTTAGTACTTGTAACTTTCAGAGGTTAATTTCTGTAAGCTTACGGCAATATATTCTTGGCCACATTTTGCATAATAAACAGTGCCGCCTCTGTAGATTCCCAGGTTGTGTCTGGTGCTTGCAGGATCAGGAACATTTGCTTGAAGCAGGCTCCGGAACCAACAATAAAGGCCACGTCTTTGATCAGATCCGAGACCTTGCGCCGAAAGTCCTGAAGGCAAGAAATAAATATGATTTAGAGAGGGTTTCTTAAGCACTAATTTCATGATAATTGATTTATTAACTAATAGCAAATTACATATAATTGCCTTTAAGCACTCAACTTCTCTTAGCTTGAAACCGGTTCTTCAGCTCAACAGTGTCAGCTTTTGTCAATTTATCAACCTGGTGAAATCTATTACCCGTCGAGTTCATATATATCTATTCAATTTGAATTAAAAATATGCCTTTTAGGATATAATTCTAATCCGTGTACTCACATAAAAAGTATTATTCTCCTCGATTAACCCGTCATGGTCGCTCTCCATCTGGGAATGGCGATATAGGGCGCTGATAAGTCGCTCGATGTGCGGCCGAAATAATGCTGTCAGCTTGTCGTCGTTACGCTGGAATAGATCCTCGCTGAGTTTGTACCACAGATGGAAGGTGATCTCGGCGACCTCGTAGTCAAAGTGGCCCACACAGAGCAACACCAGGTCCAGACCCTTGAGGCAATAGTGCGGCTTCTGGGGATCGGCCAACAGTTCGTTAAAGAAGGCATCGCACAGCGAGGTGAATATTCGGCAGTAGTTAATCGTCTTATCTGTGTCCTCGTGCGCCACACTCAAGTGATAGGGCGTCTCCAGTGTACACACAGCTGCAAAGATCTGTGCCTCGACCGAGGACTCACATTCGTTGGCACCATCCTGGCGAGTGTTCATGCAGGAGAGCAGGGCGCAAACACATTCCGTGGCATTCTCGTGCAACTTGCCCGAGGTATCTGGCAGTGAAAGCAACCGAAAGGCCAGCTGTGTGAGGGCGTTGTTGTAGACGTGGGCGACGGGAAAAGCGTGGATCACAAGCCAGGCACTGTAGGTCCGTAGGGCGGCATTCCACACGCGCTGCTGGTCGAGATCATCGCGCTGGAGGCACATGCAAAGAAACTTCAGAACGCATTCCGCACTTGCGTCTAGCTGCTTGTGAACCTCCTCCCGTCGATTGGCCCCCAGTCTTAGATACCTGGAGTCTATTTCCTCTGGCAGAACCTTAAGTACCTCCAGGAGCGGCCAAATAGCGGAAGGATGTGGCGCCAAGGTTACCAACAGATCGTTGATAGGCTCCTGCCAGCTGGCCATTAGGAGGGCCAGATCAGCCACTGCTAGACTGAGCTGTGTGACGATCACATTGTCGGTCTGCTCGTCTATCTGTCCGATGTGAGTGATCAGCGAATCGCGCAGGGATTCGTGCGTGTGCGGGGGCAGTTCACTGAAGGAGTTCTGTATCTTATTTCGCATCGTCTGTGCAGCGAAGTAGTTAGCGTGCAGGTCCCGCTTCTGATGCAGAAGCTCGTCCGCAATCGTCCACGAGTAGATCTGCATAAACCACACAAAAATTAGCAACCAAGTGGGGCCAAAACCGCGCCGGATGATGAATAAACTCACCGACTTCTGGAAGTCCTGCAGCCATTTGTTTGCCTTCTCTTGCTCCTTGGGGTTGTTGCCCTGAAAGAGGGCGCTAATTGCCTGGTACACCACGTCCACCGAGTACGTATCCATTTCACCAACAGCTATAATCAGAGCATAAATTTCTTTATCAATTATTATTATACTTTATTAGCGATGGCCGTTTATCGATAACAAGCCGGAACAATAGGCTAGAGATGTGCGTGACCGATAGTCGATTGCTGCACCTGCTGGACTTCAGCCAGAGTTGCGCGGTCACTGTTTTTACATTGTAATTTAGGAAGTTTCGTATATTATACAATTTAATTAAATATTTTCAATATGTTTGTATACTTTTGTTTAAGATTAATGAGAGTTAACAGCAATTGATGTGTTGAAGTGTAATTTTATTTTATTTTGAACCTCGACAGCCCTAAATGACAGATGGCATTTTCCAACACTGATCCACATCAACCAAGATTAAATTAATTTTTCTTCTTGGGATCAGTTTTTGCCATGGATAAGGATTCAGACAGCACCGTGACATCCTTGGACGAGAACACGGAAAACTTCTGCACGAATCCCACACGCGACATCCTCGCCGAGGGCATCACAAACCTCTTCAAGCCCACCATTGAACGGTTGGACGAGCGGGTGGCCTCCACAATTCAACTGCAGGCGGAGCTGAGGGGCCAACTGGATGCCCTGGCTGTCCAACTTAGGGACATAGAGCGGGCGCAGAGTCAGATTCCCGAATTCGCGGACAAGGTGAAGGAGCTGCTGAACGTGAAGCATAAAGTGACTGTGATTAGCAACGTTCTGGGCACCAGTCAGGAGCGCCTCACGGGCCTGCACAAGCTTATCGAGAAGGAGCAGCGGCGGCGACAGGCACTGCTGGACTCTGCCCTTAGCACCAACATATCCTAGAGCAGCGCCATGGAGACGCCCCACATCGACCACTTAAGCTTGGAGGACTACGAACACGTTTACGAGCCGGCAGAGGATTCATTTCTGCTGCTGGACGCCTTGGAAAAGGATCTGGAATACCTGGACCAGCTGCAGCCGGGACTGTGCGTCGAATTGGGTTCCGGTTCGGGGGTGATTATCACAGCTCTGGCCAAAAGGCTGGCCAGCTCCTCGCTATGCCTGGCCACAGATATCAATCCCAAGGCCTGCAATGCCACCCAAAGAACAGCTGCCCGAAATGAAGCACGTGTCAGTGCCATACGTTGTAATCTGGCAGATGCACTGCGCCGGCGTTCCGTGGACGTCCTGCTTTTTAATCCTCCGTATGTGGTTACCAGCGACGAGGAGCTGCAAACCCAAAGGTTTGATTCCCAGAGCAAATCCGCAACAGAAGGTAATCTGGTCTTCTCCTGGGCTGGCGGACAGGATGGACGGCGCGTCACAGACATTCTCCTGAAGCAACTGGATGACATTCTCTCGCCACGAGGGGTTCTTTACCTACTCCTCCTGCGGGAGAATAAACCCGAGGAAATTATCAAACACTTAGAAGGCTTCAAATTCAAGGCTGTTAAATTTATGGAGCGACGCATTCCTGGGGAATATCTATACATACTAAAGGTGACCAGATGCTCATCATGACTTGGCTAGTTATATTTAAATTAAAAAGGTAAACAATTGTAAATTTATTTAATAATGTTTTCAATTTGATACTCCAATTAAATAATATCCTATTTCTATTTAATTGAAGTTGATGTTTTTGTAATTATATATTTTTAGGGTTTTGGCCTGCCGAATTCTGTAAAATATAAGGGAACTAAGATAAAACATAGAAATGTAAAAAAAAGGAAGCTATAGAATTGATATTTACAAGTATTTGACTAGACAAAGCTCTGCTAGCGATATTAGCAATTTAATGTAGCCATTACTATATGTTCTATCTATGTTCTATGTTCCTTTTTAAGATTTGAATTTTATCAGAATTTGCTTCCAATATTTTAACCATTTCCGGTCTCAGACAAGCTGTTAATCGAAGTATTGATCTCAAATCGAATCCCTCTTCCATCCCTTGCTACATTTATTCACATGGTATATAGGGAGGATGTCAGAAACCAGTATTCTCAACCCCCGTCTACAAAACAGGAAAGCTTTGCGGAGGGATGGGATCTGTACCCATTGTACCTCATGCTAAAGGAATAATGACAAAGGCCAATCAGTGAATTATGTACCTATATGTCCTACCCCTAGACACATTATCCCGTTTACGGGGTTGTTGCCCCACCCAAAATGGCTGTCCACGTGACAGCAAGGAACAGCTCCCTCCCCCAAAAAGCCATTGAAACAAAGTTTTTATTGGCATCTGATAGATGCCAATAGGTTTATCTATGTGTGACTTCTTTCGCTTTTACGTAATTACAATAATTTATTTCATCCTTTTAAAAATGTTTCATAATTCCTTTTTTATATTGATTCGTGGTTCTGGTCTTTTTGTCTTTCACTACTTCTGGATGTTATTTATTTCGTAATCTGCAGATACATACATATGTTTAGAGTTTTGTATTTACAAAAATGCATGATTCTTTAACATGGTTTTATCTGTATCAAATTGGCTTATATATCATCGGCCTGTATGCGTCAGTTATATGGTATTTAATTATCCAGTTGTGTGGGTGTGCAATCGAAGCTTTAAGCCTTAAATGCTCTTTGTTTTTTCGGATCTGGGTCAGTGGGTGGTGGTCTGTGTTTCTGTTATTGGGTTATATCGGTTGATTTTGGCGGATAGTTATAGTGGTTGGGTGGAGAGTATATACCTTGATTGACCAACTGTGCACATTTCCTTGTCCGAATATCAGTCGTTAAATGTATTTGTATAATTCATGAACTCGTTATTGTTGCTGTGTGTATAAATATGGTTGGGATACCCTTACTAATAGAGATTTAAGTAACATTAAAAGTTTATTTCTTTCTCGATTTCGGGTCGGTTTTTACAATTTACAAATCAATCGTCATCGATTATTACCGATTCGCTCGCACAATTTATCAACAGAACATATGTATATTAAACCCTTCGCTCTAATACTGACATACAAGTACTTAATATTAGTCATAATTTAATAGCTAAATGCTGAAATGAAACAAAAGGATAGAAATCAAACTTCCCGATGTGGTTTTTCCTGATTTTCCCCGGAAAAGCAAAGACCTAGAAGTCCCAGTGCGCAGTGGGGAAAAGTGTATCTTGGGGGGAAAGTGAAAAGTTTTGAAACCATAGCTAAAACGTTGAGTGTCCGAAATCGGTTGTCAATGCTGATTTTGCGGTTTATTTAAATACATTTTTTATGTTTTATATTTTTGTTTTGTATTTAATTGCATTTGCTGTTGTTGCTCTTTCACTTTTTTCAATTTTTTGCCGTTTGCATTTTGTATTTTGTTTCTTTCGATCTCATTCATAAATGTAACGTCTAATTTTAATAATGAATTTTAATAATTGTGTGTATGTCTGTGTGTGAGTGTGTAATTCATGGGCTTCGTTTACGCTACTTTTTCATATCATTGTTAAGGTTTTTCATTTACGCATAAACTTGGCGTCTAAATTAGGTCTTATGATAAAGGAAAGAAAGATTTTGGTTTTGTTTTTTGTATTGTTTTTTTTTTTTTCTTCTTGTATATAGTGGGGATGTTTACTTTTTTGTTGGGTTTCCGTATAGATTGCTTTTATACGAAAATGCCTTCAATTACAATTTTTGTTTGTTTTGTAGTTTTTTATAAAAAAAGTACACATAAATACAATTAAAATAAGGTAAGAAATAAAAAATTATTTCTTAAACATAAAATTATATACTTTTGCGATTTTTTTGTGTTTTTTTATCATCTCATTCTTCTTATCTTCATCATCTTCTTCTTCTCCTTGTTGTGGTTTATTTTCTGGTTGTTGGTTTATTATTTTTTTGTTTGTTTTGTTTTGTTTTTGCTTGTAACTTTTATTTATTATTAATTTAAATTTTTTGTTTGTTTTTGTTTGTATTTTTGACTACATTATTATTACGCCTGATCGTCCGAGCCAGAACCGTCATCATTATCATCATCGTCATCTGCAGAGGGAAATTAGGGATTAGTTAAGGAACTGCCAAAGGTCTTTATATTTCCAACTCACCATCGCACTCGATGTCATCCTCCTCGCCATCATAGGGTATGTCGTATTCGTCGCTCTCGATTTCACTGTCACCCTCGATGATTTCCTCCAGAGCCTCTTCCTCATCGGAATCGCCATCGGCGGCGGCGGCCTTCTTGGCCTTCTTTGATTCTGCGGATTTGGCCTGGAAAACAAGAATAATGGCAAACGGGAAAGTCAGTAAAGGTTCGTTTTTGGTGATAACAGCCCGCCCTATGTGTGCGCCCAACTCAAACCCACACATCTCCTTGATCAAGGGCATCCCCAAAAGCACTCCCAGTCAGTCCCTCCAATTCCCGTGTGCGTGTATACACATAGTCATAAAATGTATATTTTCAGCCCACAAAAACAGGCAGCAACGAAAATCGTTATTTTCGCCGTAAAAAAACATTTGAAAAATGCGCGCGCCAATGTAATTCGCTGCGGCAAAAGAAGAGAGTGGTAAGAGAGAGAGCCTCCAGAGAGCGAATTACAAGTGCAGCCGCGTTACATCGCCGTGAGTGTGTATGTGTATATATATGTACTAGACGGCATATTTACTACATAATGGAAAAAACAATAAGCGACGCCGACGCCGGCAGCGACATATGTATCCGCATCCGTGAGATACGAAACGAGACCAGCAAGCCAAGCGTGCCAGCGGCAAGAGAGAGGGAGAGTTACAGTGAGAGATAGAGAGAGTAACCGAGAGAGCGTCCCATAAGCCGAAGGAAACTGTACCTGAGAACGCGTCACGACACAGCAGTTGCATGAATGAATCTCTCTCACTCTCTCACGGGCCAGCTGCTGCAGCGGGAAAAAGGCGCAAAACAACAAGAAAAGAACAACAACAACTGGCATGCGTGGGTTCAACTCTGCTGGCCAACCAACAACAAGCTACATAGCCTAACAGCAGCGGCAGCATGGCCCGGTATATAGGCGGTCACGTTCCCAAGTCAAAGAGTAGCCCGCAATACATGGCCACTTACTATTTACCAGACTGTTACAAAGCGGAAAACAAGCTCGCTGTGGAAATATGTGCAAAATGAAAAGCAGGCGGGCGAATTCTGCCCCCCTTTTCCCATATTTCCCATATTCCTTTATTTCGCTTACAGCATAAGTCACGAGACCCAAGCATTCGAGAAATGTGCAATTACAAGCGGTAAAAAACAGGGTCACGCAGGATAAGAAGGATCTAACAGAATATAAACTTAAATAGAACGGTATATTTTAGAAAATTCAAGTATTGGAAAATTCTAGATAAGTGAAAACTATATTTTATAAGCTCGCTAAATATATTATTAATATATTCAAATAGTATACAATACTTTACCAGAGATTTGACTATCTTTTTAACTATTCTAAAGAAAACAGAATGAAATGCTTCTTTACCAAAAATGTTAAAATAAATAATACAACCTCCTATAATCAAAGGAAACTGAAAATAATATCAGAAAAAAGAACACATATTTCCACAAGGAATTTAAATGGAAACCTACTTCAAACGGAACGAAGATATAAAAACAAAATTCCAAAAAGAAGTTTACTAACGAAAACTGAATACAACCTTCTAGAAGAAGATAATTCATCCCCTTTCTTCTAAAGTATGAAAACAACCTTTCCGATAAACCTAAATGGAAATCTCCTTTAAAAATAACAACGGAATAAATACATTCAGCCAAATATGTATTTGTCTAATCTAATCTACTTGCGAATAGCTCTCTCTCCCCACTTACAATATATGTATACAATTTAATTAATTGTGCCTTTTCATCTCAACTATACTCTCTCGTTAATAAGAAAACAAAAAAGTATCTAGAACCTTGCGACACCCTGTAAAACTGTCTTGTTTTATGTACCAAAATAAATACGCATAAAGCAGAGCAGGAAAAAAGTGAAAGATAAATGTAAGCACAAACGCAAACAGACAAACGGACCCCGTGGTATGTATACAAATTACGAGGGAGAGAGCGGGGGAGAAACTCACAGAGAGAGAGAGGAGAGAGTTGGAAACAGCGTGAGAGATAGAGAGCGCTCGCTCCCGTTAAACTGTACATTTTTATTTCGAGTTTGAGTTTTTGAGAATCGAGAACTGCTTGATTTGCCAATTTATCTGCCTTACTAACCCAAACTATATTTTATTTTTATCAAGAAATGTGCTTTTTGATTATGGAATGCGACAGCCAGAGACCCCCCGAAAAAAGCGTGCTCTTTGGGGGAAAACATGACATGAGTAATTTACCGGCCGGCAATGTATGTTTTTATTGAGAGAGTGCATTGGCATCGCCAAAGCGGCAATAAGGCCAAGAGTCCGCGCTATAGCTACAATATCTATAGCTTCTATTTGCCCATCAGGCTATCTGTATCTTATGGCGGCCTTTGTAATACTTTTTGCTGCGACACGTCAATGTTAATGCTAATGACCTGCTCTAGTGCGCTCCCCAAACTTGATTAAAAATACATTATCCGACCGTTCCAACCCCGAGTAACTGTACTCGCGCGGTCCTCTAACCTCGATTTGAACCTAACAATAATAATCTTTGATTAGTGGCTCGCAATCATCTTGGTTAATCGTAAACAACACACTAACAAATCTACGAGAGAGAGGCCCCACTCTCTCCAGCTCCCGCTCTCTTCGCTGTGTATCTTTTCGGTATATAAGCCACTGCGAGAGTGCGCGCGGTTGAAAAACGTGTGTATATCTATTTCTAGAATTTTTTCCCGCATGAAAAGTGGAACTCGCAAGCAAGTGAATCACTTCTGAGGATTCAAAAGCGCGTAAACAAAACCCAAAAACGTTCTTCGATTGGCGCGCGCGATCGATAAGGTACTTACTTCTGCTGGCCTCTTGGTGCCTTTCACTGATTCCTTTGCGGGGGCAGCGGCGGCGGCGGCGTCGGCGGCATCTTCGCCGTCCTTTGCCGTACCGTTATCGGCCGCATCGCCAGCAGCATCGGCGGCGGCTGCCTTATCCTCAGCGGCCACCTTCGCTTTGAGATCGTCCTTGACGGCGGACACATCCTCCGCCGCCACCTTCTCCACGGCCACATCGCCGTTATTCTGTTGTTCTGTGGCTGCCGACATTCTGTTGTGTTGTTTTGTTTGTTGTTGTTGTTCCGGAACTGGGTATTAACCGATCGGGGGCGATTTGATTATTGCTGAAGAACAGAGTGGAATTTTGGGTTGTGTTTCGACAGTCTCTTGACAAGAAACCAGCGCAAGTATCCGGAGGATTCGACAGAGAAAAGATCCAAAACGCACGAAGCACACAAACAAACTGGCTAGCAGCTCAGCTGCGGCCCTCTATTTAAGCACTCTCGCTCGCCGAGCGCTGCCAGCTATGCGCTCTCTCGCTCCCTCTCTTTTGGGCCCTCTCTTTCGCTCGCGAGCGGCTCTGCTGCTGCTGGCTCTCTCCCACGCCAGCTCCGCCACCAATGCAATACACTGAAAAACCGCCGCGGCATTTGTACAGCCGCAGTCGATGGCGGCAGCGCAGAGAGAAGACAACAACAACATCAGAGTAGCAGCAGCAGCAGCGCCCTCTAGCAAGCGAAAGATTTTGGAAATATTTTTGCATTGGTTTCTTGTTCGATTAAAGAGTATAGTATAGCTAAAGGAGGTGTATCAGCTGGAGCTACGAGATCCGGCAGGACGATCCATAGATGTCCCTCTGATATCCCCCCGGTGTTAGGTTTATTTTAATTTTTTTTGTATTTTTTAGTTCCTAACCACCGATATGTGTCCGCGTCGACGGGTCGTACAAGACTGAGCTTGCCGTCATTCGCATGGCTACAAATTGCTGATTGCTTCTTCTTGCCGATTTTGGTTCGGCGCACTTTTTCGCCTATATCTCGAAGACTTCTATTCAGATCCGATCCGAAACCGATCGAGGGTATAGCCCAGAGTGTCCCTTTAATTTTGGTGTTTTCCTCGGGGCGCTGCGATTAAAACTAGATCTGCAATTGACAAGTTGAGTGGGTTTCTTGATTATTTTCATACAAAATCTGCTTGGGTTCCGTGAGTACAGTTGTGGGCGCGTTTGGCGCTAAATTTGAAAATTGCGCGCACCACCGCTGCTGCTGGGCTGGCTGGCTGGCAATGGTGGTTGAAGAGGGGGAGGGGGGTGGTTCAAGGGGGTGGTGTGTGTGTTCGTGTGTGGTGCAGTGGCTTTTTGTCACTCTGTCTGTCCGGCGGTGGCGCCAGTGGGCGCGTGTGTGCGTGAGACACCCGTTGTTGCTGTTGTTCTTGCTGTTGCTGCTGCTGATGGGAAGAAGTGTTGCAGCATTGTTGCTGCAGATGTGCGTTGTATGTCGAGTGTGGAGAGCCGTTCGGCTTGTATTTATAGAGTGGACCAGCAGCGTGGGCCGTAGCAATGTCGTCGCGGATTGGGGTCAATTGATTGGTAACGTGTGGGGAAGCGCAGGTGATTTTGGCGGCCTAGGAAAGTGGGGATCTATTTTTGAGATTCTAACGATTTAATTGCCCGCAATTGGAGGGAACCCTGTTAGAGGTATAATTATAATTCCTAAACTTGTATTTAACTTAAAGGAACTTGGTTGCTAAAGAGTTTTCTAACAAAATCTCTTGAGAAATCCAAATTAAATAATCATAAATTCACTGAATATTTAATATTTAATAGCCTTTGTCCTACTGAATAAACACATATTTATTATTCAAACTTTCCAGATAATGGTTCTCGAATCGCTACCGCGTGATTTTATTTTTTTTATTAGTTCCCCACCGAAATGCTTACATCACTATTGAGAGCGTGAATGCTTATCGCTGTGGACGCTCGAAGTTCGAACATGGTCCACCCTTAATTCTTTGTTGTTTCTTTTTTCATGTGCCATTCTTTCTGTTGATCTCGCATTTGTGGTTCGGCCATTTGATGGTACTGTTCGTTACACGAACCTACTTGGTTCAGAAATTGACTAATATATACGAGAACTGCCGAAGCGACAATAATATTACCTGGAAATCCAGGTGCTCAAGGGTATATTCAAGTATTTAATAATGGTGTAAATAAGAGAGTTATTAAATAAAAGATCATTCGAAGGTTCATGTATAAAGTGCATTTTAAGTTGCTTAGGTAAATCTTTGAAATACAAAAATTATCATAGATAATATATCTTTAAGATAAACCACATTTTCTCAATGTACCGGAAGGCTCATTTAACATTGAACAAAGGGTCTTAAGTATTCATAAAAAAATACGATACATTTTTATTCTAACTTCTAACATATATATACTAACTCCATACCTTCGCAATACCAGGTATCCCTTAGTCGAGTTTCCACCGCACAGTCACCTTTCATACATCGAGCTATTTTCGTGAAAAGGCAAATACAAATACCTAGGGTATAGTTGGTAATCTGAATAATACAGTCGACGACAGAGCGAGCAGAACAGCCGGCAGTCGATGGGGCGAGAGTCGCTTGTCGCTAATTAAAAGCGACGAACCTGTTCCGAGGCATCGGCGGTGTAGTAAACACCTGTAATCGTGGGCCGTCCGCTGAGTTATCACATATTTGAGCAGAACCGATGACTTTTCGCCAGAGCGTTCTGGCTGATAAGCCGATTTGCGTCTCCGTTTTGCGGCATGGTTTCTGGCCTTTCTCCTTTCTTTCCGCCCGCCGTACTCTCAGTATCTGTTCGGCGTTCGTTCCCCCGAGAATCGGTGGGCCTTTCGCGTACTTCTGCGATATGAATTGAATTTCTCACCGGTCCCGTGAAGTCTTCTCTCTGGCCAGTGAACAATGGTATCTAGCCTCTCGAGGACAACCAGAGAAATTTCCTGTAGTTATCATACAGAAGGTATGGTACGAGTGTGGTCACTATTTCAAGGTTAAGCGATAGGAACTGCTGGGAAAAGCGATAAGAAAGGTTCTGTTACTACCGACAGTTCAGGCAAACGAAAAAGTAGCTAAAAAGGACCCATTTCTAGGAATACCAACATCTGCCTATGGGTTTACCACCAAGAACCATAACCTTAGCCTAGATTCTTGTTAACTTACCATCATAAAGTTGGTTAGGTTTTTTTCTACAAATTTTCTACATCATATTCTATGTATTTGCCTCGTCCCTGAACTGACCTACCCCACAAGAATTTCTTGCAGTGCACTTACACGTTGCGTCATTAAGTTGCTGTAGCATAAAGGTGTGAACAAATCTCAATGCAAACAATCGATACCCAGCCGTTCAAACATGTGTATCTAGGCACACACATCAGCTTGTATTCATGGCGATTAAGTTTTCAGTTCTCCCTTGACTACGGTGCTAATAGATTCGTAATGAGGTTGTTAAGTTTTTATGTGAGTTAAGTTATTTGGATCGCTTGGGGAGTTATGTATCCAGAAATAATAAGTCAAACTTCAAATAATATATATACGAATAAATGAAAGCAGCTTAAACCCCTTGATTTCCAATTTCTAATTCAATTATTAACTTTGTGGAAATCAAAATGAATAACAATATGATCCATATAAAACAATCGATAAAATTTTAAGATATATAATATTATATTTTTGAATCCCACTGGGAATTTATTATAATATTATTCCCAAAAGCTTGAATTCTCACGATTCCGCAAAATAAGTATAATCGAAATGGAATATGAAAGAGAGACGAGTTACTTCAAAAATTCGCTGACTATGTTAATTTTTAGGCTCATTGTTTACATTTCTTTTAAAATCGTATAATGGCTTGACCGATACAATACTGTACCGCATATGAGTAACCACTATAGCCCGCCCTTGGAGCGTCTCTTAGGTACATGGCATCGTTTGGTAGAACAACCTGAACAGGTTTACGACACGATTAGAGCGACTGTTAGACTGTTGCTAGATAGTCGATTCGCTTGGCCGCTCCACTCGGGCTCTGACTTCGGATTGGCTCTGGATTTGGAAGACGGTCATCGCATCTACGCTGAGACCCTCTCGGGTCTCGTTTTCCCGGCATGTGCTAATGTTTCCACACGAGTGCCACATGGGCCGGCTGCTCTCTCTTCTCTCCCGCGCGCGCTTACCTGTTCCACCTGCGTCAACGGGCGGTTTACACGCAATTATTAAAATGAATTTCAGTGGGACCCATTGTCTTCGATTTCCAATATTACCCTGGGACCGAGCAGGTCCTTTGGAGCAAGGTGTCACTGAGAGTGGGTACCGGGTCCTTTGCTGGCGCTTTTAATTACGCAGACGACTACCCGTGACGTGTGAGTGGACATACTTCCGGTGATGTTGTTGAGAGGTGAGAGAAGACAGCCACTGTGCATCGCTGCGACTGAAAAGCACCAGAAATAGGCGCATCACCATCATCAGACCAAAGAGATGGCGATCTAGCCCCCTTGGGTGTAGAAAGATATTGTATCTATGTATCTACATTACCTTAGGAAGAAGAAATATTTCTTTGCAGAGTGAAAAAATAAGTATCATTTTATATCTATCTACAAATACTGTATTTTATATTTAGGAATATTAAGTCAATATTTTATATATTATTTTTTTCGGTAACTGAAAATATTTAAAATACCATATCTAAGCCAAAAAATCATTAATTTTATTTCGGAAAACTTTCCTATGTTAGTTTTTAGTAGGTTAACAATTCTGCATACCTCAATTAAAAAATTAAAAACATTAAAATTTTTGTACATTTTTGACAATTTTAACGATGTAACCCCTTATAAAATTTGGGAAAATGTTATAAATTTATTTTTCCACCGGACATGGCTAGATCGACTCAGCTTTTTATGTTGATCAATAATATATGTATATGGTTTATAGGATCGAAAATGACTCCTTCACTGCCTTTCATGATTTTGACTAAAAGAGGTATAAGGGTATAAGGCAGAGGATAACTTGTATCTTTATAGCTATTCTCGAATCTGTAACTTCTCTGACTATTGATGTTGGTTAAGAATGTAGGTGGTTTAAGAAACTTTCTTTGTTCTCTTTTACTCTAAGATATATAGATAAAATCATTATACCTTCCAATATTTTTTTAAGTACCATTATGTTTAGCAAGAAAATCGACACATCGACAGTACTGATGCTCTTCCTCTCTTGGCCGGTTTTCGCACTCATCCATTCCATGTTACCTTTGTTGCCATCTGCGTCATGCATTTCGCTGCATTGAGCACTTGTGGTGGGTTGTGGGTGGTGGTGGTGCTGATACTGCCGAATGCTGGCTGGCGGTGGTTGCTCAGACCGGCGGATGAAAGAGAGAATGAGAGTGGTGGCCTCCCATGAATGAATCATTTTGGGGTAAAGAGATGAGCCGTGGTGGCATCATTGGCATTTGTTTTGTGCGTGAGAGAGTGTTTGTATGAGTACAGCCGAAATAAAACTGCGGCCAACAGCCCATCGTCCATTCAGCTGCTTTTGTGTGCGCGTTGTCTTTATTGGGACCGAGCAAAAATCATTTATTTATTTAATAATTACATATTTACACACGCCATGGGGCGGCAATTACACATACATGGACGAAGCTGTGTACATATGTAAATCACATGCTAAATCAGTCAAAATTATTATAATTGTTAGAGAGTTTGGGTTTTCAGATCTTGGAGAGTTAAGATTATTTCCCAACTGAAAACTATATTTTTATATTAAAAAAGTATCTTAATGTTTAACAGAGTTATTTTGATATTAAATTACAGCTATTAGAATGGTCCGACGTTAATTAGTTGGATTATTCAGATGTTGATTACCAAACAACTTGTTTTTTTATTCTAGAAAGTATTGCAAACACAGTTTTGTTAAAATTAATCTATGAAAATCAGAAAATAAACTCGATTACTGTCAAAACATTCTTTTTAATTAAACAAAATTGAAGATTATTTAAATTTAGTAAACCCTATTTGGCGGCACTTTCAAATTCAAAAACCCACAGGTATTTTACAACCCTATTTCACAATTATTTTGCAGCACTGGTTGGAGCCAAAACAGTTTTCAAGTGCTAGTATTTGGAGTGATCTTTGCATATAAAATTACAACTACTCTGAACTTTGTGCCTTATAATATCTGGGGTCTATGTCTTTACAAAAACCGGGTATACATCTATAATAATATATTAAAGTTGTCAAGCCCAATAATGATTGTTTGCCGCTGCGATGTTATCGATAAACTCTCACCGCTAAAATCATCATGCAAAAGTGGAAAGCAGCCGGCGACCCACAAATGACCTTGCCAAAAAGCGTTGCCAGACTGGACGCCCACCCCCCTAAGTTTGTTTATATCCAAAATTCTCTGTTTTTCAACTTACCCACGAATTTTTAACAATTTAAAATAGTCTTCATAGCGACGCACACCATTCTGCCCCCCAAAGCAGGCCAGAAAATGAGTGGAAAGCCACCAATCTTAACGATTTATCGGCTCCGTGCCGCAAGGTTGCCACCCTTTTAAGCCCTGTCAGTGTGTTGGTGTATGTCTGTGTGTTCAAATTGGGCGAAGAAGAAGAAGTTCGCGAAGTAATCAGTGGAATCTTATCCCGGAGTCTGTTAGTACGCACCAAAGAAATCCTCAAGATGGCCTTCAACAAGCTGAGCATTGAGAACCTGGACTTGGAGGGCAAGCGCGTCCTGATGCGGTAATTGGAAACCCAATTTTCATCCTTTTCAAAAAATCCGTTGCATAAACTTTGAACCGTTTTTGGCAGAGTGGATTTCAATGTCCCCATCAAGGAGGGCAAGATCACCAGCAACCAGCGTATCGTGGCTGCCCTGGATAGTGTCAAGCTGGCCCTGGCCAAAAAGGCCAAGTCTGTGGTTCTGATGTCCCACTTGGGTCGTCCCGATGGCAACAAGAACCTGAAGTACACTCTGGCTCCCGTTGCCGCTGAGCTAAAGACGCTGTTGGGACAGGACGTGACCTTCCTTAACGACTGCGTGGGCGGAGATGTGGAGGCTGCCTGCAAGGACCCCGCTCCGGGATCTGTCATCCTGCTGGAGAACGTGCGTTTCTATCTAGAGGAGGAGGGCAAGGGCGTGGACGCCAGCGGCGGCAAGGTGAAGGCCGATCCCAGCAAGGTCAAGGAGTTCCGTGCCAGCCTGGCCAAGCTGGGTGATGTGTATGTAAACGATGCCTTCGGTACTGCCCATCGCGCCCACAGCTCGATGATGGGCGATGGCTTTGAGAAGCGTGCCGCTGGTCTGCTGCTCAACAAGGAGCTGAAGTACTTCTCTCAGGCTCTGGATAAGCCACCAAATCCCTTCCTGGCCATTTTGGGTGGTGCCAAGGTCGCCGACAAGATTCAGCTGATCGAGAACCTGCTGGATAAGGTCAACGAGATGATCATCGGTGGCGGCATGGCCTTCACCTTCCTGAAGGTACTCAACAACATGAAGATTGGCGGCTCCCTGTTCGATGAGGAGGGCTCCAAGATCGTCCAGAATCTGGTTGAGAAGGCCAAGAAGAACAATGTGCAGCTGCATCTGCCCGTTGACTTTGTGTGCGGTGATAAGTTTGCTGAAAACGCCGCTGTGAGCGAGGCCACCGTTGAGGCAGGCATTCCCGACGGACACATGGGTCTGGATGTGGGACCCAAGACCCGTGAGCTCTTCGCGGCGCCCATTGCCCGCGCCAAGCTGATTGTGTGGAACGGGTAGGTGTTTAACTTTGCGTTTGTTTTAAGTTTAACTATATATTCCTTTGCAATGCAGACCACCCGGCGTTTTTGAGTTCCCCAACTTCGCCAACGGCACCAAGTCCATAATGGATGGAGTCGTGGCTGCCACCAAGAATGGAACCGTCTCCATCATTGGAGGTGGTGACACTGCCTCTTGCTGCGCCAAGTGGAACACGGAGGCGCTTGTCTCCCATGTGTCCACCGGTGGCGGCGCCTCGCTGGAGCTCCTCGAGGGCAAGACACTGCCCGGTGTGGCCGCTTTGAGCAACGCCTAAGCGGACGCAAAATGAAGGTGCTGCTGCGCCCGCTCTCTTTGCAATATTTATATGTTAATCATGTCGTTTATCTTGTAAGCACAAAAAGTAACCAACAAGTAGTAAAAAGTTAAAGTTGAATCTATTTGTTGTTGTGGAGCCATACATACATCCATATATGCATACGAAATAAAGGAAGTTTAGTTTATTTTCGTGCAAAGTTGGTGTCCATAGAGGAAGCGGTGCGCTGGATGTTGTTTCGATTGGCTCGGATGCGATCGCCGATGGAGTTCTGGTTGGCAATGGCCTTCTTCACCTCCTTGTTGATGAACTCCTTATCGAAGTCACGTTCCCTGTTTTGGGCCTCCTCTAGGGCATAGGCCTCCCGGTGTTTGCGAACAACCTGGGTGCGATCCGCCTCCCGCCAGGTGGCATTGTCCATCATCTCGCGCAGACGAGCTTCTCGATCGGCTTCGCTAAGTTTGGGTTTGCCAACGGGTCGGGCAGGAGGACTGCGCTCTCGTCGATCCCTTTCACTTCTTTGTGTGGACTGTGGCTCGCGTTTGGGACTTCGACTTCTGCTGCGTTTTGTTCGGGATCGTTCCTCGGGGCTTCTACTCCTGCGTTTCTCTCTCATTTTGTGGCTTTCCTTTCTATCCTCTGAACTACGTTGTCTATTTTTCCGTCCTGCTGGACTCCTGCTTCTCCGCCTGTCCTTTCTTTCCTCTGGACTGTGGTTTCTCCTCCTTTGCCTGGAGCTCTCGTTTCTCTGTTCTGGACTACTGCTCTTTCGTCGCTGCTTAGAGGTCTCCTTTCTGACTTGAGGACTTCTGCTCCTGCGCCTCTCCCTCTGTTTTCTGTCATCTGGGCTTCTGCTCCTTCGTCTAGAGATCTCATTTCTTTTCCTTTGCCTTTGGTCCAACTCCCTGGAACGTTGTCGTCTGGGCCTCTCGTCTTCATCACTGCTATCGCTGCTTCTCCTCTTGGACTTTTTGCTCTTTTTCTTCTTGGTGGCCATGTCCAGTTGCTTAGATATTGTTCGGTACTTGGCATCCAGCAGCTTGTCCAACTTTAAGTCACCATTGCCGGAGTCGCCTTTAAGCTTGCTAACTTGGCGGGCCAGTTTTCTGTCCAAGTCGTCGTCGCTGTCACTGTTTGCACTACTGCTGCTGCTGTCTTCATCGCTGGACTTTCTGTTCCTTTTCTTCATTTTCTTGGACTTCTTGCTCTTCTTTGACTTCTTTTCCTTGGCGGCCTTCATTTCTTGCTCGGTCTTGAGGATGCGGTGGATTTCTTTTAGTTTCACGGGATTCTCAAGGAGTTTTCTTCGAGACTCCATCTCACGCTGCTTAATCAGCATCAGGGGATCCTCGAGAGTCTTGCGTTGCATATCCACCTGTTCGGTGGATTGCAGGTTCCGATATTCCCGAATGGAAAAGGGCACGCAGTCGTGCTCTACATGGTTAATGGACTGCTTGACTCCGACCGTATTTTGCTCCTGGCTACGCTCTTCGGCCTGTAGCGTCTCGAAGGACTTGTCGATCTTGCGGCCCAGAAGGTACTCTTCGCGATTGATTAGCTCGGTGCTGTCTGAAATTTAGAGTATCTTAGAGTAAGTTGCTTTGAGGGTATTCCAAGACTAGTGACTCACTTTTGTACATCCACTCGAGTTTGGCTTCGCCGCCGGGTCCTCCGCTGCTGGACAACACCCCGGAGCTTTCTCCCAACCTGCGCAACTCCTCTCTATCCCTCTCCTCGTTAATCTCCTTTCGCAGATCCTGCAGTTTTCGCTCCTCCATCTTCGCCTGCTCCTCGGCTTTCCAGACACGCTCCTGGTTTTTCATCGTGTGCGGATGCCATGATTTCTTTAGGTTCTGCAATGGAAATTATGGTAAATTAATCAGTAATTCAATGGGGAATATAACTTACCAAGTCCCCGCCACCCATATTTGGGTTTTCTTAGAGTTTAATTAATGTAAAACTGAATTAAGATAAATTGTTTACTTTCCCTCCTTTTCTTGTGTTTTCATCAGATGTTCAATGGCAGGGCTGCCAGATCGTTAAACTGCTGAAATGGTTGCCAGAAGTTTTACAATTTTAAAATTGTTTGAAGTCTAAAATTGGCGTTATTTTATGATTTCTTCTAACTTACTTTAAATTAAAAAATTTGTCAGAATTCACCCTTTTCTTGTATTTAAAGCAATAAATAATTTTTAAACTTCTAAATATTGCCTAGATCTCTGTATATTATTATTAAAGCTACTTTGACAAATGTTTTCTTCTAAACTTTATTCAAAAATGTTCCTTTTTCAATGTCCGTTGGCGTATATGCATATACGCCAAAATACTCTCCTATGTGGACTAAGTAGGATGTTCTTTGCCAGCAATGAAGAGTACAACGGAAGGGATCAGATGGTGAAGAAGTTGAGCCTAAAAAAAGTTGACGTCGCCGGAAAAAGGGTATTTATGAGGTAGATATCCTTATATTTTATATTAATTTAAAAAATAAATAATTATTTCACCCTTCCTGGCAAGGGTGGACTTTAATGTGCCGATGAAAGATGGGAAAATAACCAACAATCAACGTATTGTGGCCGCTTTGCCCAGTATCAAATATATTATTGATAAAAAATGTAAATCCCTGGTAAGTTGATCTAATAAAATTTGATTTTTAAGAATAAGTTGGTCACTTAATAAATAACCAGGTTCTAGCTTCACATTTGGGTCGCCCAGATGGGAAAATAAACAAGAAATTCAGCCTTGAGCCCGTAGCCAAGGAGCTTGAGAAGGTGCTGGGGAAACCAGTGAACTTCTTGGACGACTGTGTGGGGGACCACACTCTGGAAGTTCTGAAGGATCCGACTGAGGGCAGTATCTTACTTCTAGAGAACCTACGCTTCCATGTCGAGGAGACGGGCAGCAGACAGGATGCAGACAAGAAGAAGGTAAAGGCTGATCCGGAAAAGGTTAAGGAGTTCCGGGCCAAGTTGGCTCAGCTGGGCGATATCTATGTGAACGATGCCTTCGGCACTGCCCACCGGGCTCACAGTTCGATGATGGGCGAGGGCTATAAGATACGTGCTGCCGGCTTCCTGCTTGACAAGGAACTGCAGTACTTCACCAAAGTTCTACACAATCCAGCGAAGCCCTTCCTTGCCATTTTGGGTGGTGCCAAGATAGCTGACAAAATTCCCCTGATCACCAATCTTCTCGACAACGTAACCGTGATGATCATTTGTGGGGGCATGGCCTTCACCTTCCTCAAAGTTCTCAACAACATGGAGATTGGAACGTCCCTCTATAACGAGAAGGGCTACAAGATGGTTTTGAATACAATGTGCAAGGCAATGGATAAGAATGTGAAGATCCTTCTGCCTGTAGACTTTGTAATCGCCAACAAGATCGACAAGAATCCTGATAAAATCGATACGGCCGATGTCAGGAAGGGCATTCCCAAGGACATGATGGGTCTCGATGTTGGCGAGGTCTCCAGGGCCATTTTCGCCGGTGCCATTTGTGCCTCCAACACAATCATGTGGAATGGACCACCAGGTTTATTCGAAAACGAGCTATTTTCAGAGGGCACCAAGAATATGCTGACTGCCGTAATCCGAGCCACCGAGCTGGGAGCCACCACGATAGTGGGCGGCGGAGATACTGCCACGGCATGCATTCAATTCGGGGGAGCCGATAAGGTCTCACATGTGTCCACGGGTGGCGGTGCTTCGCTCGAGCTGTTGGAGGGCAAGATTCTGCCAGGTGTGGCGGCCTTGTCGGATGCTTAAAAACCTGTAAAATATAAATAACATAAACTTGTTAAAGGGAAATTATGTATATAAATTGTGATTTATTTTGGAATAACATGAGTCGCTGGTTAAAACTTGATAAAAGAGCTGTTCTTGGCTTAAACAGATCTCGTATAGCTTTCTACTAACCGTAATTTATTTAAATTTTTCGCTTAACTAAAAAAAAAATCAACATTTCATTATGTCTTGGCAACAAAAGCTTTTGGGAATAGTAACTGATGACCGCAATATAAAGTCAAGAATTTTGGTATTAATCCAACATCCACACGAGAACGGTTTATAGCCCAACTCTGAAGGGTAATACAAATAGGGAATAACATGGTTTGGTCTAGTCGAAACTGATTAGTTCCGCTGTGGCCGGTTCGGCAGCCTTAGTGGTCGGCTCCGGTTCGTTTTGGGGTGGAGCTGGAGCGGCAGCCACAGCTTGGACTTGATTATTGGCTATTTCGGTGACCGGTGGAGCCTGGGGAGCAGCAGGAGGCGCTTGGTTGGCCAACGGCGGATGGGTTTGAACCACATGCTGCTGCTGGAGCATTACGTGAGCCAGTTGGGGTTGCTGTTGAGGAACAGGTTGTGGTTGTGGCTGCTGAATGGGAAGTTGCTGAGCCTGTGGATGTGCCTGCTGAACCGGAAGGTGCTGTGCTGGCCCCTGCTGAAGGATTGCTGGGTTGTTGGCGAACTGATTGTCGGGCATGGCCTGCGGCTGCGGCATCATGTGGGCATTTCCGGGCGGCGGCGGTTGCTGCTGTTGCATCATTGCTCCAGGTTGCTGCATCTGCGTTTGCATTGCTGGGTTGTACATGCCTGGTGGAATGCCCTGGAATTGTTGGCCATGTCCATTGGGAGCGGGAGCAGGAGCAGGTCCTGGATAACCGGGAACAGCAGCGGCATACGGATTATAAACGTTGTTCAGTTGATGCGATGGCGAACCATGTTGCGGCACCGCCGACGGTGGAAGGTACGGGAATGGCGGAACTGCCTGACCCATCAAATACTGCGCTTTCTGCTGCTCCTGCCGCAGCTGCATCTCGCGTTCCTGCTCCTGAATACGCTGCAGCGCCAATTGACGCTGATACTGCAGATACTCTTGCTTCTTCTTGCGCATTATCTCAAGCTTCTGGGCCATCTGCATCTGGCGCTGCCGCTCCTGTTCTTCGGCGATTCTGCGTAGCTTCTCCACATGCTCCTGCCGCAGCTGATCTAGGGCAGCTCGCGAATCCTTGATCTGAGTAAGTTTGTCCTGGAGCTGCTCGTACCACATGCGTTTGTCATCCATCTCCTTAATGTAGGAAAGCTGCTGCGAGTGCAACGATGTCAGAGTCATGAACAGCGTCTGAACCGACGAATCGTTGGAGATACTGCGCCCACGACTAGAGTTGGACTTCATGCGGTTCACAAAGATCTCCACCTGGGTGCGCATATTAGCTGCAAACTCATTTATCTGCACTTCATCCGCACTCTTGGGCTGCAGCGAGAGGATACTTTGCTGGGGCTGTGGTGTCGGCGGCATAGGACTGGGGGCCGAGGGACTAGCCATGGACGAGGATTCGCTAATCTTGCGTTGCTCCCAGTAACTGCGATTCAAATATTTGGCCAGCTCCGGATTGGTGGTTTCTTCGGCTGGCTGCTGGAACTCCTTGGGTACTGATGGTGCTTCCGGGCTGGGGGACCTCTGTTGCATGCGATAGGCAGCAGCGGCCGATGTCAGTGATTGCTGCTTCTGTTTCTGCTGCTCGGCCTCCGACTGACTAAGAGCCAGAGCCAGCTGCAGTTCTTCTTCCTCCTTCAGTTCGGCCTCGGTTTTGCGAGCGGGTGTCTGGAAATTGTTATTATTTATTTATGTTTTTGTTTATTTCTGGGTGACTCACCTGCACCTGCTGCGACAATGAGCTGTTCAAATATTCTGCCGGCAAATCACTGTCCGCCGCTCGAGTTGCAGACTTTCCACCGCTGGCACTGCCGCCGCTTGTTGGACGCTGGAGAGCCGCAAAGCAGCCGTCACAGACGCGCACATCTTTCTCAATACCGTACTTGGGCAGAGGACACTGTTTGGACGTGCACTGGCCACAGAACACTTGGCCGCAGTTCCGGCAATGGTGCTTGCGATTGGTGAAGGTGAACTCCACGCGACAGCGATGACAAACCGTACCATCGGCCCAGTTGGGGGCAGTGTCGGCGGTGAACATGGCATCCGCCTCACGAAGCTCAGGGAAGGTATGGCCCTTGGCTTTTAGGATGGTCATGGTGTCCTGGAAACAAGGATTTTTTTATTAATTTGTACAAGTTGTATTTAAATTTACAAACTAGGGACTCCTCATCTAGGCTTAGTTCCTCCTCGGAGCTCATTTTGAGACAACTGAGGGGCTTTTAACATAGACAAAACGCTGGCTTTTCCACTAATTAAATTAAGGTAAAATACAGTGACGGATTTTAGCTTTAGGGGGCCTTTTTAAGGTAGAAATCCGGAAATGTACGGTGTTAAATTACAAAGTCTGTTTAAGATTAAAAACTAATGATTTTTAAAGGATAAAGAGGTGTAGACTTGGTTCTAGATTTTATATTAAAAGTAAATATGCTATAAAATATTTGTTTAACCATTATTTGCAATTAAGAAATATTTTAAGCTAGTTTTTAATACCTTAACTAAACTTTTCATAGGAAACCAGCCTAAATGACATGGTAAATTTAATTGGTTTCAATATGAGATCAATTTTTTAACTATTTAAACTTTTGCAAGCTCTAAATTAAACTAACTCCGGTCCTGAACATGGTGAAAAGTAAAATACAACATGCTAGATGTTAAAATTTCTCAAATTACCCAATGAAATAGGTATGTGGCCCTACCTTTATGGCCTGATATTTGTCCGATGAGCGAAAGGCATTAGCCCAGGTCTGCACCAGCTCCAGCATCTTCTGGCGCACGTTCTCGTGGGGCGTGGACTCAAGAAAGCTGCTAAACATCTCACAGTTCTCCTTGGTGAAGACCTCTTCGTGAACAGGGGCGCCACAGTTCTTCACAATGCTCTCCAGCACCAACAGCGAATAGCAGGCGGAGTGGGGATTGGGTGAGTTCATCTTTTTCTTGATAGCAGCAAAGGCTGTTTTGGGTCTATAAGGTGTAAGTTGTATTACCATGAACATGATAGGAAATCGACCAACTTACGTGACATCTTTTTGATTGATCTCATCGCAGATGAGGAGAATGGAGGGCCAGTCCGGCTCCAACCGCAGATGGCTGGTGGCATTCTCTGAAAATTGAAGTCCATTATTAACTGGTCTTTGTGCATTTTATCGCACTCTTTAATTGCGTTGGCAGGTCATTCGCTTTTTGTTGTTACTTCTTGGAAGTCGTTTTTTTTTTTATTTGGGTTTCTGATGAGTCACTTTTATTGGACACTTCGGTCTGCCTTCAATTCGAGGGATTCTCACCTAAATTTTTGTCGAATCTTGATAGAAACATGTTGACAGTTGCTTTTCACTGTTTGTTGTCGGTGTTTTTCTACTGTTTTTACTGGTTTTACTAATTATAAAAAATTGTTTTGTTTGGCGACTGCGAAGAAATGTTTCTGCAATATGCGCGGCGTTGCCACATCGGACAGCAACTTGAGCTGCCAGACCGCGCTTGAGTTTGTAACGAATATATGAGTCCATATAAAAAGTTCTAACGCCTGGTTTTTTAAATTATGTTTATTTTAACGGTTCCAAATTATTAAATTGATGAAGACCAATATGGTTAATTGAATTATTACATTATTTTGTAAAGTTTGGTATGGTTTGGCAGTTATTACTTCAACTGCCAAAAATTAAATTTGATTTAATTTTAATTTTTAACATTTTTAATTGAGTATGCAGTTTTATTGCCCTAATAAAATTAATGAATTTTTGGCTTAACTATGGTTTTTTTTTAACCTTGACTTGTTTAACTTACTTGGGCTTCCCGAAGTATGTTCCCTTTATTGCTAACTCCATATTTTTTGTCAAATTCTTATTTTCCCCCAACAAAAAAGACATCATTTCCGATTATTGTTGCATTTATTTGCCATTAAAACTCCGCTGAAACGACCAAAACTATATGGTGTTTTATTCTCACATTGATTAGCTAAATCTACAAAAACTACGTAGATTTTGTAAAATTGTATTTCTCTTAGAACTCTTAAGGTTTTCTCTTTTCATTGTAAAGGACGTACTAGTATGCCTTAAGCCTTATACCGAAACTATATGCATCGTAATCGTAATTAAACTTATAGGACAATTTATACACACATTTCGTTGCCAAAGAAGGAAAGAAATATTAAGAGGAATACGCTTTAATTTTAACAAAATTATTCCGGTAACCAAATAAAATTGCAAATTAAATTTGCCAAATGGCTCTGAGATAAGTAAGATAATCTAAACAATGGACTTTAGCACGAACCAAAATCTTAGACATCGACTTGCCAACTTTTGCGTGCAATCTAAGTGGTAATAATAAGTATACGCAATGGTTAACGATGAACGGAAACCGCTCTCTCTCACTTTGGCGTGCGGGCGGCGCTGATCTTCTGCTTCTCGGCATCGGTGAACTCCAGGATGCTCTCGATGGCCTGCAGGTGTCCCTGTGAGTTCTCCTTGTCCGTGAGGAAGTAAAAGATGGCGCTCTTCAGGAATTGCAGCGTCACCTCCGGATCGACGTGAGTGCGATTCTTCTGGGCCTCCATCAGGCGACGGTATATGGTCTAGATTTGTATGGTTTTTGTTTTTTCGATACATTTTTTGTACATTAATCGTGTGGGTTAGTTCGGAAAGAAAAGAAGAGAGTGCAGAGAAAGTATAAGAGAATTAGTCAGATTCTTCTGTTCGAACTTGTAATCAAAGGACTGTGGTGGTTGTTAGTCGTAGAAATAAAATGTATTTACAAAAGGTTCGCTTTAATATTTTTTGGTGGTGCCTTTGCCATATGAACATTTAGGTTATAATGTTATGGTATGTAACACTGAATAATATTCGAGATATATGGTAAAATGGTATCTGTTGGGCTTAATTCGAAATTATTGATTACTTTGGAGGAGAACTTGGATAGATGAACCACATGCTAAATGGATCTTAGGTAGATATTAGTTAGCTTTTGTGTCACTTCTAGCCTGGTGTAGTGTTTATTGATGTTTGTTTTTTGAACATACCTCTAGTTGTTACCTCTACAAAAACAGTTTTGTTTGGAAACAACAAGTACTTACAAAAAGAAATAACTCATTGAAAGTAATATTTTAAATGTTCAGAAGAATAGTCAGTTTTTTTAAGGACCCAAGAACCTTACCCTTTCCCATGAGCGCGAATGCAGATGAAAATGCTGGTTAGTCTCGAGAAGGTGAGAGGTGAAAGTTATGGGAGGGTGGGAATTTTGGATGGTAATACCCAATGTTCGATATAGCCAATGTGCGTGATCAAAACATAAAAAGCAACTTAAAATTTGCCTTTATTTTTGCATTTTGTTTGTAGTAATTTTGCACTAATAAATCAAAAGTTAGTTGGGGGGAGAGTTTGTTGTTATTAGGGATATTACAAACCTTACGCGCGCCAAGTACCCACAATGAAATCGCCTCTTTTGCAGTAAGGAGAGCATTATTACTGCCGCACTCTCTCATTCTGCACTCTGATGCCTACAAAAATAGTTTCGTTTTTTTGTTTTTTACGACAGAAATATTTAAATTTAGAAAGATTTGTTTTTAATTTTTTTTTCGATATTTTAAAGAAAAGAAAAACTTAACCAAACAAAAATAGAGAAAGAAGTAGAAAGAGAGCTAAGGGTTTAAGTCCAGCATGCGATTGGAACGATTCTTAATTAAAATACGGGGAGTTATGGACTATACTTTTGGTTATTTTCATGCACTGCTTGCTTTGCTTGCTCTCCGCACTCCGCACTACGTGACTGTACTTAGGCTACTCGAACTCGCAACGCAACGAAATGAAACGAAAACGGAAACGGAAATGAAACAAATCGAAACTAATTGAAAGTAAACGTTGCATTTAATGTAAGTTTTGAATGGGTGTTCTTGCTAAAAATTAATTATGCAAAATGGTCTTAAGATCTAGGAACGAAATCAAAACGAAAATGTTGCTCGACGGGCAATTCAATTAAGTGCCGCTTTTCCAGCCAGGCAAAGTCAGCCCAATTGAAATGCCACGCCCACAAGCACATAATGGAGAGAGCTAGAATGAAGCGAATGCGTGTCGTATTATCTCATGTCAAGATGTGTTGTTCTTGTTCTTGTGGCTGTTGCTGTTGCTGTTCTTGTGACGGTGACGGTGTCGAGCTGAGCTGAGATGATATGCAGCCTCTCACGATGCAACAAAATGCAACACACAAAACAAAACCGAAAATAGGATGAGGAATATATTGAAGAATCTTACGCGTATGTTCTCCAACTCGTCCTGCGTGCTCTGAAGCTGATGGAGCAGCTCATTGATTGACACTTTACTCTCCGGCTGACGCTGGGCCAATTCCAATGCCTGAAAAAAATTAAATGTTACAAAAATTAATAGGTATAATTTATTTAATTACGGAAAACTAAAAACAAATTTTTCTATGTTGATTGATATTCAAAATGTTCCGTTGATAACATTAACAATTTAAAAATATAGTAGAGTCATAAAAAGACATATACATAAATCCCACAAACATTAAAATTATAAAACTAAATGTAAAATATTTATATTAAAAGAAAAACCCTTATAGGTAAGTTTTAAATTTATCTTAACTAGGAAAATAAAAGTGACTGGTCCCCGACTACCTTCAAAAATGTATGACATCAAATTTTGTGACGATTAAATAGTAACATTTAAAATATACATATTAATAATTTAAATTATTAAATTATTTGCAATTTCTTCCCGGCCTGTGATACCCTCAATCGCCACAAAATCTGACATCAGAAATTGTTGTAGTTGCAGGTGTCATCGTCACTTTAAGCTCCCCTAATTAAGCGTTGTTTTCATTTAATAAATAGAAAAGAAAAGGAAATTAGAATATTCCTAGATCGCTCCTATTAGTTAAATCCTTTGGAAGAACCCTTTCTAGTAGCTGAACTAGACCTCTTATAACGAAATTCCCCACCTGATCCGCTCTGGAAATGCGCTCTGCCTCCTGTCCCTGCTGGTACATGTGCAGGTACATCTTGTTCTGCTTCTCCTCGTGCTCGATTAGCTTCCGCTGCAGATCCTCCAGCTGCTTCTCCAGCTCCCGGATGCGTTGCTTGGCCTGCTCATAGTCCGGCACCATGTCCGAGTATCTAGTGTTGCATTCCGCTAGCTTCTGAAGCAGTGCCTCCACCTTGTCGTTGTGCGAACGCTTCAGATCACTGGTGGCGCTGTCCTGGCTGCGGATGAGCTCCTCGATCCGGTGCTCATACATTCGGATTAGCTCCTGACGCTGCAGTTCGTAGTTCTCCAGGTTGGTGGCCGCATCGCCATCGCCATCGCCACCGCCGCAGGCCCCCACATCCGGTTCACCATCCGGCGTGCTCGATCCGCAGGCTTCGCTCTGCGTCTGCGAGTCCTTCGAGTGCACCGAGGACATGGTGAGATCCTCAAAGTGGCCAGAGTCTGCGTACGAGCTTTGCATCTCAGCCGACATTTGCATAGCCTGGAGCTGTTGATGCTGCAGGGAGTGATTATGCTGCTGTCGTATGACATGCCGAGGACTGCCCTTGGCATTGCCCTCGTCCACCATGTCCACGATGGGCGAGACATCCTGCGAGGTCTTTAGTTCCGCCTCCCGCACAGTCACCGCATCCGAGGAGGCGGAACGTTCCTCTGGCGAACTTAGAGAGGCCTTGAACAGTCGCAGCTCGACCACTTCCCGCGTTAAGCGTAGAATTTCCGTATCCTTTTGCTCGAGATCCTGGCGAGCAATGGACAGTAGTTCCTTGAGACGACGTATCTGGCGTTGAGCCCGCTGCGTGGGTGTTAGATAGTCGGGTCCCACCTGACCGGCATAGTTGGAGCAATGCACCACGTACTTCATTTTGCGTCCACTGAAGGTGGTTCCGTTTCTAAGGGGGATTCATTTAATTAAATTTTAATCCTACTTAAATAAATAATTATAATAATTAATACCACCTACCTAGCCACATAGGGATGCTCGCAGGACATCGTTGAGCGTCCCGAGGTGGTGGTGGCAAACGAGTACATCGAATCTAGATCATCGTCCAGATACGTGCTGGGTGAATCCGGTGTGACTGGCGGAGTCCTGGGCGAGACCTTGGACTCGTGCAGCGTGGACAGATGCTTCCCCGCGGCCTTGACGCAATTACCTTGACGGATGCAGGTGTGTGGCGGCGTTTCCGGTTGTAATTTGCCCTGTAGTTGCGGAGTCTGTGGCGTCCTGGGAGTCCTGGCTGTGGCAGAAGGAGGAGGAGGCTCCTTGCTGTCGCCGCCGTTGATGTCACTGCCGCCGCCGTTCAACTTGAGAGACTGGAAGATGAATCAAAGACTGGAATTAGCTATCTAATAGGCTAACTATCTCTCGCCGATGTGGTGGCTGCCCCTCAATCGCTTAATCTTTTTTTTACACTCTTGTTTCTTGTATTTTCTAATTTCGTTGCGTGGCCGCTGCTCAGTCGTGCATGGATTTTTGTGAATATATATTTTTTTGTTTCTTTTTTTTCGCAACAAGAGATAAAAAGGTAAAAAGTATTGGCGTAAAATGCTGGGTAAACCAATTCGAATTTGCAACGCCCCTGGAAAAGCAATTTGTTGCCATACATTTTTAGCAAAACATTGTTCGGTTCGGTTTGCATTCGCTTTGCTTACTTTCATTGCTCTCTAAATTCCCCCCTTAACTCCCAGGCATTTTTGTGGTCAATTAACTGCTCGTTAGTCTGACTCTAAGTTGGTATTTAGCATTTAGCATTTTGTATTTAGCCAGTTAGACAGTTTGCCGCTGGGCAAACAGTTGAAATCGCCGACGTCTCGATTAAATCATTAACTTGGGGAAACTAAACAAAATTCTATAAAAATTTCCCTGACTTAATTTAGGGGAAACGTAAACCTAATATTTGCAAAAAACAATCTAGAGCTAGTTTTAAATTATTATTAATGATTTTAGGAGCTATTAAGAACGATCATCAATCATTTAAACCATTTAAAGTCTAGACTTTAAGATTTTCATATTTTATATTTAAATGTAATGTCACTCTATACATTTATTCAAAATGTATCCTTAAATCATAACTTAATTCTTAGTGTTTAAATTATTAAAATTTACTTGCCATTGCGTCTATGGTATACATTGTACACCTTTGTATACAACCCAGAAGATTTAAGAAACACACAATTTAATTTGATTGGAAACGAAAAGCAAGAATTGATTAAATAATATAAAGAATATAAATATTTATTAATACTAAGTAAAAATTTAAAGCTTTTTTGTAAATAACTCTTAATAAAGGAATATGAAAATATTAGTTTATGACTATAAATATTATTTCATAGTGGCATCTCTAGTGATATTTCTAATTGTAGAAGTTTTAAGGATTAATTTCCTTTAAAGTGTCATCAGACACAAACCGGAAGTGCCCTAAATATCTCTATAAAACTGACGATTTATAGACATTTTCAATATAATTTCCAATTGAGCCCAAGTAACATTTGCTAGTTATTTAAAAAGTAAAATAATTTTGATTTCTAAACCAAAAAAGCAAACCATACTATCTAAATTAAACTTAAACTAAGCTAAACAGTCTTTACTAATTTAACCCGAGCATTATTATCCACATTATAGCAACTCACTGATAGAATTATTTACTTCCCCTGAGTAGTTAATTAACCTAATCAGCCATTTAATCACAGTTAACTAAGTAGTAAAACCTATTAAGTAAATATGTGACAACATAGACTGACAGTTCATTGACTGCCAATGCATTGATTCTTTTGTTGTCCCCGATGTGAAATGATTTAGGACTGACCACTGGCCCACTTGTTACCCCCTTTTTTTTGCTGTTGGCCAACTCATTGAGCTGGAGCCGTTGTCAGTGATTGGTTTCTGACAAATCTGTTTAACTGCCCCATTCGCATTCCCTTCCTCATTCTGTGGTAGCGAAGCTCTCTCTGAGCTTCTTGGCATGAATATTTCATAATCTTTAATGAGTTTCTTGCTCTATTTAATTGCCCAAGTTCTGGGGAATAATTCACGGTGGCACAGAAACTGAACTGTTTACGCACGGCCACACAAAACCTGACTTGTAGGGCCCAGACATTATCTTGGGGCTATAAACAAGCCTCTTGGCCACGTTACGTTACGCACTTGCATTCAATGTACTTAAGTTCAGCGACTTAAAGCCAGGCCACAGTCACGTCCCGAGCATCTAGGCGGGCTCAGGTGCCATCAATTAAGCTGCTGACTAAGAAAAATCAATGACTTTGATTCTGAATAGAAGAAGCGGTGGGCAGGTGAGCAGAAAAAAAAACTCACGTAATGGCCAATTCAGCCCATTTGGCACTTGGCCAAGTCCCAATGTTCTGGTCACGTGTTGACAATCACTTCTCGCTGCAGATACAATATATGTATATAGTATTTCCGACCAAAGTTCTTTTTTTGGCAACAAAAAAGGACTCGAAAAAACATTGGCATACTTTTCAGGGTCGCATATAAGGAAGAGTTGGAGAAACAATGGCCGAGTAATGGATTTTTAAATTCCTTTTAATTGTAAAATATGGCAAGGACTTAATAAAGTCCTTTCGGTAGCTTGACTTTTCTAAAGAAATTAGGAATTTAAGGAGAAAAGTATTTAATTTATTTAAACACTTTATAGGTACCTAGTTTAAAGACACAAAACTTCACTTTGTAAGGTAGATACATTACAATTTACTCATATCTCTTAACTTTTACCATTTAATCTTTCGTTATAAAACCGTATAAATCATCCCTAATTGCAGTAAGTGAAATTTTATACCACAAACCTTTTTTGTAAAGCTTGAAATTCTTGTTGTTCAAACAAATTCAGTAGAAACTTGTTTTGAAAAAGCTTAATTAATTAATTGTGTGTTTATTTAAAAGAATATTTAAACTTAATCAAGTAAATACTTTTCAGGGTAGCCATGCTTGACTTTTGAAATATCCTTTTCCCGCAGGTAAACACACATAATTAGAACTCCTCGCGTTAAAAATCAATAACAATTATGAATTAATAATGCAGTAGGGCCAACGAACTCCGATTATATTGTTGGCTAAAAATATATGGGGCGAGCATAGTAATTACCATTTATAAGCCATGGCCCCAACAGAGTTGTTGTCTTTAATTATAGACGCTTCCACTGGGCTTAGTACTTAGTATGTACTTGGAATTTCTAGCTAACCAAAAAACAGAGCAATAAAAACACAATGCACGCTTCACTCGTTGCTACCTGGTTTATGTTTTAGGCCTATAAGTTTAAACTTTAAACAATATCAGAGAGCTTCAAAGCGCGGGTCTTGTGCACGCGGCCAGTATAAAAAATCAACTGAAACGCAAATCTCTGGGCCAAGAAGCAAAAAAAAAAACAAGAAAGATACGGGGAAAGAGAAAGAGCAAAAGAAAAGAGACGAAGAAGATACGAAAAAAGAAGCACCAACAACAACCCTGGGAAGCAATAGCGAGAGGTGGAGAAAAGCTGCGCACTTGCTTGCACTCTCTTTACCTTCCTCCCCCGCGAAGGGACCAAAAAGGAGAAGAGGAAAACCCAAACAAACCGAGAATCAGCTGTTTCCTTGGTACGATATGGCAAACGGAACAAGCGGAAGTGGAAACGGAACAGCTGCCACCAAAGGGGGATGGGTATCCCAAAGGGGAGGGGCGGTCGAGAAGGTGAAGCGTGTGTAAGCTGTGTTTGTTGTCGCCTTTCCTTTCTTTCTTTCTTTCTTTCTGGCCGAGCTTTATGCAAACTCAGCTTTGGGGTTTATATTTTTGTTCCCTTTGTACTGTACAGTGCAGTATATGCATGTAATATATCTGGTTTAATGATCGCTAGTAAGCTGCGTGTCATCACGGCAGCGATAAAAGTGCAAGTGACAAGATGACATGAGCCAACGGAATCATTTATTGAAGGGGTAATTATATTTCCGGAAACTTAAATCGATAATATCAAGAGATATTCACTTGGCATTTAAATCTAAAAAAAATATAAATAAATACAAATTTTAAATTTACAGTTAAGGCTTTTTATTATTTAAATTATATTTTTCTTTCATCTAAATAACTGAAAATAAGTGATTCAAATAATATTATTATACCCTTGCAGGGTATTCTAATTTTAGTCAGAAGCTTAAACCCCAATGAAGGAGTCATTTCCGACCCTATAAGTCATATATATTCTTTATCAGCATCGACAGCCGAGTCGATCTAGCCATGTTCGATTGAAAAAAAAATTCGAAATTTTTTCAATTTTTTTCAAACAAAATTTCAATTTAAAAAAACTGACAAAATTTTTTAACAATTGAAATTGAGTATGCAGTTTTATTGTCTTAATAAAAACTAGCATAGGAAAGGTTTCCGAATTGAAATTAATGAATTTTTGGCTAAGTAATGAGTTTTTTTAAATTTGATTTCTAGATTTCTAGATAAATATTGACTGAAAGAATGGTATTATAATTTTGCATGTAGAACTGTGAAAGACTGCACATAAATAAAATAGAATCTACACTCTTTATGAATACACATGTTTATTTACACTTAACTCGTTTAAATATCTGATTTAAAATCGTAATATCGATTCGGTGGGTTATTTTTTCTGTTGTCGTAGGGAGGTTTTATCTTTGAAGCTTTTTCCTATTTATTATTGAATTATAGTACGTAGCTACACGTTCGACTTGGGGGTAGGCTCTAAGACCTCTGCAGATGGTAATTTTCAAATGAATTCTTCAAACAGTTTGCCTTTTATTGTATTAATAAATATTGATAGATTTTTTAAATTCCAACTAGTGTATAATTATAACTTCTAAAAATATATTTATTCCCAATTGTAAAGTACTATACCCTTTCAATGCTTAAACACTACCCTGCAGGTAGCTCCTTATGGGACCATGAGATAAGCATATGTCCCACTTTCGGGGGAGTTGTTGGGTGAGAGGACACTAAATTCCCGGAAAAACGCCTCTAGCATTTCCCCTAAGCGGTTTCGTAATATATTCCTAGTACATGTAGTGCTTTCAACTACCAGTGAGTGTTCCTTCCCCCTCAGAATAAATATTCCTGCGTCGTAACCTCTTACCCCTAGAAGTGCGAGGGCGGTTGGTGCTCATTCGAGTTACATAGGTCAGCAATGGCAAGTGAAAATCAATATGGCAAACACCTCAAAAAAACTCACCAGATTGCGTGGCTTGCTGCTGCCGGCCATGGTGTCGTCGCTGGCCACTTGCTGCAGTAGGACATCCGTTTGGGGCTTCTCAGCTAGGGAAAGACACTCGGTGGCGGTGCATAGTGCATGGCCCGCCTGCGGATCTGCTCCTGCTTCCGGTTCCTGCTCCGTCTTGTGGCCTAGATTGCTCCAGCTGCGCTTCAATAGAACCGATTTGATCGTCGAGAGCTTTGCGCGCGAACTGAATCCGCCTCCTCCGCCGGCTCGACCTGGACACGGTTCGGTTCGTGGTCCAAGCTCTGCTTGATTCCCGCGCAGGCGCAGAGAGGCGGAACGCTGGAAATGGGCCGGATGTGGAATGCGAGTGGGCGTTGTGGATGCCGTGTGGGCGGTGGCGACCTCCTCAAGTTCCTTAGCCAGCTCCTTGGGCTCCTGCTCCATTGCCAGCGATGACGTCTCTGGCGACAGCGACGTCATCTCTAGGACAGAGAACAGGAATGAGCAGCATAACAATTAGGATTTGGAAAATATAATATTAAAAGAATATTTATCTATTTGCTAAAATCCAATTGAGAAAATTTTAACAAGATAGAAAGTAAACTTCGCCAAGCCAAAGTTTGTTTACCATTGCAGTTTGCATTTCGAATAGAAACTTGATCATAACTTATCAAAAAATGCATTAATATAAGTTGGTGTTGATTTGAAAAATTTAGTAATTTAAATTTTTTGTGAATTTTTGACAATTTAAACGATGTAACCCTTGTTACAAAATCATGATTAGATTGGCTCAGCTAATCAACAATACATAAATATGATTTATATGTAATGGTTCTCTCTCTGCCTCCCCCACTCTTTAGCTCTCACAGGTTCGATATGACTGTGTACCTCTAGAGGTATCTCTTACTCTCTATTACTCTCTGCCTATCTCAAGGGATAGCACTTTCTCCCCCGCTCTCAGTTTCTCTGCTCTCTTGACTTGGAGAGTATAAATACAGGCACTGACTGTGGCCCGGGCCTCATTCTGTCCGCGGCCGGCCCACTGTTTACATCTATGGTGATAGTGATGCAGCAATTTTTATTAATGTTATTATTATTATCTATCAAAGTTAACAGCCTAACTTAACTATAAATCATTCCCGAATATTGATTTCTTACCCTTACAATAGTTCAAGAAGTCCGACTTTGGCTACCTTTCTTTGTTGTTATCATTATCTTACTTTACATTTAAAATAAACATTTATTAGGTATTATATTTTCCTTCCATCTATTAATCATGAAGTAATAATACAAGTCTCAGCAAGAAAATGAGCTGAATGCAAATTGAGCTGAAATCAATTTGAAATCATTATTGGCTGCACTTTCAAAATCTAAGCAATTTTATAATTGAATGCTTCACATAAACGACTTCATTATCTTAAACGCTGGTTGGATAATTAAAACTTTCTTCAGTCCGCCATTAATAATTGCTACCAGGTCCCCCCTTACCCTGTTCCCGCTGATTTTCCTGGGCAAATCCAAAATGAAAAGTGAAATTAAATCAGTTTCCCAGTCATGCAACACTCAGGTTTTATTTTTGCTGTCTGCAGCTAATTACGAAATTTGTGTGTTTGAGATCTTTTTCGCTTGCGGTTTTGGATGTATCTTGGCGTTCTAGTTACACCAAACCCAACCGGAGCTTAAAGGTCTTCGGGTTAGATGAGATAAAAGTACTCATGTTTTTGGTTAATTTTTATGGAGAACAAGCTGACGAAAGATTTCTGTTGAAAATTTTTGCGGCGATATCAGCAATTAAATGTGATATCGGTGGTGGAAATTTTGACAAGGCTTATAGGGTGGGCCAGGTAATGGGAATTTTTACTTGTAAGGTTTTAATAAAAAGTTAATAAATTAATAGAGAAGTATCTGAAAGAGGTGTAGACGCTGAAAATAAGTTATTTAAAATACAATAGTAATTCGGAACTATTGGAAAAGAAATAATCAACGTTTAAGGCCCATTATCTTATAGGTTGAGTATTAAATTGTTCTTCCTTACTAAATCTCATTTAAAATCAAATAATAACCATTTAATTTTGATTAACTCCTAATCTCCATGATTCTCCACTTCATAACCCTTTAAAAAAGCTAACGAATAGGTGAAACTGAAATAATTGTTCAACTCATGACCCTTATTATTTTCTCTCTTCCCTGTGGCAATTAGAGCCACTATCATTGTAAAGTATTTCCGCTCATTTCTTTAAAAAACAACTTTAAGATTCCGGCTCAGTTTCGGGGGTTTGGGTTGAGCGGCTGCTGCTGCTAGGCCATAAAAGGTCAATTTCACAGCTGAACAAACGTGTTTTCTTCTCTCATTTCGTTCACTTCACTTTAATTTACTTGAATGTTTTTCTTACGTTTTGTTTTGCCACGTTTTTTTTTGTAACCAGATTGAGTAGTGAGGAGTGCATTGACGGCATATCTTCGAACGGGATTGATTTAAGCGATGGCAAGGTCAAGATACTCCTATCAGATGTGAAAATATTTAATCAATGGCGAAAATGGAGCGCGTTTCTTAAGTAAATAAATACCCAGCAGCTGTCCAAGTAATTAAACATGACGTTTATAGCTTAGTACTAGACGTAGAGAATATTCCCCTTTGGTGTAAAAAAGCTCTCTAAATTCGTTCTCTCCCTCACTTATCAACAAAAACAATTTCGTTTTTTGATAAGAGACCACAAATCGACACCGCAACAACGCTGGTAAAAAGGCTGTCTCAGCGTAAAGTTTTGCGACCTTCCCTTTAGAATTGTAATTTGTTTTTATACCTTAAATAATTGCACTATTTGCTGGCAATTTAAAGGCAAATATTTGCAGAAAAGACTTTAGCAACTCAGGCAGAACACAACACAACACACGGCGACGTAAAAAATATTAAAAATATATTATTGAACAACAAATTGTGAGGTGCGCGTGCCATAGGCGAACGACAAAATGCAACTGAAGCTGAAAAGCCGAGCGGCGAATGGAAAACACTGCTGGCAGATGGAAAAACTATTGTTCAATTACCAAAGCGAGACGGAAAATGGAGTATATAGTGTGTTGCAATCAAAAGCGTCTGCTCTCCTCCAGCTAAAGCCGGTGTCTTAGGATAGCACACCTTTGACTTTGCCGCCCGCCCGGAGATGGCATTTTAAATGAATTTTCGGGGCGCCTGGGAAGGTTCCACAAGCCTAAACGCCAGGTGAAAGGCAACAGGTCTCAGGCAAAAGGTTTTGTGCAATTAATTGGCACAATAAAAGCGCCGGCCTGGCAATGCATTGTACTTGCCCAAATTGTTTCAGACTTGCTGCCGGCGGTCGACCTCATTTCCCATGGCATTTGATGGGCGGAAAGGTGCATTAATAAGTTTTGCGGTGTTCGGTGTTGCGGAAAGTCTTCTGCGTTAGCCTCCGCAACTCATTCAACTGGCAACGGTTCATAACTTATAGGAATGTAATTTTGACAGCACATATGCATTCTAGTTAATGTCTCAAAAAGAAATGAGTATTGTTAAATTCACATCCTTTTGTAAAAATACAAAAAGATAAAACATAGGAATTTAAAAATTCAACACCTGACTGCCTCATTCAAATACAGCGCGCCTATTATTTAGTGTGACCAATTGATAAGGCCTAAATCGACAGTGTGGCCAGAATATCTTATTCAACCAAAGAGTTAACAGAGATTCAGCGAACTATGAAAATGGAACCAGATGGGAACCAGCAGAGAACCACTCGCTGAACCAGACCATGGAATCATGTTAAGAACAATACAATAAATTAGATAAAAATAGCAAATTGTTGAATAAAACATTAGAAAAAGTGACTGCCCAATAAATGGAAAAACCATTCCAAGCAATTTGGTGGATTTTCATCTAAATCAGCGAAAATTACCTATTTCGTTCTTTTTAGATTATTTTAGTAAATCTCTATTAAATGTAACCCACAGATTTTTAAAAATTAACGTTTTCTTTTTCCGATCTCATTTACAAACACTGACTTCATATCGATAAGGGCACCTCCCACACCCTATCGATGAATAGTCCGCGAGAAAATTTTCCTATTGACCATTTAAGCAATTGTATAAAATATACATGCCCCATGAATGGAATTTACATTCCAAGCATTTTGGTAGATGTTTCATCAAAATCCGTTCAGTCGTTCAAAAGAAATTCCGACTTTTTCATTTATTTCCATTTATGTACCGGCGAAATATAAATATATCCGGCAGCCCTGCCTGCCTTAAAACATGAAAATTTGATTTAAGCTTTATGGTTAAAACTTTGTTAAAGGAAGACTGCCCCATATACGGCATCGCAGTTCTGAACATTTTAATCTATGTTTCATCAAAATCCGTTCAGTTGTTAATGAGAAATCCGACATTTTCAATTATTGCAGTTGGGTACCAGGGGTGCATAGTCATGCCTCCTTGGTATTTAATTAGTAATTAAAATGTTAATTTCTCCAAAACTACTGAACGGATTTCGATGAAACACCAACCAAATTGCTTAGAATAATGATATCATTTATTGAGCAAACTATTAAATGTTATTTCGAAAATTTGCTTCTCAAATCTAGTGCTTCAATGCCCTTGCATTGTAATATGATTTCAAGTCAAAAATTTGCAACGCAGTAAATAAATTATTTCCGACCCTATAAAGTATATATATTCTTGATCAGCATCAAAAGCCGAGTCTATCTGTCCAATTATAAGCAAACTAGACCTTCATATTTAAAGTTATCTAACTAAAACGGCAATGTACGGCAATAAATGAAAAAGGTGGGATTTCTCATTAACGACTAAACGGATTTTGACGAAACATGGATCAAATTGTTAAGAATTGCGATCCTGTTAATGGTACGATCTTCATTTTGCATAAGTTTTTTTAAATAAAGTTTAAATCGAGTTAACTTAATTTTAGGCAGACAGTGCTGCCAGATTATTTACTCTTCGTAGGGACATTTATGGAAATAAATGAAAAGTGATGTTTTCTCATGAACGGCTGAACGGATTTTGATGAAACATCTACCAAAATGCTTGGAATATCAATTCCATTCATGGGGCATGTATATTTTATACAATTGCTTAAATGGTCAATAGGAATATTTTCTGGCGGACTATTCATCGATAGGATGTGGAAGGCGCCCCTATCGATATGAAGCCAGTGTTTGTGAATGAGATAGGAAAAAGAAAACGTTAATTTTTAAAAATCTGGGTTAGATTTAAAAGAGATTTAATTCGAAATTTTAGAATATTTTTCCCTCCCGGTTAGATCACTGTTATGCGACTTTGCTCAAAACCTGACGGTTTGAAGAAATTGAAACTGAGTAGGTTAAAACTATGATAAATGTCCTATATTTTGACGTATCGGGTATTGCTGCACGCGTTTGATTAGCCGAGATATTAAGAAATCCGTGAAAACACGATTTTTCACATTCTTTTTCTTACTATATCCAAATGTCAAATACTTTCAAACATAGTAAAAAACAATAGTAAATATATATTTTAGTATTTTAAAAATATTTTATTGGAATTAGTGTCTTAATTACGAAATAAATTGAAAATTAAAGATCCCCTCCATGTTCCATTTTGAAACCGTTCCACTTCGACGCTAACTCATCGACGCTAATTTGACGGACATCAGAGAATCTCATACTTTAATTTGGCTACTTTCACCAGCCTTTAAACGAATAGAACTAAAAATGTTCATGTTTTTGTACCACACTTGTATTTTAATTATAAATAAATTACATTAAATTAAATTTTTTTTACCATTTCCCACACTAAACGTAGATACGTCCTCTTCCCGAGAGTTGGCAGCACCACAAACAAAATATACTTAGTTTTGGTCTGTTTTTGGTATATTTCCTCAGAATTTTTCGGCATATTTCGTCGGCCCCGCTGCGGTCTCACACTATTACTTGCAATTTATAAAACTGAAATTTGTCTGGCTTTGTGTTTTTTGTTGCTGCCTTCAACGAAACTACGAAAATTACACGTAAAAGTGTTGAAAATAGGCGATATTAATCCCGTACACAGAGTATTTACAAAGTCCAGAGGTGAGGATAGCGTACCATCAGAGATTTTGAGTTTGTTTTCAACTAACGTTGCACCTTTACGTGTGCTTCTTCCTCCGGCAGCCGCATAAAATGGATCGTCTGCTTCGTCTTGGCGGCGCCATGCCTCAGGCCGCTCCACCCACAGACGCCCCAGTCGTGGATACCGCGGAGCAGGTGTATATCTCCTCACTGGCCCTGCTCAAGATGCTGAAGCACGGCCGCGCGGGCGTGCCCATGGAGGTGATGGGTCTGATGCTGGGCGAGTTTGTGGACGACTACACGGTGCAGGTCATCGACGTGTTCGCCATGCCCCAGACGGGCACAGGAGTCTCCGTTGAGGCGGTGGATCCCGTCTTCCAGGCCAAGATGTTGGATATGCTGAAGCAGACGGGTCGGCCTGAGATGGTCGTCGGATGGTATCACTCGCATCCGGGCTTCGGCTGCTGGCTGTCTGGCGTCGACATCAACACTCAGCAATCGTTTGAGGCCCTCTCGGAACGTGCCGTGGCCGTGGTGGTCGATCCCATTCAGTCTGTCAAGGGCAAGGTGGTTATCGATGCATTCCGCCTGATCAATCCTAACATGTTGGTGCTGGGTCAGGAGCCCCGACAGACCACCTCCAATCTGGGTCACCTGCAAAAGCCTTCTGTGCAGGCGCTGATCCACGGGCTCAATCGCCACTACTACTCGATTAGCATTAACTACCGCAAGAACGAACTAGAGCAAAAGATGCTCCTCAATCTGCACAAAAAGTCGTGGAAGGATGGTCTGACGCTGTCCGACTACAACGAGCACTGTTCTATCAACGAGGACACCGTGGCAGAGATGCTTGATCTGGCCAAGAACTACAATAAGGTGAGTCCTGGACTTATTCATTTCAAGCATATTTATTAACTATTATTATTTTACTCTCTTTAGTCTCTAGAGGACGAGGAGAAGATGACGCCGGAGCAGCTGGCAATCAAGAACGTTGGCAAGCAGGACCCCAAGCGGCATTTGGAGGAGAAAGTGGACAAAGTCATGCAAAATAATATTGTGCAGTGCCTGGGTGCCATGCTGGACACTATAGTGTTTAAATAGATTCTTGCATTTGCTGCTCTCCGCCCTAATACCGTGTTCCCCCATCATACCACAAATCGCTAAGCTAATCTTATTAACAAATAATAAAAAACTGCTTTTGTTTAAGGCAAAGTTTTACACAAAGTAAAGATTGTTATTTAAATATAAAGCGAAAAATTGTATAAACAAGGACACACTCTTGAAATCTTAAATCAAACTAAGTTCTTAGATCGACTATCTGGTATCCCCCACTGAAATGAGTGTTTTCTGGAGGCGGTACCGTGCTGGTAGCTATCCAGCTGTTGTCATCGTGTCTATAAGAATCGGGATATACAGTGAACCATTGGTTCATTCCGCCATCCTGACTGGAGCCATGTGGAGCCGAATCTACACTCCACCAATTTACTGTATCTCCACCGGCTCCACCTAGCAGAGCAGCCAGCGCTGAAGTGTATATAGCCAGGAACTAAAAATGAGAGATTGTGAATAAATATATATTTTTGACTTGATCTATGCTCACCAGCAATCCCATTGTGACTGGAGGCTGAAATCTTTGGCTGCGACTTATAGGTATCAATCTTTCAAGTCAGATTGTTGTAGAGTATGTCATATTTTATTCATTAAATATTATATATGTACATATATATATATAGTATATATATTTATACAAATTGTTTCTATATTTGTTAGAAATTTATTGAACTCAAGAATGTTATCACATCTTTTATTCAAAGTCATTATATATAAATGTTTGTGAATAATTCAAATAGCATATAAATAAATATTATTTTAAAATGTACATATGTATATAATTTGGTATATCGAAATCCATTTATAGAGTTAAAAAAAATATGTCTATTAATTTCCGGTTTTATTAATTATTATTCAAATATCTATGATTTTAACGTATTTCTCTTTTTGAAATTTTTAATTTATTTGACTTAATGTAAAAGAATTCCTAACAATGTCAAAAAAATATTTTAATTTTGAATTGAAATATATGTCTTATTTTGTGATAAACTTTAAAATAAATAAAACAAATTTAATAGCATTTAAATAAAAAATTTTTATTTAAATAAAATATAACAAATAGTTCACGGATCGATACTTTTGATAAGATAAATATTAGAGTTGATTTTATTATTTTTAACTATAAGTTAAATTACATATATTTTTTCGATTATATCTATGAAAGCTATAAGATATGGTGTTCCGAATAGGTCTATTACAACATACATACATACCATCCATATACATACATATGCCATCTGCAAACTAGTTTGCGTAGAAACGAAATGGGGTGTCTAGATTACCTCGGCTGTTGTTATTGATCAAAAATATATGTACATACATGCATACATACATATATACATTACGAGATCCGAATTATTGTTTCTAATTTCTCACCCTAAATAATAAAGATTGTTAAGAGCGCACTACTTGACGATGAGTCATCAATATATATGTATGAAAGTTAAATTCTAATATAATTTATGACGTAAATAATTATAAAATCTCCATTTCATCAGAATGGAAAATTTTCTACAACTCCTTGAATCGCCCGTTTTTTTCAAACTGCAATAAATAAAAACAATAATTTCCCATATTAAGAAAAAAACACTTTGATTTTATTGAAGCAAACGAAAGAAGTTTGATCTTTACTTAGGGTTAAGCATACATAGACCTTAGACACACAAACTTAGAACTAAGCGGCGGCCGCTGCTGCTCTTGCTGCTTCTGCTTCCTCTTGCTCCCCTTCTTGCCCGCCAAACGACAGCTGTGGGTTACAGCAACTTCTCTTTCCACCGCCACCGCCGCCGCCGCCGCTACTTTTCCAATCCAAGATGGCGGCCATGGGCATTTAGGCGCGCTCGCCTCGGATGCGTCTGGCCAGCTGGATGTCCTTGGGCATAATGGTGACACGCTTGGCATGGATGGCGCACAGATTGGTGTCCTCAAACAGACCCACCAGATACGCCTCGCTGGCCTCCTGCAAAATTCCAAAGGCAGAGACAATTGATTATTACATGACCACACGAAATCGGGCTGGGGGAGGGGCCAGATGTTCACTCATACCTGCAGGGCTCCGATGGCCGCAGACTGGAAACGCAGATCCGTCTTGAAGTCCTGGGCAATCTCACGCACCAAGCGCTGGAAGGGCAGCTTGCGGATCAGGAGCTCGGTACTTTTCTGGTAGCGACGGATCTCACGGAGGGCCACGGTTCCAGGGCGATAGCGATGTGGCTTCTTTACGCCTCCAGTGGACGGCGCAGATTTGCGGGCCGCCTTGGTGGCCAATTGCTTGCGGGGCGCCTTGCCTCCGGTGGATTTACGAGCGGTCTGCTTGGTACGGGCCATTTCAGCTAAATAATCTCACTGTTTGAACGCTCAAAACAAAATACTTTTACTTTTAACTTTTCGTTAATCACAACCGTACAAACTGTACAAATTTTCACAATCGACTAACTTTGTATTCCAAAGATACAAAAATACCAAAGAGATAAAAGTATCTATCTGGTTCGAAACTAAACTGTAAGCCCTGTAAGTCCTCTCAATCTGTAAAATTCCCGAAATTTTCTGTTAACGCTCTCATTTTCTGTAAATTCAACCACTATTTTCTGTTAACGCTCTCATCTGAGAGCACACGGAGCACTATCGATATCAAAACATCTGTTTTTTGCACTATCGATATTTTGTAAAGTTTGTTTTTTTTTTACACGTGTAGATAACAATTAATAATATCGTTCTGTGTTACCGATATGATTTGACTCTTGGCGCTCATCACTAAACGGAAGTTTTAAAACGTAGCGGGACTTTCTCACGTTTCTCTATAAAAAAAAAGGAAAAACATTGGAAGCTTTTGGCGTGCAAAATGTCTGAAACTGAATTTGGAATTTGCCCGTACAACCCGGATCACAGGATCGCGCTCTTCCGCATGCCGAAGCACATCGTCAAGTGCGAGAGGAACTACCGTGGACCGCCGCTGAAGATCTGCAAGTACAACGCCACACACCGCGTTCTCGATATGGAGGAGCACCTTAAGGAGTGTCTCTACTACCGCCGCTTCATAGACAATCGGTGCTTGGAGATAGCCCTCACCACGCGCATTGCGCCCACCCAGGAGGATGGCCATGTCGTCAGCACTTCATTCTAAGTCTAGATATAAGAACAAAGATACCAACAGTTGTATGTCATCTACATACATACATGCCCAATTCAAAAGCTTCTTGAAGAAGCGCCACCCATTGTAAAGGCTCTAATGGTGTTGATTTCATTCACTTTATGATTAAAGTATATAATTGTTTCGCTGAGAATCTTAACACAAATAGAAAAGCAAAAGTTTTGGTATTTACACGCCTGTCCGTCCCCCTCACATTGCACAAAGCCTAGAGTCAAGTCGTCTTGCGTACAGTTCAAAACATTTGCAGGCACTTTTCCACAACTATTTACAGCTCTAAGTATACGTCTAAGACTAACTATCTACACAATGTCCATGTCTAGGTCCGAGTCGGCCCCTTCGCTGTCAAGCAGCTTCCGCTTATCCGTGGACTTGGCGGTGGCCTCACTCAAATTGGCCAGCGGACGCACCTTGCCCAGATTGACGACCGGACTCTGGGTGTAAAGGTAGATAGCGTAGGAGACGACCGCTATTGCCAGCGCGGTGTTCATGTAGATGGGTATGGAGAACAGGAAGTAGCACAAGACCGCCGTAAAGAGCAGCTCCAAGGCGCTAGCGAAGGTCTTCAGGATGGAGTTCATGTATTTGAGGAAGAAGCTGGTCACGATGCCAATGGCCGCGTTGTTTACAATGATGATCAGCACACTAAATCGCATGATGCTGCTTAGATTGTGGGGACTGAACGCATCAAAGAGCTCGCCACGGAACAGGAGGATCGCGGCATTGCAGATAATAGAGTCCAGGTACATGAAGACATTCTGTACAAAGATATTAACATCCGCACCTTTGTCTTTCAGCAGATACTCGTTGTAAACGCCTGCCAGACATGAGCAAATGGTCTGGGCCAGAATGAAGACAGCGCTCAGGCTGAAGTCAAAGCCGGACATGTTCTTTCCGTGTACCTGCTGTTGCTGATAACCGTCGATAACAGTTTGATTTGACGATTGCTTCTGTTGCTGGATGGCCGCAGACTCGCTGTCGTCGTTGGCGTCGCTGTAGAAGCTCCCAAAATCAATCTGCTTCATCATGCAGCCGAGGGTGAGGAGAATAAGGGAGATCCACTGTCGCTGTGACAGGTACTTCTTGAAGATAATTTGGAACAGAATGCCCGTGACGACGACGCGCAGCTGCAGCAGCAGATAGTAGGTGGTTGGGTCGAACGTGGCCAGATTAACGAAGGCCAGATTGTTGTACAGACAGTACAGGAATGCCGGCACCATGTACAGGGCCAACACGTTCCTATCCTTGTGGACATCCCGCACCAGCGAGCGCAGATTATTGCTGCAAAGGGAACAGTAACATGTGGATTAGTTGAAACCGCGAAGGCGTATCTGCGTTTCCCACTCACTCTCTGCAATAGAGGCAGGTGGAGACAATCAGCTTAAAGATCTCGGTGAGAAGCACCACCGTGACGGTGTTGTAGCCATAGGAGTTGTTCGATTCCTGGGATGCTGTGACAAAGATTCCTGCAAGAGAGAGAGTGGCAATTAGGGCGTTGGTCCAAAGCTCGATGGTGGGAATCATTTAAATACCCTGGCCTATGAAGAGGGACATGTACAGCAGGAATATCACAAAGGTGAGCTTGGTGGGGAAAAGTTCACGCCAATTAGTCGACATCTTTGGGCTCGTTGACTGGCCACTGCCAGCGTAGCGTTGCTAACGACAAATCAAAGTATGCAAAACTGAAAGGGCCCCAAAGACGCGCCTCCCCTAGCAGCTCCGCTCTACTCTGGCAACTGAGGGCGCGCTGCTGCTATCACTTCCGCTTGTTCGTGTCGATTCGTGACAAGAGGGCTACTTTTCGTTATTCTAGGAAATGAAATCGTTCTTTTCAACGTCTGATAAACAATATTTAGGCTTTTTTTTATCGCTTTGGCGACAGCTGATTGGACCAGCAGTGTTGACAATTTAGCTAATCTCTAACTAGTTTCAGCTTTTTTCAGGGTAAATTTGAAACAGTGGCTTACTTAAATTAAAGCCATTTTAAAGCGAAATGGTTGTTTCTTAAGTTGTCTTTTTCTATTTGTAAACAATTAAATTACAAGTTGAGAGAATTAAAAACAAATATAACATTTTCAATAAACATCGATAGTGTCATCGAAAACCTCCCTATCGATAGTACCGATAGTGTCATCTCTTTTCTGATAGATTTCGGCACGCCAAACAGGAAATATTTTCATCCGCAAAAATGGCAAACCGCGCTGGCCGTCACGCTCGCACTGAGGATTCAGACAACACCATCAACTACGTCCAATGCGATGGCCTGGTGAGTAATCAAAGGAGCTATCAGATCTGGCCGGGAACGGCGGGCAAAGCCGGCCAGAAAGTTTGTGCCACGCGCTGTCTCGCAATTTGCCTGCTTCGTGACTGTGTGTGTGAGGTGCACGGGCGTGTGAATAAATTCCCCGCTAAATAATATTGCCTACCCAGATGCACGGTATGACAAATGTAAATATAATTAAATGAAAATTCCCTTTTTGCAGGCCGTGATGAAAATGGTGAAACACTGCCATGAGGAGTCCAGCAACATGGACCTCGCCCAGGGCGCCCTTCTCGGCCTGGTGGTAGACAAGTGCCTGGAAATCACCAACTGCTTCCCGTTCCCCAAGACCGGCGATGAGAGCATGGACGAGGAAATGTACCAGCTGACGGTGATGCGTCGCCTTCGTCGCGTCAACGTTGATCACCTGCATGTGGGCTGGTACCAGAGCTCCGATGTGGGCAACAGCCTGTCGCTAGCCCTTTTGGAATCCCAATACCACTACCAGACCAGCATTGAGGAGTCCGTTGTGGTGGTCTACGACACGCAGAAGTCGTCGCGCGGCTTCCTCTGCCTGAAGGCCTACCGTCTCACGCCGCAGGCCATCCAGATGTACAAGGACGGTGATTTCTCGCCCGAGGCATTCCGCACCTTGAAGGTGGGCTACGAGAGCCTGTTCGCTGAGATTCCCATTGTGATCAAGAACTCGCCGCTGACCAACATCATGATGAGCGAGCTGAATGAGTTGCTGCCTGAGGATAAGGGCCACAATTTCCTGGATCTGGGCACGGCCTCGGTGCTGGAGAACCAAATGCGCAGCCTGATTGAGCGCGTGGATGAGCTGTACCAGGAGGCGGTGCGCTACAACAAGTACCAGCAGGTGGTCTTCAAGCAGGACACGGTAGGAAATATGATTTTGTTTAATTTTATTCGACTTTTAATGGGTTTGTTAAATTTTTCAGGAGAAACACCGTGCCTTGGCTAAGCTCGCCGCCGAGAATGCCGTGCGGACATCGAAGGGCGAGCCAACAGTGCCCGAAGAGGAGGTCATTAAGCAGTTCCGTCCCATGCCCGTGCCCATCCGACTGGCGGCCGCGATTACCTCTGGCCAGATCAACACCCACGCTCAGCACATTGCCCAGTTCTGCTCTCAGTCGCTGGCCAAACTCTTCATCACCGAATCGCTGCAAAACGCCAAGGAAGCCAAGGAAATCAAGTAGATCAACTTATACGTTATACGTTTTTTTTAAATTGAGGCCACATCCGTAATCGAGAAAACAAAAATCGCGATTTACCGCGCATACTGATGACGAAAATAAACCTGTACAACATTGTGTGTGTGCCTGGAGGCGAACTACAAACTAAGTGTTGTGTGTGGTTATGGGAGATTATATCCTTAGCAAAGGATCACAGTTATCACAATATTCCAGAGGTATTTGCCAGTGATTTCATAAGTTAACTATGCCACCTTTACAGTGTTTGTTTGCAGTCTTCGAAAATGTAGTATTGAACAATTTCGAAACCGGCTAAAAGGGATGATAATACCTTTTTTTGATTTAATGATCTAAATACCTTAAATGCAATTCTCCCCCTAAATAATTTTCCCTCCCTCGCCTGTGGCTATGGGGGTGGTTTTTCCGCCCTTAGAATCAAATCACCGGTCTTGCTCGTGCGCAGACCCATTGTTTGGTTTCAGTTTTTCGTTCGCTCTCCTGCTGACGACATCACCATCGCAGTTTTCCTACACGACAGAGGCAGCTGCTTATATTATTTGGTTTGTTGTTTTTCGCTTCGCGTTTTAAATTAGTTAATAAACAAAGTACAAACTGCAAATGGCAAAATGCTGTCCTACGACCTCAACGAACGCCTGCTGACTGCGGTGCAAGGTGGCGACTTCGAGCAGGCCCTTGGCTGCATCATGCAAGGTGCTCAGGCCTCGTATGTATCGCCCAGTTGCGGGCGGACAGCTGTGGGCACAGCCGCTATACTGGGGGATGCGGAGTTGCTGGAGCTTCTGGTTCAGTCGTGCGAGGAACCAGAACTAGATGTCTTCCATCAATGTGAGTCTACCCAGCAGACAAACCAATTAACACCATTCCATTTATTCAAGTTAAAAAAATTTCATTTTAGTTAACCATTTCCGGTTAAGTAGATTAAGAATAAAATTCTTTGACACATAGAAACTTATTTGAATCCAATAGTATTTTTAAAAAAATTATTTTATTATTTATATTCCAATTTTTTTTTTTTAATTTTTAAAAGGTTGTTAAGTTACAAAAAATTTCCAAATTTGTAAAATTTTTACCATTTTAAATTGAGTATGCAGTTCTATTGCCCTTTTAAAAACTAGCATAGGAAAGGTTTCCAAATTGAAATTAATGCATTTTTGCCTTTGTTATTAGTTTTTAAAACTTTGATTTATTTATAAAATTATCATATAGTCTCGACAAATATTGATTCAAGTTTATTTACGATCGATTTCCGATTTGATCCTATAATTGAATGGCAAACTGAATGGTATATACACTTGGGTTTACCAAAGTTAGTTTCCTTTCTTGTTTATGTTGAAATTTCCCTTCCGAAAAGTTCCCTTTCGTTAATATTTTCTCCATGTGTAGCCATTGGCCCACATCTGAGTCCGAACCCGAACACACCCATGAATTTTCGGTTGCCCAACGAAATGCAAGCAAAGCATGCAGAGAGCGAGAGACCAATGGAGAAGAGTGAGTGACCGAGACCTGAAAACCGGTTATCCGGTGCTGGTTCGCCACTGATAACAGTGGGAGAAAGATTGAGTCGGTTTCCCAGAGCAATATCAGTATGTTGTTAGGGCTATGTGTGGCAAGAATGCGGATCTAGTTCTCCTGGTCAAAGTACTTTACTAGAACCAAGACGTCTTTATGACAAATGTCATTTGATTCATTCTATTGATTCCTGTTTCCTCAGCTCACACGGATAGTCTGGATATCGAGCGAACGCCCGAAGGTATGGAGAAACTAGAATGGGTGGATGAGTTCGAGAACTGCTCCGAGAATGTGGGCAGCGGTGGATCAGAGGATAGCCAGCTATATCAGTATTATGCCAAGACCTTTGAGAGCACAGGAGAATTTCTATCTCAATGCTGCCCCTCCTGCCGGGAGCAGGATCCGCACCTCTACGATGCTGACTTGGCTACCCCCTTACACTATGCCGCCTGCTGGGGCCATGAGGAGTGTGTCCGCATCCTCCTGGAACACAATGCCCCCATTAATGTGGTCAACAGCGAGGGCTATACCCCGCTTCACACTGGTGCTGGCTTTGCCGGGGTCACCAAGCTGCTGATCCAACACGGAGCCCTGGTCAATGCCAAAACGTTGAGTGATGGCAAGACCGCTCTCCATTTGGCCATCGAGAACAAGTCCAGGGAATCCGCCCGTTTGCTACTCCAGACTAATATCAATATCAATGAAACGGACGACGAGGGCGAGACCCCCCTGATGACGGCCATTGCCTGCAGTCTGGTGGATCTGGCTGAGGAATTAATGGAGAGGGGAGCCCGCATCAATCTCCAGGATAAGCAGAATCACACCGCTCTGCTGTACGCGGTCAGAGGTCGCCATAGCCAATTGGCCAAGTTGCTGCTCGAGCGTGGAGCCCGTCGGCTGGCATCGCAGCATCTCTTGCATCTCGCTGTCGAGTTCAATAATCGGATGTTGGTGGAGCTCCTCCTGCAATATGGGGAGAGTTTGTCGGTGCGTAACGAAGACAACCACACTCCCATTATGGTGGCAATCCATCTCCAGTGCCCCGATATGTTGGAGTATCTACTAAACGCAGCTGAGGAACATCGTCGATTGGGCCTCTACACAGATGCCCAGGACCAGGGACTGGTTCTGTTCGCTGTGCAGCAAATTGTTATTGTTGAGAAGTTCATTGGCATATTGCGAGTCTTGCTGGCCAAGCTGCCGAGTGCTCGCGAGGACCTATATGGCACCTGTGCCCCCACCATTGTTTGTGGGCTGATCTACTGCCAAACTCCGTTGTCCAGGGCCATTAACTTGTATCATCTGGAACTGGCCGAGTTTCTCATCCATGAGGGCTGCAATCTGGCGCAGATTTGCCGTGAACATGTCGTCAACGAGCTGCGATCGAACTGTTCGGCCAGGACTTTAGCCTTTGCACGCTTGCTGTGTAAGTTGATCATTATGGGAAAGGTTAAATCCTCCTGCTAATTATTATTATTATTCCTTAGGCAACGCTGGCTTCCAGTTTCCGCACAAGAAGCGAGATTTGCCCAAGGATTGGCCACCAGCTCGCGTGGAGTTTGAGCGTGAGATGTCACTTTTTGGCACACAGCCGCGCAGCCTGCAATCTATTACCCGTGTGGTGATTCGAAAGCATCTCCTGAAATCCCTCCGAACACGGCTGGACGTGCAACAGAAGTATCTGGCAACTCAAAAGCGTTCCGCTCTGGGCCGCATTATAGATGAGTTCGACATACCAGCCGCATTGAAGCTCTACCTCAGCGATTTTGCCGACTTGGCAAAGGTGAGGACCATTGAACCGATACCGATACCCGGTTTCAGGACCATTGAATCATGGGATTGATTGCGTTTTTCAGGAATTTATTCAGATTATATAGGTATTATGTATGTAGCATATAGTTTTGTATCTTGGCGATGAGTGTGTTGTGTAGGAATAGGGGGAGGCTGCTTTGGGTGAAATATTAATTTTCCTTAATTCTGCAACATTCCAACACGACTCTCTGATGTGATATTAACTTATTTAAATATGTATTACGACTTTAAGAACAGGGATTTCTGCACAGCTCTCCTTCGAAAGCGTCTTTTTAACCTTCTTTTTCCTTTAGTCTAAATTACTTGCACATGTTTCATGTTTATTAGGCATGTATATATGGTCTATATAGGTTATATTCATACTAGGTTATTCTTGACTATGCCAATATTAAGATTACTTTCCATATACAATCGATCTCTCATACACACAACTGGAAAAGTATGCAATTTGAAAACTACAATTTTACAACGATATATCGAGTGCAATTTTATAAAAGCAAATAAAAAATATATAGAGAAGGTTTTAAAAAGAAAATGTAACTTTTAGTGCTTAAACTACAGAAAATACATGTACGTTACTGATGCTGCTGCTGCTTCTCCTCCTAGGACTTCAGCAGTAGCTTGAAGTCATCATTGGCGTTCTCCATGATGTATTCAAATGCAATTTTATCCTTCTTGTCCTTGACCAGCTTCAGGGATGGCTCCTTCTGCAGCAAGTATCGGCACACCTCCAGCTGGCCACGCGACGCAGCCCGATGCAGGGCCGTCTGTCCGCACTCATCCTGAAGCAAAAGATTTGCCTTGTGTTCCGCCAGTAGCTTGACGATCTCCAAGTGGCCTGCAACAGGTGAATTAGTTAGTATTTACTAACATTTATGTAAATTCATGAACCTACCCATCATGGCTGCTCTATGCAGAGAGGTGGCTCCTGCCTTGGTCACTGCATTAACGTCCACCTTGCCCTCGTCGAGCAAGAGTTTGCAGATTTGCTCATTGCCGTTGCGGGAGGCATAATGCAATGCCGTATAGTCGCACTCATCGCGGGCCATGGACTGGCCTTTCTTGATGAAATCCTTAACACGATCCACTTCGTTATAGATGGCTAAAATGGTAGTAAGATAGTTTAAGTATTATTTATTAAATTAATTACAGTGCTCTATTTGTAATTAACAAATCGTGAAGGGGCTCGCTCAATTATAATGCCAGATTACTAGTTAGAAATAGTCTTGCTCACCCGCATTCCAGATGCCGCGATCAAAGTCCATATCGCTGAGCGTCTGCTGTGCCGGCTGCGTCTGCTTGTGACACTTGCAGTTGTCCGCGCTGTGCTGGTCCATTTTGACTGCTGATAATTTCTAGTTTTTGTTTGGTATTGCCGAATTCCTAGCCTTGCCTTGCCTTATTGTTCGTTCGTTTTTCAGATATCAAATGACAGTGTGATCGCAGCAAACACGATTTACACCTCACGTTGCATAGTCCAACAGATCTCGGCCTCGCCACAACTGCAGACGACCTTATAGCTCAACTGTGCCAAAGTGTTTAGCATAACCATCGGCGACACTGCCACCATAATACCATTCACGCAAGCCTTGACGCCGCTCTCGAAGCGCTTGGACAGAGCCTGAACTTCGGCCTGGTTGAGTCCAAAAACGGTGCAGGTGTAATCGTGCAGGGATCCCTTGACGGTGATGTAGGCAAAGTTACCCTCCGACTGCAGTATGGGCACTGGTATGGTCACCACATTGGCCTGACAAGTGGCAGCGGCGGCAGAGGCAGCAGCAGCAGCAGCAGCGGTGGCAGCGTTCAGGGAACTTGTCGATGACGCGGACACGGCCGGTTGTAGATCGCTGTTGAGATTCAGAGACTCCTTCAGCCCGGTCACGCCCTCACTCATAGTTTGTTTGTCTTCTGGGACTCACTTGGTCGCCCCTCCTACGTTTAGAGTATGTATGTTTTGGAACAGTATTCCCTAGGTTGCTATAGTTTTTCATACACGCACACACAATCACTAACACACAAAATTATACAATTAGAGTTCGTTGGTTTTTTTTGTTGCTTGTTTTTCTGGCTTTTGGCGTTGGCTCTTATTCCGGCAAATCCACCTTGTGATAGTTGCCTAAACTGGCTGCCTCGCGGCCAATATTGGACAGATTCTCGCGTACCACGGACTCGGTCTCCAAGGGTTCTGGCTCGTCGAACTCCTTGCGCATCGTCCACATATACTCGTTGTAGTCCTGCTTTACGGCCGTCGATGAGCTGGCCACCACGCGAAAACCCAAAATCTGCAAAGAGAAAGAAAAGGGAGAAATTCATGAGTCATTTTCAGGGTAAATGCCAGCAATTGTTGGTAAAGTTAGGTCATTAGTTGATTATCTTTGGGCGGGGTTTTAAATAAAGAACAAGGACCTTTAATCGTAATAGATGGGCATTTAGCTCATTTTCTTGGTATCCTAATTTAGAGACAAGTACAAATTTTAACTATCTAATTTCTCAAAGATAAGGCTTACCAATCTAAAAGTGTCATTACCGAGTATTTGAACAGTCTAACAAAAGATTAAATGTCCCAAAAAAAAAAATACCCAATCGATCATAAATAAAGATTTTCTATCCAACAAAAGATAAGACAAAGTAAAAGCTACTGAATATACCTCCCCAGGAATGTGAAGCCTGATAAGATAACATATAATTCTTTCTTATAACATAAAAGTTACTCACTTCCAGCGCCGATAGAATGCGACAGGGATGCACTAGGTAGACGATGGTGGACTCGTCACTGTATCCGCCGCAAGAGAACTTGTTCAACTGCTCGATGTCGTCAGCTGAAAGTACATTTACGGGGTGGAGACAGGCATTGGTTATCACGGTTGTCTATTTCTTTTCTTTCTGGGAAATTGCTTTCCTTTTCGTTTATGGTGTTGGTCAATAAATGTTTAAACTGGGAGAAAACAAAAGATAACATGGCTTGGATGACGTCAGTGCAGTCAGCCCGATTGCCATTGTCTTGTCGATGTCAGTGTGCTAATTAAGCAAAAAGCCAAAAAAACATATTGACTGCTTGCTGTGTTTCATAATAAAAACCAAACAAAATAATGGGAGTTTCTCCCTCTGTGGCAAAGCGCAATGACTTCTCTGTGCCCAGAACATGTTTAAAATGTACCATAAATAGTATATGCAGCCGAATCGAGTAAAGATATATAGTATAGTAAGAGTATGTGCGGTGTACGTACTTCAGACCCGGTCTGTGCTGTGAACTGAACTGCACGCAGCGAAAAGCAAAACGAAACTGACGACGACGGCCTGGTCTGTGGGAGTAGAGCTTCGCCACAGTGGCGGTCGGAAAAAGTGAGGGGCTAATGGCATGCAATTAAGGTGCAGTTGTTGATTTGATGGAGAAAATAAACTCGAATAAAGTGCTAAAAATATTGAGAGGTGGAAGCATTTAATGTGAAATTAAGCCACTGCTCTAAGGGTTATTATTAGGTAAGCTATTGATTTATGTAACTATTTCTAGAGAATCAGGAAAAGGCATATTTATACATTTATTTTTCTAGGATTAAATTAAAACAGCATTTTTCGAATTACTTGTATAATCATATAATCGTATTTTTGAGGTCTTATTATTTGCAATTTTCGAGGGACTTTATGTTTATTTCTTTTCATCAAATTGGGTTTAAATTTGCTATACTAAAACATGCAAGCTATGCTCATTGTGCTTCACCTCTACTGTTTTGTCATTCAAAAAATGTTTTACAGTGTTAAATTGATGAGTAGAAGAAGCTTAAGCTTCATACAGTGGGGCCCTTAAAAGAGTACGCCCAAGTTTCAGCAAAAACAACATGCAATGAAAACTGAGCTCAAATAAATAGTAAATAAAGACTTCTCCCATATCTTAAAATCCCAGAAAATTTTAAGAAAACTTAAAAGAAACGTCTCCTCGCAAGTGTGTTCCTCTTCGCCACTGTCTAACCCATTCAGCAAGTGTTTATTTGTAGTGCAAAGTGGAAACGACCGAAAACTAACGCTTGAAAAAAAGCTAGCGTGCTGTGGATATGTATCTGTGTGTGTGCTTTGTATCTGAGCGCTCTCCAAATTAATTGTGTCGCAATAGTAAAGATACGACTAAACAAAAAAAAAAAAAAAATAAAGGCGGAACGAAAACAAAACGGCAAATCTACGAGGGCCAAGATAACCCTGGGACAGATGGATGGTTGTGGTTGGCATTTACCTTTCAATCCCGAGACGAGCACTCGCCATGGATACTTGTGGCTGTAGGAGGCTAAGTTCCCCCGTATGATAATGTACGGCATTTGGCCTGATTTCTGCTGCTGATCTGACGATTAATTAGCGCGGGCGTGCCAACGAAAACCGTAAGTAATAGATAAGTAAGTGAAAAACAAAAGATATATACGCGCAAAACGAAACTGGAAAAAGCCCGCTCTCGAGCTGGCTGAGCTGCTGGTTGGCAGGTTGGCTCACGACTGAAAACGAAACCGAAACCGAATTTGGTTTCGAGGTTTTCCCAGCTGGCGATGGCTTTTGGCTTTGGCTTTGGCTTTGACTGTAGCTCTTGCTCTTGCTGTTGCTTTGGGTTTTGCTGTTGTGCTTATTATTTATAGGCGTCGCGCAGCGTAGTTAGCTCTCTGAAATGGTTAGCAGCTTTTTATTGGATTAGCCTACTACAGTATAAGGTGGCAGATACCCAAATGACAAAGTGACGCATTCGGTCAGGATAATCATCAATGCGATATATGAAAAACAGGGACGTGGGCAAGAAGAAACTTTAAATGGGGAGTTATGATGGTGACATTTGTAGGATCAGATGTAATTGTTAATTTAAAACAAATAAATTTTGAACTGAGTTTCTTTGACGGTGAAGTTCGCTTGAAAAAAAAAATAAACAAAAAAGGCTAGTAAAATGTCCCGACCATAGAAATATTGGTTCTAAAGTCGCCGACTGTTTTCAAAATAAAATATAGGAAATTAATAAGAAACAAGAAAGAAATCTAACTGATATTTCTATACCTTTACAGTATACAATTGGAACAGGGGACCCAATTTAAATTAATCATAACTAAGACAAAAATTAACTCATTTCATTTCATTTCATTTCGGAAAGCTTTCCTATATTAGTTTTTATCAGGTTAATAAACCTGCTTACTAAATTTAAAATTAAAAATAAGTAAAATTTGTATAGATTTTTGCAAATTTTAACGATGTAACCCCTTAAAAAATGTTCTAAATTTTGAAAAAAATTAAATTTTAACCGGACATAGCTAAATCGACTCGGCTTTTAGTGCTGATCAAGAATATATGTATATGATTAATAGGGTCGGAAATTACTCCTTCAGTGCCTAGCGAGCTGTTCACTGGATATATTCATATATTTATATATAAATTTATATATAGGAAGGAATCTGCTGTGTTAATTTCGAAAATATTAACCCCCCAGAATTCCCTGAGCTTCCATTGATGACACCCAGAGCCCCAGCGCCTCTGCAGTGCTCTTTCTCGCTCTCCCTTACGGCTGGTCGCAACCCCCGCGACCAGTTGCATGCCAAGCTTTAGTCAGGGGCTATAATTACTGGCCGGTCGACTAATGAGCAAGTATTTTTGTGGCTCGGCGCCCAGCGAAATCATAATAAAACCCAACCGAGCCGGTCAACAACTCCTACACACACATACACGCGCGAAATGAGGGAAACCTGGAAACACACACACTGGCGCACATCGCACACCCAAAATACACACAGAGCCATTTGAAGTGTCCTTTGCGTGTTTGGGGCACACAAAATGAACGCTGAATTATGATCAAATTTCTAAATAAATAAACGCGCGGGCTCAAACGAGGTTTATGCCACACAGCTGTCGCAAAATGATGTCATTTGAATTTAATCATCTTTTTCTGTTTTTCTTTTTCTAGATGTTTTCGTTGTTCCGTTCCCACTACTTTTCGGTGCACCTGCCAGGTTGGCAGTGATAACTCACCTGAACGGCTGGTTATGATATATCCTTTTGCTGCCGATAGATCTTAGTATGCCTGGAGCGATTTTACCAGTAATAGGTTTATTAATTGTTAATTTTCATTTGTTAAAACCAATTCTGCAAGCTGTGCGCGACCGTGTTGGTAAATTTTACAATACCCGTTTTCAGTGTTGGCAATGCTCGATTGTGGTATATCTTTGTAGTATAATTTCAGTATATTTCTAAGGGCAAATATGGCATTTTTTAGAGACTGGCCGGGCGGTCATACAGAACGCGTAAATAAAATTAAACATAGTGTAAAATTAAATAATATTGAAGAGTCTTCTGAATTAAATCAACTAAATACAAAACAAACCTAACACTCAGAGAAAGCTCAATTGGAATAATTGGTGAAGTGATAGAATCAAAGGAGTAGTCAGCGGAGCCAACAGCTGTCGGAGTCTGCTGCGGTGAGTATTCAAATTTCGAAAGAGTCTTTCGAATGACATTTGCATATTTCAGCCGCCGCCTGGCTAAAGGTGAACCGAGTTCATTGGGTTTTTCGGCTATTACGTGTGCGACCCCACAGCCCGCTCCCTGCCAGCGTTTCCTTCGCCACTCGAGAGTGCTTGTGTGTGTGTATGTGAGATCTTGAGAAGAGGCTGCGCCTCTGCCAACAAAATAAAAACGAGAAAACAGAAAGAAACCGGAGGGAACGGAACACGCACGCCGCTCGGCATAATTAATAAAAAAAAGAATGACCAGAAATCTGCCGCTCATCCCACTGGCGCTGTGCGCCATCGCCTTCCTGGCCGCCGTGGGACCCATGCCCGCCTTCGGAGCAGTAGCCACGCACAAGCACGAGAAGCATCTGAGCAAGGAGCGGGTAAAGGACGGCATCTATGCCCCCCGGGATGCTCATCATCACGGCGAGGATGGCGAGCACAATGTAGAGTTTGACCACGAGGCCATTATTGGTGAGTCAGAGAGCAACAAGAAAAACAAAGCAAGATAAAATTGAAGATAGATAAAAATTCTACATAAAATATTAATTTAATATACATATGTACATACACTGAAAGGAAATCTTTATATCGCTGGATGATTTTGTTTTTATAATTTTTTATATCTAGGAATACTGAGTAAATTGATACTTATAAAAACATTTTTGTAATATTGACAAATTGATTCAAATTCTTTATTAATACTTAAACTTGACCTTCTAAAAATAACAACAAAGATAAAACGGAACTCTAGCATAAATAATATATTATTTTTATCGATTTTTGTCAGTGTATGCTTAGGCGATCTATTTGTTTACCTTTCTGCGGTTTATTTTTTGTAGGTCTGCACACGGAAAAAGCATTAAAACATTACAAATAAACATTAAAGAATTCAAAATATTCCACAAAAAAAAATGTGTGCTAGGTTTTCAAAAATGTCCATGTATTAATGATGATTAATAATTTAGTTTCATGTTTTATTAAAAATAAAATCAATATCAGATCTAAATTCAAGTGATTTTAGACTTATTGTTTCTATTAAAAAATATATAAAAGTGTGAGGGAACCAGTTATTTCCAGAAAGTTATTTATGAAAAGATATATTTTTCAAATATATTAAGTCCAAATTTCTTTATTTTGTTCTCTATAATATATCGTATACCAATTATTCGTTCAGTGATCCCAGCAAAAACAATAAAATTCGCATTTTGAAAGCAACACGTCAGTGTGTGGCACTGCTTCTGCTTTGTGTTCCATATTCATTTTCACGCTTATGTTCAAGTATTTCTATATATCTATGACCACCAGGCAATACCAAGGAGGCCCAGGAATTCGACACACTTTCACCCGAGGAATCGAAGAGGCGTCTGCTGATATTGGTCAAGATGATGGATCTGAATAAGGACGAATTTATTGACCGGCACGAGCTGAAAGCCTGGATATTAAGGTCTTTTAAGTGAGTGTTGTTTGTTGATTAATATCGATGTTGGCCGAGCTATATAACCCAAGCTATTTGGCAAGTTAATGCTTTTGCTGCCTACCCTTACAAAAAAAACAACAAGTTATCCAAACTTCGGCACGAATTTTACACAATATTCTAGGTTAACATATTATGGCTATGTTACAAATTTGTTGAAAATCAGTTGAAAATTGGTAAAGTTATAAAATATTTTTTTCTTAAAATTTTCCGATCGTTCCTATGGCAGATATATATTTGTATATATAGACCACCGATTCGCCACGCACCGACTTATATACTAGTAAAATTATATAGAAGAATAACTCCGTAGTTTCATTAAAATAGCTTGCTCTTAAATTAGTTGCTAAACAAATCTCGAACATGTGAACATATAATTCCCAACTAGTTCTAACATCCCCGGAACGAAGTGACTTCTGCCGGCCGAGTCTCGGAAAGGTGTTGTGTTACAAAAGTTGCAAGTCATTATTTGTTAGTGTTTAAAGTTAGTAACTGATCATACATATTTACTGGTCATAGGGACTTACTGATCATAGTTACATATTGCTCATAGATAATTAGTGTTGAGAGTTACTCACTGCTCATAGTTAATTACTGGTCATAGATATTTACTGATTATAGTTACTTATTGCTCATAGATACTTACTGTTCAGAGATAATTAGTGGTCATAGATACTTAGTGTTCATAGTTATCATATCATCATATCATATGATTCCCAACTGGTTATAACATCCTCGGAACGAAGTGCCTTCTGCCGGCCAAGTCTCGGAGATGTGTTGTTTTACAAAAGTTGCAAATCATTGTTTATTAGTGTTCAAAGTTTGTAACTGATCATACATACTAACTGGTCATAGATACTTACTGATCATAGTTTATTACTGGACATAGATACTTGCTGTTCAGAGTTACTTACTGTTGAAAGATACTTACTTATCCTCTACATTTAACAACCGTTTCTCTGGCAGTTATATTATATTGTATTCCGAATCCGATTCGCTCCCATGGCAGCTATATGTTATAGTGCAAGGGTATAAAAAGGAAACCTCATGAAACCTATTAAACTTATCCATTACGTTTACAGAAAACTCTCCGAAGAGGAAGCTGCTGATAGGTTTGAGGAGATAGATCAGGACCAAGATGAGAAGATAACGTGGAAGGAGTACCTGCAGGATACCTATGCCATGGAGGATGAAGACTTTAAGAAAGAGACCATTGACTTTGACTCCTACGAGGATGAGCAGAAGATGATCCAGCAGGACAAGGAGATGTTCAATGCTGCCGATGCGAATAAGGATGGCAGTTTGTCGCTCGATGAATATGTTTTCTTTCAAAATCCCGAAGAGCATCCAGTGATGCTCCCCATTCTGCTGGAGCACACAATGCAGGACAAGGATTTGGATCACGATGGCAAGATAAGCTTCCAGGAGTTTGCCGGCGAATCTGCTTCGCAGCACGACAAGGAGTGGCTTATCACGGAGAAGGAGCGATTCGATAAGGATCACGATACCAACGGTGATGGCGTCCTCACTGGCGACGAGGTCCTATCTTGGATTGTGCCCAGCAATACGGCTATTGCCACTGATGAGGTAGACCATCTGTTTATCTCCACCGACGAGGATCACGACGATCGGCTATCCTACCTCGAAATACTCAACAACTATGATACCTTTGTGGGCAGTGAGGCCACCGACTATGGGGACCACTTGCAAAACATTAACCATCTGTCCGATGAGCTGTAAAGCGATTGCCATCCTACTGCTATAGTGAACCTGTGCTTAGTATTTCATTTACAATATTTTACGAATGTAGTTAGTAAATTTATGTTTTATTTATGTTTCATTTAAGTGACAAGTTTGCAAAAATCCATATCGCAATATTGTTTTGAGCGTTACTTGCGCTTTCATCTTCACGTTTTGTTAATTTAATTTATATATAGACACCAAAAATAATCTACAAAATCATAATAATGTAATAAATCATTTTCACTAAAGTGTTTCTTGGATTTAATTATATCATTGCAACATTGTACATGTACATATATGCATTGTGTTTATACAATTTATGACTAGAAACGTTGACGTGTCTTATTAAAATAGATTTAAGCTTAGATTGCCGACTGCTGGGATTATACAAAAAATTAGTTTAGCAGCAGAGTTACCTCTTTGACTAGATTTTCACACTCGTCTATATGGAAAAAATACATTTGCTTAGGCTCTAGACTTATTTGGAGACTATATGCCCCAAGATACGAACTCCCCTGCACATCCCACTTATATCACAAATATTGCACCGAATTGGCCTATTTTTCCCCACATTTTCGCTAGAACTTTTTTAACAAATAAAAAGAAAAAGGCTAGAAACAAAACTGAAAGTTGGATTATAATCGTCTCCTGCTTAACAATATTACCATCTTTATATATATATATTTATATATATATCTTTACAAAGCACATTTTACAATTACTACGAAAAATTTACACTTCCCAGAGGCATTGCATCATCGTCTTTTTGATGGCAGCTCTCCGTTCGATGGCACAAAAACAGATTCACGGGCTGCTTACAAATCATAATTAAGTATGCACATCTCCAGTGGATTTACCTGTTGGAGAGGACACACACTCGTATAGACTAAAGATTTTAACTACGACGAGATGCGGATGCGCCGCGCGAACTTTTACAAATCACACAAAATATCGTAGTTGTCTACCTGGCGCAGCGGCTCCATCTCATCGATCACCTCGCCCAGATAATCGCTGATGGGCGTCGGAAGCTTCAGCTTCTCCAGCTGAGCCGCGTTGCGCACGCGCTTCATGATCACCGCCCGACAGCGATCCTGAAGGTTAACAAACTCCCGCATCGTACACTTTAGGGTCATTTCTGTCTTAGCAGCCGTGGAGCACACAATGGGGTACAGGGGTTCGTCAATCTGGAATAGGGTTAAATGGTATGAGTAATGTAAGTAAATAAATTTTTAAAATAACTACCAAGAAAACCTAAAACATGTGTGTTCTAGGTATAATAAATTGATCTTTTTAATATACTAATTATTTGGGTAAATCGTAGTTTTTAAAATTTCATAACTTAGCCAAAAATTAATCCATTTCAATTCGGAAAGGTTTTCTGAGTTAGTTTTTATTATAAATAAATCTGTATACTCCATTTTAGCTTTTGACTAAAATAATATGTAAATACCTTGCAAGGGTATTAAATTAGGTACGTTTTATGGCAACCCATTAAAAAATGTAGCTTTCAGGTGCCAATCGATTTTAATCAAAAACCTAGAAAACTTGAGGAGTTTTTCAGCTCTATTTCTAATTAATTTAATATCAAGCCAAGTTAAAGATCTAGGATATATAGATTAATTAAATTAATGTTCTTGGATGGTACCCAATCATCTATGACCTATTCTAACCACTTAGTTTTAAGGAAATAGCTTTGTTAAATTAATTTCAATCCAGGGTCTCCTGTGCCAACTCACCTGATCCAATCCTCTGAATGCCACTCCCAGGCACTTGCCATCCTTGTAGTAAGTCAGTGTGCCCTCAATGCCATCGAAGAGTATGCCAATCTGGGTGGGATGGTTCTCGCGGAAGCGCTTCGTGTACAGCAGTGCGACGCCCTTGTGCCAGAGCACTCCCTTGTGGGACAACCCCCAGCCATGCTCGTTCTCGCCCAGCAGATTCCGGAAGGCATTGGCATGGAGGCGGGCGGACTTGGTTCCGATTCCAAACATGATCGACGTTCCAAAGACACGCTGCGAGACATGCAGCTCCCAGTAGTAGCGACCGTTGTTTAGCGATCTCTTACCCTGGACGCCAGCGGTGCCCTTGCTCCAGTTGGGATGAAAGTGCACGGTACGGGCATTGGGTCCACTGAGCACCACCTCCTTGGATCGATGACGCTTGCTCCATGTCCAGTTGTCCTCCACGCCCTCGGATAGCGGACAGAAACGAGGCGCCGGAGTGGCAGCCGAAGGTGCTGATGTGTTTCCTTGCGTAGAGGATTGCTGTGTCTGCAATCCTCCAGCTGCACCTCCTCGTCTCAAGCTGTGGCGCCGTCGCCTCTGACTGAGAGTCACCATCTGATGGACCGCCTGCACCTGCACCTGCGGCTGCTGTTGTGAATCCACTTCCACATCTGACATACTGAGTGTATGAGTTTTGTTGTGTAACTGAGAAATTTTTGCTACTCGAGCCCAAAGAACTTGGAAAAATGAAAAGTGAGCCCTTTAAAATGTTGATAACAAAAGGTCCCCGGCCTACTAGCAAAGGGGGTGGTTATCCTTCTCTGCAGGAAGCTTCTGCTCGGAGGGCTCTCCAGTTGCTTGGAGAGCGAACAGGCAAGGTCCTCCAATATCTAGTGGTGGTTACTTTTTAACGTGCTGCTCCTTTGGCTGCTCTAGTGGTTAAGTTAGCCAGAGAAAACCATGGAAATGAGGTTATCTTTTAACAGCTGAAGGTTTTCCTTTGATAGTTCCTTTTCTGAAGATCCTAATTGGTTTTACTTCTCGTTGTAGTGCCTGTGCTGGACTACATGTCAGTGTTTAGAAGCAGTGAATCATTAGATCCTGCTTCCTGTGGCAGCTCCAGCAGCTCTTCGTCAAGTGGTGCCTCTTCTAAAACCTGCTCCTCCTGGTATTCTGGCAGTTCCTCTTGTTCCTGAGTGCCACAACTGCTTAGCGATGCATAGCCACTGCTCAGGGAACTGCTGCTCCAGCTAGGATCCAATCTCACTGGGCGATAGCACCTCACTGGCTGATGATACTGCTGCTGCTGCCCGATACTCCTCTTTAGCTCTCGCTTAATCCGTCTCAATTGCCGGAAATCCTGCTCTCCGCTAGAGGAGAAGCGCTGCTTGTGCAACTGCAGCTCCTGGAGATGAAAGTGATGGCGACAATAGCCCTGCGGGCTGTGGGCACAGAAGCGACAGGCCTCCGAGTTGAGGCCCCCCACGAGTGGCAGGATGGGTTCAAGGATGCGGCGCTTCTGGCTCCGTTTCTGTTGCTCCAATTGCTGCTCGGCCAGGCGCTGGACGGCCTTACGATCGCCCACCGTTTCGGCCACCTCTTGGAGCAGGCGCACGTTCTTTGGGAAGCATCGGTCGTGGACGTAGAGGACCAGGCGTTGGCAGTAGAGGCACAGCGATTGGAACAGCAGTAGCAGCACGATAATCATGAAATAGGGGTTGTCTTTGGTTATGTGGGACGGGGAACGGATGGGTAGGTTGTGTTTTTTTGGGGGTTGACTGCTGCTCCAGCTGCTGCAAGTGGATCGTCACTTCCGGCCTAGAAGTCTCTCAGGTTTGCGGTTCCCAGATTTTCGTGTGACCTCTGCAAATCCTCCTGCTCGCTCGCTTACATTCTCCACCTTTTCCTCCTTGATGATACTTCTTTGACTTCTTCGGTAAGCAAACACACACAATTTTCACAGTTTCTTTTGGGGTACACACATTTTTTTGTCTTGCTTTTTGCAGCTCCTCCACCTCCTAGTGAGCTCCCAAAAGCTGCTCCGCTCGCTGCTTATGTGCCTGAAGGTACAACTCCCACGACGACTCCGCTTCCGTCCAAGGCTCGCTGGCTTCTGGCTCTTCCAACTCGAAGCCACAAAAGCCTACCCTTATTTTTCTTTTCCCTCTGCGAGCTGCTTCCAACAACCACCAATTGGACTATATGTATGTCCATGTGTGCGTGTGTGTCTCTGCATATCATTATCATATGGTCGTCGCCTCGCCTGCCAACCCCCTTTCACTGTCCACGACCCCAATCGCTATCGCACCACCCCCTCACAACCCAACCCCATTTAGGGTTTCGGAGAGGAAACAACAGGCATGCGCACAAGTGCAAGTCGCGTGGTGAATTGGTTTGGCATTAAGGGCTCTCCATCGGATGATTCCCACCACAATAGACCGGGGTTTACTCGGTTTTTTTGAACCCTTGTTTTTTATTATTTGTTTAAAGAAGATCTTAGTGCTTTGTGCGGGGAGTTTCTATTGTGTCTATCCTTTTTTGCAGCTAATGGAAATTTCATGTATTGAGAACACAAAATATCCCTTTAAAAATAAAAAAATATATATATTTAAAATATATATCTGTATGACAATAAAATTAAAACTTAAATAACTCATAACTAAGCCAAAAAGCATTAATTTCAACTCGGAAAGCTGTCCTATGTTAGTTTTTATTAGATTAATAAATTTGCATACTCAATTTAAAATTTTGAGAAATTCAAATTTTTGTCAATTTTTGAAAATTTTTATCTTTTTTTTTTTTGCAAAAACCGAATAAATGTTTAAAAATTGTATTTAACCCGGCCATAGTTAGATCGATTGAGCTGTAGATGCTGATCAAGAATATATATGATTTATAGGGTCGGAAATGACTCCTTCACCTGTTACAAGCTACGACTAAAATTATAATACCTTTCTTTACGTTGGTTTTTCTATATTTTATGTGACTACTTTGTATATACTATACTATATAATATACTATAAATCAAATTTAAAAAAGTCATAACTAAGCCAAAAATGCATAAATTTTAATTCGGAAAGCTTTCCAATGCTAGCTTTTAGTAGGGCACTCAAACTGCATACTCAATTTAAAATGTTAAAAAATGAATTTTTTGTCGATTTTTGAAAATTTTTACGATGTAACCCCTTTTAAAATTTTTAAAAAAATTTGCTTATCAAGAATATATATGATTTATGGGGTCGGAAATGACTCCTTCACAGTTTTACAAGCTTCTGATTAGACTTAGAATACCATTTTTGGGTCGATATTTATCTATACTTTATGTGACAATTTTGCCCATAAATCAAATTTTAAAAATCTCATAACTAAGCCATAAATGAATTAATTTCAATTCGGAAACCTTCCCTGTGCTAGTTTTTAGTACATCAATAAAACTGCATATTCAGTTTAAAATGTTAAAAAATGAATTTTTTTTGTCGATTTTTGAAAATTTTAACGATGTAGCCCTTTTAAAATTTGGAAAAAATTAAAACAAAAAAATGTTCAACCGAACATGGCCAGATCGATTCAGCTGTTGATGCTTATCAAGTCGGAAATGAATCCTTCACTGCGTTTTAAGCATCTAAGTGAAATTATAATACACCGAAAGGGTATAAAAAAATTATTTAATTTCTTTGTCTCTTTTTTTTTTCGATTAAATAGGTAGAATTTATTTAGAAGAATATAGGTATCTCGATTAAATATTTCGAATGATGTGAGCAAGTATTTAAATACACCTAAAAAGAAAAAACAATATCAAATCCCATTTTTCTTTTCTCAATATTATTGGTATTACCTGCCTTTTGTTTATAAATTTTTCTTTATTTTACCATTTTTTGTTTTTGTTTCATAAACGTTAACAAATAAGCGAAAAAATTGTTGTTTTTTGATTGATGGTGTTGGTGTATAGAATCTCAATGCAGGGTCCTCTCTGGGTTTCGATATTATTAATTATCATAATTCGCATTTAATCGTTTTGATATAAAAATGGAACATGCTGTGGATTTGTATTATTTGTGGACATACGACCGTGGCTAGTTTATTTATTTTTTGTTTGATTTACTTAACTTACGTAACGTAACTTAGAAGCAGTTTACATTGTTTAGAACATTAATTGGCAGATACAAAAATGGCATTGTGGCGCGGCAGCATCCAGGTTCGATTTTTGGTTCTTATTTTGTTAGCACTTTGACCTTGGCGCCCTGTGTTTTCTTTCTTTCTTTCTTAATTTTTGGTTAGTTTAAGGAATTTGTAGCAGTGTTGGTTCGTCTGTGTGTGTGTGTTGTTTGTTGTGTTCGTTGGTAAATTTAAGGCATTACATTTAGATATTAAACTTATGCTGGGCGTCTCTCAGTGGTGTGTCATCCAGGTGGTCCTACGAGGAGTTCTTCATGCACACCTGGCACCTGGAGACGCGGGACAGCAGGTTGCCGGCCTTGATCGTCTGCTGCTCGGGCTTCTGGAAGCTATCGCCGGACTCCAATGTGACCATCCAGAAGCTGGTCATTGTCTCATAGAAGTGGCATGTGCCCTTGGCGCCATTGCACTCGATGAAGGGCGTGGCACGGAAGTCCTCCAGGCAGGAGCCAGGTGATTGCAGCGCCTGTCCACCGCCTCCATTGGCCACAGCCGTGTGCTAAAAGGTAATAAATGAATCACAAATTAATTATAAATTCGTTGATTAAAGGGCATCAAAAGCACATACCATGAGGAAACTGTAGCCGATCCAGAGACCCTCCCATCCATTGGGACAGTTGGGAATTTCCAGCGACTGACTGTGCATGGCAATCACATTGGCTGGCGCCTCGCAAACCACGCACCGTGAGATGTACTTGCTGATCTCGTAGTTCTCCACGGGCATCATCGGAATGGGCGCGGAGGTGGACAGCCAGAAGGTCCTGTCGTTGCGCGACGCATAGTTGCAGATGTTATTCTGGCCGCACGAGAGCACGGGCAGGGTGGAGAAGCGCGGCACACAGGAGCCGGGCGAGCCCAGGTCCTGGTTGTGGGCATAGTCATTGCCATCCACATACAGCAGGGAGTAGCCCGTCCACAGTTGCGTCTGTCCGGGGAAGCATGTGGGCACCACGTCGTTTTGACTGTGACGCGTCACCAGGATGCCGGTGAGGTAGTCAAGGGCCGCGGAGCATGGTGCTCCGGGCTCACCCTTGGCGCCGATGGCACCAACGGCACCCTCGAGACCAATCAGACCCTGCTCTCCGCGATCACCCTTGGGTCCGACACGTCCAACCAGACCGCTCTCGCCAATCAGACCGCGCTCGCCCTTCTCACCTCGATCACCCTGAATGCCGGTCAAACCCCGGGCACCCGGGGGTCCAATTTCGCCCTTCTGTCCATCGCGTCCGGGCTGGCCAGGCTCACCCTTCGGGCCTGGTGGTGGTCGGACTCCTGGCTCACCCTTTTGTCCTGGCAGACCCGGGGTACCATCGCGTCCGTCGCGTCCCTTTGGTCCGGTGAAGCCACGATCACCAGGCGCACCAGCTGGTCCTTCGGTTCCATCCAATCCGGGGTAGCCAGTATCACCCTTGGCTCCTGGCAAACCGGGCACTCCAGCCGGTCCAGGCGCTCCCTGTGCGCCCTTGTCTCCCTTATTGCCTTCAAAGCCGGGCAGACCACGCTCACCCTTGATGCCTTGCAAACCGATGTCTCCCTTTTGTCCTTGGGCGCCGGGGAATCCATCCGCACCCGATTGTCCGGGGCTGCCGCTCAGGCCGCGCTCACCCTTGGCTCCGGCGGGTCCAATTGCTCCAGGCAGACCAACCAGACCAGGTTCTCCGGGCAGGCCGGGCAAACCGCGCTCACCCTTGATGCCAGGAGGTCCAGTAAGACCTAAATCACAAAGTTAAGAGTGTTTTTTTTTTTGAGGATGAAAGGATAAGAAGTCTATTTGAAGCTTACCTTCACGTCCGTGCTTGCCATAGCGACCAGGCAGACCCTTCTCGCCCTTAACTGTGAGTCCCGGGAAGCCGGGTTCGCCCTGTAGTCCGATGTCGCCCTTCTGGCCAGGTGATCCGTTCAAGCCGTCCAGACCGCGAGGTCCCTCCAGACCACGGTCACCCTTGACACCGACGTAGCCGACCAGACCTTGTTCGCCTCGCTCACCCTGTTCTCCCTTCTCACCGGTGAAGCCGCGCTCTCCCTGGGATCCCTTGTCACCGCGGAGGAGTCCAACATCGATTACGGCCGGTAGACCGGGCTGGCCACGTGGTCCGCGGTCACCCTTGATGCCCTGAGCACCGATATAGCCCTGAGGTCCTACGGGTCCAACCTCGCCTTTAAGTCCATTCAGACCCGGAAGTCCAGCGTTGCCCTTGAGTCCTTGAGCGCCGGGGTAGCCAACGGGACCGGGTGCACCTTGAGCGCCGGGCTGACCATCAATGCCGGGAGCACCGGGAATGCCGGGGGGACCAACAGATCCCTTCTCACCGGGCTTGCCCCACATGCCCACAGCACCCTGGTCACCCTTCTCGCCATTGAGTCCATCACGTCCATCGAGGCCACTGCGTCCGGTGTCGCCCTTCTCGCCCTGCGGTCCAGGACGTCCATGGACAGCCAGACCAGGCAGACCCTTTTCGCCAGGCAATCCAGGTTCGCCCGTCATGCCCTGGTCTCCACGAAGTCCCGAGATACCCGGCTCACCCTTTTGTCCCTTCTCAGAGGCATCACCAGGCAGACCCGGGGCACCGTCCAAGCCAGGCAAACCCTGATTACCCTTCTCGCCGTTCAAACCGTCCAAGCCAGGCTCTCCGGGGGCACCAGTCAAACCTTGGTCTCCCTTCACGCCCATCAATCCCGGTGGACCGGGAGCGCCGCGGCCACCAACGGGTCCATCGTTGCCAGTCAAGCCACGAGCTCCCTTGTCGCCCTTGGCACCTATAAAGGGGTAAGAGGATCTATTAAGATCGAAACAAAATTAATGATAGTCCTAAACACTTACCAGAGATTCCATGAACTCCGGCAGGACCACGCTTGCCAGGAGCACCAGCAATGCCGTTGAAGCCCTTGGGTCCATCATTACCGGGAGCACCGCGGTCACCCTTGTTGCCGGGCATACCGACCAGGCCGGGATTGCCGGGCTCACCCTTGGCGCCGTCACGTCCACGCACTCCATCGATACCGGGAATACCAGGGGGTCCGGGAACACCAGCCGGTCCGACCGGGCCCAAGTCTCCCTTCTCACCAACAGCTCCGGGACGTCCGGCCACACCAGGTAAGCCGGCGTCACCCTTGTCTCCGGGATATCCAACGCTGCCATCAACACCGGGCAGACCCTGGGATCCGGGTGGGCCACGGACGCCCTTCTCGCCCTGCAGACCATCGAGACCCTGGGGACCAGGTGGACCAGCCACCGAAATGCCCTGCTCTCCCTTCAGGCCGCGGTCACCATTGCGTCCGGGAACGCCGCGAAGACCATCCCGACCTGGATTGCCGGCGGCGCCAATAGGTCCCTGGTTGCCCTTCTCGCCTCGAATTCCAGTCAGGCCGCGTGGTCCGACGGGACCCACTGGACCACGGGGACCGGGGTTACCCTTTTCACCTGGATATCCTTGTGCTCCCGTCGGGCCCATCTCTCCGTTTTGTCCTTTCATTCCAGTCTCGCCGCGGTCACCTTTGTCGCCCTTGAAGGGTACAGTCAGATTGGATGCGTCGCAGGTTCCGGGCTCTCCCTTGGTGCCTCTTATGCCAAAGGTACCCTTGTCGCCCTTCATTCCGTGCAAGCCAGGAATACCGGGCTCACCCTTGATGCTCAGGCCGGGGGCTCCGTTGTAGCCATCACGTCCAGGAGTTCCGGGATTTCCATCAGTGCCAGGGAAACCGGGCAGACCCTTGTCGCCCTTGAAACCGATCTCGCCCTTGATGCCAGGGAAACCGCCCAAACCGGGCGCTCCGGGGAATCCTTGCACTCCAGGTGCTCCGTTCAGGCCGGGATTACCCTTCTCACCCTTAATGCCCTCCACCTTTGACATATCCGCAATGGCATCTTTACCGGGGGCACCGTCAGCTCCGGGAGCTCCGGGCAGACCGTCAGTGCCTCGATCACCGGGTAGACCAGTTTTGCCGTTGATACCGTCGTGTCCTCGATCACCGGGATAGCCGCGCTCTCCGGGCGGACCGCGGGCACCGGGGTTTCCGGGAATGCCATCCAAGCCGCGGGTACCCTTGTCGCCCTTCTGACCGGACGGGCAGGATGAGCACTTGCCGCCGACGTCACCCTTGATACCCATGTCTCCCTTCTGGCCGGGAGTGCCGGGACGTCCAGCATCACCCTTCTGTCCAGGCGCTCCAGATACACCGGGAGCTCCGGGGCGACCTAATTTCGAGTCACCGGGAACACCGGCATTGCCCTTAAATCCGCGCTCTCCCTTGCCACCCTTCTGTCCAGGGAATCTAAGGGATTACAAAAGCAGAAGGAGGCGTCTTAGGAATATTCGTTGTCAGACTAGGATCGTTGGACACTTACCCAGGTTGGCCGTCATCTCCCTTGGAGCCCTGAGTGCCATAGCCGGGCAGACCGGAGTCACCCTTCTGTCCCTCGGGTCCTGGGGGTCCTTGGTGTCCAATGGGTCCGACTGGTCCCGGAGAGCCATCGCGTCCTGCGATACCCTTGTCACCCTTCTGTCCCGGTGGTCCTTCGCCGCCAGGGCGACCAGGCATTCCAGTGCCGCCCTTTTGTCCAGGATAGCCTTGCAGACCCGGCTGTCCATCAGATCCGCTCAATCCCTGGGGTCCCGGGGGTCCGGTGTAGCCGCGAGGTCCAACTGGTCCAGGAGAGCCGGGAATTCCGCTTCCGCCGCCGGGTGGTCCTTGGGTACCGGTCAAGCCAGGTTGACCCTTGGCTCCAGGACGTCCAGCCTCTCCCTTTTGACCGGGAACGCCGGGCAGACCGTTCAGACCTGTCTCACCGCGATCTCCCTTTTGTCCTGAAGGTCCTGGGGGTCCGAAGTTTCCTTGGCGACCCTGAAAGCAAGAAGGACTCATTATAAATATAGATTCAGGTATAGATTCCCGATTCTCTTCACTTACACGATCACCGGGGCCGCCGGGCAGACCCTTCTCGCCCTTTTGTCCATCGAGTCCCATGTCGCCAGCCAGTCCGGGTTCACCTTTGCGTCCAAATGGACCAACTTCACCCTTCTGTCCTGGTTCACCCTTCGCTCCAATGATGGTTTCGGATCCGGTACCCTGCTTTCCAGGCGCCGGGTCACCCTTCTCACCCTTGTCTCCCTTGGCGCCGGGCATCATGGTGCCAACACAGGAGGCACCCTTCTCACCCTTGGAGCCATGGTCACCGCGGGGTCCCTTCGCACCATACGGTCCAGTGTCGCCACGCTCACCCTTCTCACCGGGTCCGCCCTGGGGTCCAGGGAAGCCCGATTGTCCTGTGAAACCGGGCTCACCCTTCTCGCCCTTGGCATAGTCACCATTCTCCTTGGCCGGCTCACCCTTCTCACCCTTGGCGCCACCGACGCCGATGTAACCGCGCGGTCCAGCCATTCCAGAGAGACCCATCACGCCGGGCAGACCGTCTTCGCCGTTGCAGCCATCCTTGCCGGGTGTACCGGGCGAACCAGGATTGCCAGCAGAACCCTGTACGCCGGCAACACCGGGCTGGCCGGGAATACCACGAGATCCGCGCTCGCCCTTGTCGCCACGCAGTCCATATGGGCCGGGATCACCCTTCTGGCCCTTGTCGCCGGGCGGTCCGTCGAGGCCAGTGTATCCGGTCACGCCCTTGGGTCCCGTGGGTCCCAGCGGACCCGGCAGGCCACGATTGCCCTTCTCCGCAATGCACTTGGGCACACAGCCCGCATAGCCGGCCGTGCAGTTCTGAGGCAGCTTTCCGCCGCGCTGAATGGTGGCCGAGTCCACGATGTCATAGCTGTCGTCAATTGGGAATGGAGGATCGTTTCGATTGTGATGCCTGACCGAGTCCTGAATCGATCCGGCCGTGCCAGCGGTCTTCCAGAATTGCTGCAAAAAGGGAATCGGAGAAGTCGATTAGCCGCGGATCATGCCATTTCCATGGGTTTCCCCTAATCTCTTACAGCGTTGGCACCAACTAACGCTCCAGCGATGACAGCGGCGTACAGCAGCCTGCGAATAAATGAAAGCAGAGGAGTTCGTCAAGAGATCAGGAGATCATGAAATATAGAAGCATATAGAAGAATATAGTCTTATCAGTGTTCCTCTTGGGTTCACCTCACCACTCTCTTAGACTTTGTTCTCTTAAACAAGCAGTTCTCTGAGTACGTATGTGTGTGGAAGAGAAATGCTGCATTGACATTAAGAGAGCAGTCTTTAAAAAAAGAGTGAGAATGAGAAGGGAAACTTTGCCAAGATAATTTAAATTTAAGAAATAGAAATAAAATTTTTATATATTTGTGATTTTTTCTAAGCTTGATTTTAAACAAGATTTCCAGTTTCGTTTAAATTTGTTGTTATTTATTTGCTCTTTAATTGACATTTTTAAAGCTTTTTATAACTTTTGGAAATACCATTATAACAAATAGAGTAGAATATGTTATATATTTAAATATTTTTATGTAACATAGAATTTAACAAAAAATACGTCATACAATTTTATTAATTTGGACCACTTATTTTGATTTTTTAAAGTTTCTTTTATCTTAACTAAATTTTTTAATGTTTCCAACTCCAAATATTCTTTAATAACATAAAGCTATATTTATTTACTCATTCTGTTATATGTCAGGTAAAACATTTTTTAAATATATTTAAATTCAAACTGCAGAACAAGTAAAAATGCATAACTTAACCATGTTTTAAATTTTAAATAAAATTTAAAAAATGTGAGGCTAATTAACATTACAATTATGAACATTATATTTAATATTCTTTGAGTAATTTCAAGACTTTCTTTCGATATTATTTGGACTCTGTAATCTTAAAAATCAATAGATTTTAATGTATATTTTTTCAAATACCTATTTAAATTTATAAATTATAAATAATGTTATATATTTACCGCTTCCAAAAGGGCAACATGATGCCCCTGATGCACTTAAGCCTGCACAATTATTAGCTCTGTCGTCGTCGAGTTTTATATTTTTTTATTATGTTGCCGTCGTTGGGCCTGGAAAGATGAGCCAGAAAATTTTCGGCACTTTAATTTCGCAGCAATTGCAGAAAAATATAATGACAAAGTAACAATAATTCGTTTAATATATATTCGTGTTCGTATGGGAAAATAACGGATGGTGGGAAAAACTGTAATTGAGTTTTTTTTTTTTTAAATATTCAAATTGATTTATTATTTATTTAATTTATTTTTTTTTTATATCTGGTTTCCAATTTAAACTTTTCTTGTTTTTCAATTTTCACACGTTACAGTTTGAGAGTCACTGGAGCTCACACCACGATTTCAAGCAACATTTCGGTGCAGAAAAACTGTCTCTAGCCTTTAGTGCTATATAGTTTTGGGTTCCGTTTCTCCTGATGGCTTTTTTAGGCTTTTTCTCAGTTTTAATTTAATTTTTTTGCCAGTTTTTATTAGTTTTCATTAGAGGTGAGAGTTCCTTACAGGAAACCGATCTATCTAAGCGGATCGACGGGAGCGCACTGAACACACGAGCACTCCGCACAGCACAACACACAACACTAAGGAGACCAGATCAGCAGCGATCCCCAGGCCCAGTCTACTACTTACTCGGGGAGACGGAACACGACTAATTATAGTATAAGTTTAAGCGATCCAAAAGCCAAATGCCGAGACCCGAATGGCAGTCGTCGTGCCAGCCGAAGGTAGCCGAGTGCAACCGAACGATCATTCCGACTTCGGCTCACGTACGCTATCCGTGTCGACTGTGTGCCCATCGCTGTGTTTGTGTGTGTGTGTGGGGAGATGGGAGGCATGTGGAACGGATGGAGATTTGAGCTGGAGCGAGTATGTAGCAACAACACTAATCCAAGCAGCTAACATAGTCGCTGGCGGAATGAATGAAACTTGGCGATAAGTATTCGAACTAAGTAAGTCGCTGTTGAGTTGATATGCCGCATTCCTCCCTCACTCCCTGGGCGCACCTTCCAGCTTCCAACTAAGTTTCAGCTTCCAGCTTCCAGCTCCATAAGCTGATAGCCCCCGCCCCGAGATCGGGCACATGGTTTCCGTTTTTCGACCGCCCGCCCTGCGCAACCAGACTCTTTCGACTTTTTAGGGGTTCTCAGTCTGGGAAATTCCAAGGCTTCGGTTATCAGGCTGCGTTTTAATGTTACTTGTTCTAATTATAAGCCAACCAAATTTGTGTTTTTAAACAAAAATGATTTTAATTGAGGTATTTAAAACACAAAATTTCGCATTTCTTAGCTTTTTTATATCAAAATTTGTTCGTAAATAATTAAAGATTTATTTTAAAATGTGCTATTCGTATATGAAAATTTTATCGACAATTTAAAGACTAAAAAACTCATAACTAAGCCAAAAGAGCATTAATTTCGATTCGGTAAACTTTCCTATGCTAGTTTTTATTACCTTAATAAATCTGCATACTAAATTTAAAATTTTAGGAAATTCAATTTTTTGTCAATTTTTGAAAATTTTAATGATGATGATCTTTTTTTTGCGAAAATCGAACCAATTTTCAACAATTTTTTTTCAACCGGGGATAGATAGATCGATTCAGCTGCTGATGCTGATCAAGAATATATATGATTTTTGGGGTCGGAAATGACTCCTTTTTAAAGCTTCTGATTAAATCGTAATACCCTTTATCCTTTATCCTTCCCTGATCTTAAACTGTAACCTGCCTTGTAAAGTATGCAACGATTTTATTGGCTAAAATTGAAATACTGTTGTAGGTACAAATTTGTTTAAGAGAAGTATTTTAAGTGTAGGATTCAAAATATTTTAAAACAATAAACTAAGCTACACTTTACACAAAACTGAAAGAAATAAAAAAAAGCATTTAAAGTCGAAAATTGAACTTATATAATTACATTACATTACTTATTTAAGGAATAGTTTATTTAATCAGAAAATCAAATGATAAAATATATTATTTATTTTAAAAAAGCATACCTGCTAACGGTTAACACTTTCAAATCCCATCCAAAAGCAATTAAAAACTCCTATAAACTCATCTAAAAACTTCTTTGCTTCCGCCTGGGAAATAGCTAAGACTAAGAAGAGTTATGAAAATATAGGAACTTCCTATGATTACCCCCAGCCTGACCAAGGCTGAACCATTTTCCTTTCCCTAATCTTTGCTGCTTCCTAGACAGCTATTGGGGCCATTGGGCCATATCCGACTTCCCCATACCCTCGGACCAAAAACGAACACTTACCCAAGTAGGCCAAACAACCGAAATATAAAGGCCTTGATTACTGAACTTAGTATCAACGAGGAATTTCAAAACGATCTGTGACCCCAAAACCTAAAACCCCAGGCTTGAATTTCGAAAGGTTCTATTTTTGTAATTCTGCGTAGAAATTAATTGAAAAACTCGAAGCCAAGCCAAGCTTGGATTAATGCTGAGATTTTTCTAACAGGAAATACGCAGCCATATCCGTCTTATCAGCTCCGCATATGCCATATACTAAATGAAAAAGCCTTAACCTAATCACGAGAGTTGTCGTGACAAACAACCAAGCATCGAATTGTTATAGAGGGACAATTTAGACTAGAACATACCTAGAATATATGTTTTTGAAACAAAAAAGAAATGTTGAGAAGGGCTTAAGTTTAATAATACATTTAAGGGATTGTTGCAGGTGTTTAAACAATATTTATAAACAGATTATTCATAGAAGATGAATTTGAAAACAAACACAAAAGAGGGGTATTATAACTACTGGAAATAAATTATAAATAATAGTAATAGTTTGAGAAAAGTTTGTTCCAAAGTAAAATACCTAATGAAAAATATACCTTAGCAGGTTATTCAAATATTTAAGTTGGTTATTTTACCATATTCTGGCTCTTTAAACCCATAGCTCCTCCGAGACACAGTATACCCCAGCAGAAAAGTGCTCCAAAACGGAACCGAAATGGGAAATATAGGAATAGGAATCTTGGAGGAACAAGTAGCTCGGGTATTGGGTCAGCTTTTGTGATTCGGTTAGCTTATTTCCTCGTTTCAAGGCGGCAAAGTGCTAAATTCATAGCCACCATCCGGGCCTCTGTCCCTGGGCTGGGGCCCAGCAGCCACACACCACCACTCCTCCTCAGTCACTGGCACCCACACCATGACAGCTCCACAATGCCTTAGTGTGGGTGAGCCGAACGACGATCGGCTGGCCGAGCGACTGCCGAGCGCGGGGGCCACGAATGTGAATTTCTTGTGGGGCTCGTGTTTAGTAACACTTCGAACGCTTGACGATCTCCACATGTGGGGAGAGTGCTGTGCCCGACGATCGCAGCAGAAGCAAATCAGCGTTTTCTGTTAGTTTCCACTTTTAATAACGGTTTTCAAGCTAATTTTAAAATAATTAAAAAATTCTAAACAAAAGTATATGCAAATCAATTAACTTAATGCTTATTTCGTTCGCAGTTTCGTGTGTGTGTTGACAGAGAGAGAGAGAGGACGAGATAGAGAGAAACATAGAGCAACACAGTGAGATATATACAGTTCCTGTGCAGGACTAAAGGACCCAAACGAAAGATGTTACCCAGAGATCTACGGCATCTCTCGGGTCTGCTGGGCGCCGTTTATCTGCTGGCCGGCGTTGTGTCCTTTGCGGAAGGAGCAAAGGTAAGTCAAGGATTTCATTTAAATATAAAAATTACATTAAAAAAAATCATCTTACACATTGTTTGGGATTTTTAAAACAATTCTTTCTTAATACAATTTTTTTAATGTTTGGTAAAGTTATTTTCAAACTGTCAACTTAGAAAAATAATTCCAAGTGCTGCTCAAACTGTAAATATAAAAATCATAATTCAAATGACATTTTCTCTAACATTTAAAGAAATGTTTATACAACTAAGTTGGCTATCCAATGATTCTCAAACTGTTTCTCCTCGATTTTGTGCAGGCGCCAAAAAAAATTCCTTTATCAATTACTATATAAACAACTAAAATTAGGTCAGCCGCCAAGCTCAGCTCTTAATCATCATCGACAGCAGCAATAGCAAGTGTTATTGTTATTCTTGAATAATATTGCACTCTTTCATTCAAAGCAGCTTCCGGCATAGTTGCAACTCTTTTGCCTCTCCCAAGGGAGATAATCGATTCTTTATTCCGTTCCGGGACTGGCGGGTTCATTGGAGTCCAGCGACGTTTCGGGGACGGATTATGTCATTCAATTTATTTTGGCAGCTTATGCTTTTTTGTTCTTCGAATAGGTGAAAGGTGATAGCCTTTCGTGATAACCGAAACTGTGATAACCCCGTAATCAAGAGGATTTCGTTTAGCTTTTCATAGATTTGCCATTGAACGTTTCCGGTTGGCAATTAAAATTTTAATTTGATAATTATTTGATTAGCATTTAATTCTCATCATTGTTTAAAGGCAATTTTTGGCAAGGAAATCATTGCATTAAAGAGTTTCAGCTCAGGCAGGGTTTTTAAATGAGTTTTCAAGGAATTTATAGAGTTTTTTATTAGAGTTTAAAAATAGTATTTTAAAGGAATTTAAAATAGATTTTTATTACATTAGTTTACCAATTCAATTTATTAATTCTAAGTTTGAAACATTTATAGTTATCGAATTTTTAAGTAATAGTTGAATACATAAATCTCAGGAACAGACTTTCCCTCTAGTAAAACTGCATTTAAATAAGGGAACTTTAGAAAAAAATCTAGAAAATAAATAGCACCCAGTTATTCAGACTTTTTAAAATAAAATTACTCAGCTTACATGAGCTTAAAGTATTTTTAATAAATGAAAACCCTTTATTTGTAAGAACAACCTTAGCCTTTAAGAACGCCCTAAAAAGTATGCAACAGTTTTTGCTACACACAACTTTTAGCCAAACTGCAAACAAAAACCCCTTAGTAAACCTAACTAATCGATGGTAAAAGCATAAAACTACTCCAGTTTCTTGTTAACTAAATGCTGATGCTATTTTAGCTTGAATTTCATAAGCTAAGGATGATGATGATGGAGGAAAATGGAGCACATGCCAGCAATGGCGACAACGGCGGCGCCTACTTTTTGATGGCATTCGTCGAGCTTATCAGGCTCCGAGCCGCTGCTTCTGCTGCCCGCTGATCCTCCACACATTTAATTAGACCTATTTGCTATTGCTATTGCTATGTTGGCGGCATTGACGCCATATTGATAGCATGTTCCGCTGATTGCGACATGAATTCAACTAGATTTCAATTCAGAATTCAAATTCAGAAAATAGAACCGAACGCAAGTGTCGCCAGGGGCTATCTCGGCATGGCCTGACTTTTGGCTTTACCTACGGATCGGCGGCATATGGAGTGGATCGTCGAGTATGGTAGTGATTTCCACAATTTTCACAATTTCTCTGTGTCGCACACATTTTCGCTGCGATCTTCGCTCGTTTTTATCGCCACACTCACGTGTTTGGCATCATAAAACGGCAAAGCTCGTTTGACAACTTTGGTAATTCGACCCTTCAAGTCTTTTTCGCACTCGGTTACGTGGTCAATGCCAGGGCCCTGTATCCCCCAACTCCGATACCGAGTGAGAGCTCCCTCTTCTGGGGGGGGTTTTTTTTTTTGTGGGTTAACCTGGAGATCTAAGCGCTGTTTGCTGGAAGATCCCCACAGAAACCACAAGGCTCTAAAAACTTGATTTGTTGTGAGCTACTGTTGTTTGGGATACTCTAACGTTAAACGGGAGAATAAGGTTTCTGATAGTTCAAATATAGAGTTTAAATTCTTATTTAAAAATGAAATATTACTATGCCAGAGTGCATAGTATACAGTTAATAAGAGGTAAAAGGGGATTTACATTTTTTAAATGCATTTATTTGTGATAAGCAAGTGACTCAAAGAAATTGCAAGCCATGCAAAATATTATATTATACAATGTATATAGCTTATTAATAATAGGAAGTAAATGAATGAAATGTTATCAACATTATTTCCTTTTGTGACATACTCACATAAAATCATTATTAAAAAGCATATAATATACAGTAAAGATTAGTAATTACTAATTACGTATTAACAATTCCTAGATCTATATTTTATTAGCTAAAAAATTCTATACATTTTATGGCTTAAAATAATTTTTAAAGAGTATTTAAAATTCGGTAGTTACCAAACAGTTAACTGATTTCAAACAGTGCCTGTAAAACCCCTCACGCAATGAGTTTTGCAAGCAGTGAGCCCAGTTTAATGATTTCCTTTTCCGTTCCCCCAAAACACACACTAAAGAGAGTGGGCTCCAACCATTTAAGAGCAGCTCCAAACGGAAGAGAGCCGAGTGCAAAACCAAAGAGTCTGTGAGATTCAGTTCTCGACTGCAGCTGAGACCACGGTCCCTGGTCCATTCTATGAATGAATTTTGATAAATGGTCTTTATCAGCAGCAACAGCAGTATTCGTTCGCCCTCACCCCAAATATGCATATATCCCCCTCCTCCCCTGCACTTGCTCCCTGGCTGGCTATATATGGAAATGCCGTTATTGTCTGTGGAGCAGTAAGTGTGCAAGTGTGTGCATGTTCGATGCCGACAATTAGCAGCTCAAGTGATCGGTGAAGGGTTCTCTTGGAGAGAAAGAGCGGGGGGTGATTGGGGGGGGGAGAGTGTGGGGGATGGGGTGGCGGCAATCTTTTGACGTTCTGCAACATTTCAAATTGGAATTAAAACTCGCTCTCTGTTGTTTGTTGTTGTTGCTTCTGCTTAGAAACTTTCCTTATACACTGGGAAAAATATTACATTTGGGTTTAAATAAATAATAATTAATAATTAAAAGTGACCGGGTAAAAGGAATAATTATAAAAAATAATTGTACTAATTTTGACGACATATTAAAGTTTAAAAATCTCATAACTAAGCTAAAAAAGCTTTAATTTTAAAACGGAAAACGTTCCTATGTGAGTTGATAATAGATTAATAAATCTGCATACTAAATTTAACATTTTAGGAAATTCAATTTTTTGTCAATTTTTGAAAAATTTTCATGATGTAACCCCTTATCATTTTTTGCAAAAATCGAAAAAAAATTAAAAAAAAATTTTTTAACCGGGAATAGATAGATTTATTCAGCTGTTGATGCTGATCAAGAATATGATATGATCAAGAATGGGGTCGGAAATGATTCCTTTACCTGTTACAAGCTTCTGATTAAAATTTCTTGTTGATTTTCTGCTATATTACGTCTAAAAACATTTAAATTATCCCAAGATGAACATATTTATAATTTTGTTCAGTAATAAATTATCTTCAGAAAAACCTCCTTATAATTTTTTCCAGTGCATTCCCCTTGTGTTCCTCAGTTTTCTGTTTATGTGCTGCGATCCTGAGACTGATCTGAACTGACCCGAGCCCGCTGGCATAAATCACTGACCATTCGGCGGGGCCAGACAGAGCGGGGCCAACTTCTGGGGGGATTCAGTACTCACAGTGTCCAAAGTATCCAAAGTATCCGCAGATATTAGTGGGGATTCGAATGGATGGACCGCCCAGGGACAACAAGAATGGCCAGCACTCGGGGCACAACAATGATCATCATCTCATTGTTGAATGGGGCACTCCGCTTTGGGGGAAGTTTATTTGCGTGCTTGAGTAGAATTGTTTGGCGAGTTGCATTTCAATTTGACTCAATTATTTATTTATCTGCAACTGAATGCGGAAATTATGCGAAGACCGTCTCTCTGTCTCTCTCTCTCTGTGTGTGTCTTGAGATACGGACAACATGTCGTATGAGTGATATGGTCGAGGGGCCACTTAGTAGTGCAGCCTCTGTAATGAATTTTGTAAATTGAAACGATTATTTATGAGGCAGAGATGCTGCCAAAGGAACACATGAAATTGGGTTATCAGTCATCTGTCTCATAACTACAGCTCGTTGTTCTCCTTTTTCGTTGTTTCTTTTTTATATTTTGCCCTGTTATCAGCTTCGGCTTGGCTTTTGGAATTGATATTCATATTCATTAGAGCTGTGCTGCCTGTACATACTATATATTTAGACACTATATATAATATATATACTGAGATTTCAAACGGCAAACATCTAGCGTCACAGCTAAAAATAAACTGGCTTAAATTTGCCAGAGTCCAGGTCCCAGGCCGAACAAGACTTTTGCACAATTTCGAGTCTTGATTGCCTAAATTATTTAGCGAAATATTTCAGAGAGTCAATCAATGGGTTAATGATTAGAAAGCGATCTATAACAGGAAAGTGTTTTGATTGAAAAGCGATCTATAATTGGACCGTATTTGATTTGAAAGTGGTCTTTAACTGGACAAGGTCTGATTTCTTGTTTATTTGGAGGCTGAACTTTTAGAGTTTTGATTTTATTGGTTCAAGAGTTGCAAATTTTAGAATATAAATAAAACGGTTTACTTTAAATGATACATTATAGTTAAAGAATGTTTTTGATGTAGTTTTTATACCCATTTTTATACATTATAATTGTAATCAGAAGCTTGTAACAGTTGAATTAGTCATTTCCGACCCCATAAATCATATATATTTTTGATCAGTATCAGCAGCTGAATCGATCCATCTATCTCCGGTTGAAAAAAAAATTTTGAAAATTTTCTCGATTTTTGCAAAAAATGATAAGGGGTTACATCATTAAAATTGCCAAAAATTGACAAAAAAT